TTTTCTGGCTGAAGTAATTAATTATTAATTAATTCAATTAATGCACATTTGGGTACTGAAAGGAATTGTTGTGACAATCTTGAAAAAATGAAAAGAGTCCAATGATCAATAATGTTAAACTTGAATGGTAACACTCGAGGTGGATTTGATGAAAATTTGAAACCGGGCAAACCATGTTGGTCAGTTAAGTGATTTATTTTTATTATTTTTTTTTCTTTGCAACAAGGTTTACCTGGTTTGATTTTTTCAAAGTTGTTACTATCATTATTACATAATTATATGTTTTTCTCTGTCGATACACAAAGTTCTAAAAAAAAGTGTTATTGAAATATATATATATTTTTTATGTGAGGGAGTAAAAATACATTTCCCAGCTAATTTTGAAGTCAAGTAACAAAAATTACGTTACAAAATTCCATAACAGTCACTTATTAATACCGTCTTGAACTCTCTTTTTATATGAATACAAACCCAACTTTTCCTTGAAATGGAAACGCGTGGGAAAAACGTCTGTGCGGTTAAGAAAGGGAAATGAAAGCAAAAGCGGTCCCATAGGCTGCGACAACCTTTGTTATGGTGCATAAAATGAAAACAAAATATAATTATACTTCTTTCTCTGGCGTTGGAATCTAATTATAGAAATATATTCCGAGAAGAAAAAAACGAACGCGAGTGAATTGGCAAAAGCGAGTTAGTTGAGTTGCAGAGACACTCTCCTTTTTCTCCAAGAGCACTAAAGCTTCTTGATGAATAACACAAGCCGTACAAGGAGTGGAAGGTGCGTAGGTTTGCTCATGGAAATAATGTGTTTTGTAACTCGTAGTACTTCTATACTTGAAGACAGCAAGGCTCTCCGCGCAGAATTATGTTTAAAAAAGGGTTAGCCGTCGCGTCAGTGTGATTTAAATATAAATTTTTTCAACCGAACAGCCTTTGAAGGTTGTTGGCAAACAAAAAATATAAGTGACTTCAACTTCAAAACTATAAGAGCAAAAATAAAAAATTCATGAAATCATTTTTGTAAAAAAATATTCCTACGCTAAATTCTAGTATTGTTTATCGTTATTCATAAATTTTTCGTAATGAAAAAAAAATTAAAAATTTGCGAATAAATTATAATAGAATAATTTATTTTGAACTATATAATAATAACTTGAAGAAAATGGGATATTGGCTCATGGATAAGTTTGTTTTTTAGTCACAAAATTTAATTTTTGAAACTGTTTTTAACATAAAAAAACACACGCACACTTAACAATTATCTGAGTGTTTTTAACTAATTAATACAATAAAAGGCAAAACTCTAAAATAATTAGAATAGAAATACACATGCACACATTAATAACATTTTGTTGATTTTTAAATTTCATATTTTTCAGCTTTGAAAGATGCTCCACGCATCCCTCGAATACTTATTTAAGAACTTTTAATTTTCTCTCTTCAACTTTCCCTTTGAACCGTTTTTGACACGTGTCACTTCATTCAATCAACGCCATTCTTACTAAAGTGTCTCCCTCGCACACAATAAGGATATAAATAAATTTAGGAATCCTTTACCAGCTGCTAGAGGCTAAAAATTGTTGTACAAAAGGTTTGTTTGTAGTTCTTTCATGGCAGATGCGAGAATTATAGGAGCGGCGATGAAGCAACCCACGCAGCATTTTTATTTCCCTCTTGCAAGCTCCGCCGCGCAGGTGAAGCAACGTGTGTTGCTATAATCACAGAAAAAGTTTACATTTCGAGCGTTTGCCTGATATGTTTAAATTTCCGCAATGCTATTCTAATTTCCTTGGCTTTAGATGCGTAATCTGTGCGCTCGGCATGCAAGAGATTTTGAAAAAAAAAATCAACAATATACATTTTTATTAGAGGTTTTTTCGTGGTTTGACTGAAACTGCGCGAGAAAAACTTGGCTTTAAAGGACCAAAAATTTGACTTTTAAGTAAGGAATTAATTTTTAATCGTAAACTTTCTTGTGCCACAAAAAATAAAAATAAACTTAATTAAAGCCCGGAAAATTAGGGCAAACAGAACAGCTGCCGCAGTCTGGTTTGTCAGTTTGGAGCTTCAGTAGAAGAAACATTCAGATCTGCTGATGAGCCCTGGAATCGGGCGAAATTGTCATCCAGGCCAGTTATGTTGCTCTGTTTGCCTTAATTTTCCTGTTCAAAATAGGGTCATGCGCATTATTCTGAATTGTAACAAGAGGATGCAAATAAGTGAAATGTTAAGAAAGCTTGATTGGCTTAATGTCAAAGAAAAACTAGCTCTAAATATTCTTGTGTTAATTAAAAAAATTAAAAACAAGGAGGTCCCCAATTACCTCTGTAAGGAAGTACAACTTGTGGGTGACGTGCATAATTATAAAACTAGAGCAGTTGGAGATTTTTATATTTCCAAAAGCAAGAGTAAATTTGGAGAAAAATCACTATTTCAAAGCGGCCTCCAATTATTTAATAAGATTCCATCAGATATTAAATGTATTGAAGGTACTAAATCGTTCAAAAAGGCGTGTAAAAATTATTTGAAAAATCAAGATATTGTACTATTGTGTTCAAGTGATTGAAAAGTGACAATTTGTGCAGGACTAAATAGTCATCAAGAGTGCAATGGACAAATTTTTGACATATTAATTTTAAATGTACATGTACTAGTTTTCGAACTAATAAATATATATTAAATCAAAATCAATTCATGACTCATAAAAGATACAATTATTTTGTCTTTTAAAATCAATTTCTTAATTAATAAAAGACAAAATTTTGGTATGTATTCCATAAATTCTTAAAAATTAAACCCTGAAACTGCTTCACACCTTACAACACAAGCAAAGACACTATTTTTCTTTACTGTGCACAAATTATCATTGTTCGCAGGATTACAAAAAGATACATTTTCGTTTTGCTAACAAGTTAACAAACTGTCTTTATTTTTTATGTGCAAGTGCAGTAATAAGACCGTTTTATTCAGTTCATATCCGTTCATATCAAATCCACATTATCTAAGTGTGAAAGTTGACGATGTGATTCTAACGACGCGGAAAAATAATCAACAGCAATAAATGAGTATTTTATAAATTTATAAAACAATTACAATATTATATTATTGCTGTTTGAATTTTTTTTCAAACGTTCTTTTGTTTTGCTATTGTAATATATAGACTATTGTTGCGAGAAAAATTACCGCACCTCGATCTCTTGTGTTCGCGTCCCACAGCGGCATTGCACAATATTTCAGCGTGCACGCCTGAGAGAGCAACGCGCGGTGAATAAATAAAAAGCCGTCTGGCCAGCATCAGAAATGCCGCTTTTCACATTTCTCTGCGAAAATTCCAGCCAAGCACATTTTATTATTATTTTTTAAAAGGCCGCGCCGAATAACCGAGCCAACTTTTCAAACGCAATCTGCAGTATTGAATATTGTTATATTTCAACGGTTGGTGCTCCGGAAAGCATCTCGCTCTCACCTGACCCTGGTTCGTTGGATCCTGGGTGGCCTTGGTGCACGTACATGGACGTGGGAGGCAGGCGGTTACGACGCCGACCGACCGACCAACCGCACCACAAGGACACTCCAACTCCATCCTCTGCTTATATGGACACCCTGCGGCCTTTGTGCAATCCTACGACCACGATTTGTCCCGACGGACGCCGGCTTCCCCGAAAAGGGTTCCCCCAATTGATTTAGCCGGCGCACCTGTCGAATATTATTAAATTTTTTTAAGCAAGTTGCATTTTGGTCAGTGTGTTTGAGGATTTTAAGAGACTTTGGCAGGGCTTTGAAAATTCTTGGAATCATAAACTCTGGATTTTCTACTGATTTTACAGTAACTTAGTTGTACGTAAATTCAGGTATCAGGTCATTGCAACACAAATTGGTTTGATTATTCAATTCAATTCTTAATTTGCGTCACATCGTTTGTGTGTTTTTCCCTATCCACGAGAAGGTTGCACCAAAAATTTACGTTTTCGCTGATTAAAAAAAAAAATTAAAAATAATAATTAAAAAAAAAAAACAATGAAATAATTAATTTTAAAAATTTATGTATTTTTGCTTTGAGTTTCTGCAATTCTTTAATTTGAAGCAATAAAATTGGAAGATATATTAAACTAGTATTTTCATGAATGTAATTTCATGTACCGATTACCAAATTACTTTGCGACGTATCAATCTCGGCAAGCACCTTTTTTTTAGGTTTCGCGTTTTAGCCAGAGAGGTGCCTGTCGTTTCTTCAAATTTAGTATTTTTTTCTTTCTCCATTAACTTGATCTTATCAAGATTATTATTAAAAATATAATAATAGCTTCCCCAGTTCCATTGATTAAATAATCAAATTTAATTAAAAAAAAATAATTGCATAAAATCTGCAAATAAAATGAAAAGATTTTATTTTTTGGTGTGGAGCACTTTGTAGCAACAGCGACTTTGTTCACAAAAATCTTGGTGTCAATCAAATCGACAATTTTTATTTCTCCGCGAGAGAGAGTGCAAGAGATGTGATTTTTGCGGTTAGAAGCGACTTTCTAAATCACGAACAGAAAAGCACAATTTACTTTGTTTGCATAATTTTTATAATTTTGATTATTTATTCATCTTGGGTTTTGAATTTGAAAAGAAAAGAAAGAGAATTATGCTAAAACGTCCAACATAAAATTTAATTACTCGGCTCACCATTGGAAAACTATCATTAAAAAGTTGCTGCCAAAAATGTATCGCTTGCACAGGGCGGGGAAATTGTTTTTGGGCAGGTGGTGGGTTATTGAAGCTCTATGGCAAGTTTGTCAACCTTGAATGGTTTTTTGCTCTAAAATATAAAAACTGCAAACAATACACTATATTTTTTGGAAAAATCTTACAGAGTAATTTATAATTTTACTTCCTCTGCCCTTAATTTGCCTTTTTGTTTCCAATCATTGTGCATTTCACTCTTTCATGTTGATCGAAACGAATTGCATGCAGGAAGTGCGCGTGATTAATCGATGTACACCTTTTGTTGGCAGGGCGCCCTCGGCCAACTGGTGGACAAAGACTTCGCGCCCACGGTCACAGCCACTTGCAAGGCAGGTCACATGACCATCAAGGTGGTCACCAACCAAAATTATGTTGGTAAGTAATGCAATTTAGAAAAAAATCTTATAAGCTCTAAAAGAGCAAAAATTTAATTCTTTATTCAAAATTATTTATAATTACATAATTTAAAAGGGGAAGAAAACGGAAAAAATGTTTTTTTTTTATTCAAAATTAATACAATCATTTTAATAAGGACAAAGACCGTTTCATGGTCGTCTCCTCAAGTGTTAATTTCTATAAAACATTTGATTTGAACATTGGATTTAAGTGCCGTGGAATTGGGAAAAACAAGCCTACAAGCGTTTAGGAAAAAGCTATGCTAATTTTAAAGTTTTATCACAGGCACGATCCACGCCCGAGACTTCCGGACGTCCAACTGCATGGCCGTGGGCAATGGCACCACGGTCACAACCCTTGAACTGAACCTGTTGGCGCCAAAGAACGCACCCGGCTACTGCGGGGTCCTCTACAACAATGTAATGTTGTCAATAAAATTGAAAAAGAAAAACTTGAAATTATCATTTTAGAAGGCGGACGAGCGGTCGGTACCAATCGCGGTGCGCATCCACAAGACACTTGAACTGGCCGACGACAAGTTTTACGTCATCACCTGTGGCAAGGCCGGCTTCAAGAACTCCAAGTAATGCTTTTTTTTTCTTCAATGCATAAAAAAATAAAGGGAGCATCTCTTGATGGAAACAGCAATTTATTTCAAGCAGATTATTTAACCAGAGGCTGTTTAATTTTTGTGTCTCAAGAGTTTTGCGCCAAACTTTGCACACAATTTTTATTAAGATTGCGCGTTCCAGGAACGAGACGGCCTTGGTAAATTTGGCGTTGTTGGATGAGGAAAAGCAGGTTAACGAGGCCGTGTATGGACGCAAGTACACCCTTCGAGCGTCAACCTCGCGGACAGATGGTAATTTTCACACTTTCATAACAATCGAAACTGTCTGTGGTGATTTTTCAATCGTGAAATTCTTAAACAAAAGTCCAAAAAAGTAAAGTCTCTGCATTGCTTAAAAAAAGAATATTAAAAAAAATGATAAATTTAAAAAACAAGATACTTTTATTATTATTTTTTTATTCTACTCAAAACCATGTTTAAAGACAACATATCTCTTTTATTTTCCCTCCCAGTTTTTTATTAATTCTAACAAAATATTGAAAATTATAAAGTTTTTTAAATTATTCTGGATTTATGTGCTTCTTTGTTTGACTTAAAATATAATAGAAATAATTAAATTTTTTTAGGTAATTATGGAATTAGCGTCAAGTCCTGCTTCGCCTTCAACAAGCAAAACAAAACAGAGCTCATTGACGATCAAGGGTTAGTATTTTAATTTTCAAATTAAAAACCATATAATTAATTTTTCTTCTTCAAATAATTCAGGTGCCCCCTGCAAAGTGGCGTTATTTCGCGCTTCATCTACAATGACAAAGTTGGCGCCTCCGAAGCAACTTTGTACTCGATGTTCCGTTTCCAGGACAGCAACGAGATTCACTTCCAGTGCGACCTGGCCGTGTGCAAGGGTGCCTGCCCCGAGCCCAGGTGCGATGGACAGAGCAAGGCACTGGCCGACGAAAGTGCCGAACAAAACGGAGGGCTTTTGGCCAGCACTAACGTCTTTGTCCTGGAACCTGGACAACCTTCAAGTGCGTTAAAAATTAAATAGATATGATTTTTTTTTAAATGTATTTTTGCCCAAAAGTTGCTGCCCTCTGCTCTGGAATCCACCCTTCCTGGTTGTTGTGGCTTTGCGTGGCATTCGGCGTGCTCTTCCTCATCATGTTAGTCATCAACATTTTCCTGTGCTCGGCCATGTCTTGTGCCTGTGCCAGAACCGAGATTATTGAAAAAGACCCAAGCATCATCGAGGAGTACGATCCCTACAGAACTTGGCAGGACTCGCACTATGGATCCAGGTACGGCTTGTGATTTTATAATATTCAATGAAATCTGGTTGCTGCGACTGACGATGGTGTCTTGCAAATTTATTCAGATAAAATAAAACAGCATTTCCTTTCATCAAGACGTTAAAAATTGATGGATTTGAATAAATTATAGCTTTTGCAGTAAAAAAATATAATAATATCAAATTTCGCGCATTAAACCATCAGCAACGTCTAAAATTCAATTGAATTTGCTTGGCCAAAATATAATTTAATTAAGTTATATTTTTTAAAAATTATGTAAAACACACTTTTCTCTTGAAATTTCAGATATTCTCTGAATGCTAAGCCAGGTTACATGTCTGGTGGCTCGACGATGAACTCGACGCATTCGGTTTCGACCAACAGTGACCACTACGCAATCGTCCACTCGCGGCCTGGCAGCAGGTACTCCGGCCACCAAAACAGGGCCGGCTCAGCAATGGGTTCACATTATTCGGGAAAGTGAGCCACGCAGAATGAAATTTTAGCAAAATACTGCCTTGCCATATTAGAAAACAAGAGTGAAAGAGCTTTGGAAATTTCCCGCGGCAGTGTTCTTTGGACCCAAAACAAGTGTTTGCGAGTGAGTGAATGAGTGCCGAAGAAGAAAATGGATCAATATTTTTTATAACAATCGAGTGCAAGATGACCAGTAGACGAAGATGAAGTGTTTCTGAACAGTTTTCATACATCTAACTACTTAACTAGAATCTGGATTATTTTTATTTTTGTAGATTAAAACTGTTACCTTATTTGTCAGAAAATAAAACAAAATTATATAATATATAACGTTGTCTGGGTTTTGTTGCAATGAAAAAAGTCGAGGAGTGTTCAAAGTTGACTCAGTTGGATGCTATTGTCAAATATTTTGCGATTGTAAACAATTGAATTACGAACTAGTGAGTATATAATAATAATCTTCGGGAAAAGTGGCAGCAATTTGAGTTATATCAAAAAATATGGCCTTCGTTGTGCGGTACTGGCTACGAGGTGCTCTCCTGCAGATGAGAAAGGACGCACATGGGACAGGCGAGCTTCACAAGTGGGTTCAGACTGAAGAGTTCGCGCAAGATAGAGGCAGTGGTGGGCAGGGGCTGGTTGAGTCGCAGCAGTGCCAGTTCGATTTCGGGTAACAGAGACCGGTGGAAGGTGTCGAGACCGTACCGATGGCCACATGTGAAGATGAGCTGCTCCTCGGACTGACTAGATGGGCCTTCGTTCAGCGTCATGAACGTGCCCCTGTCAGGGACACTGTCCATGAGACTGTGGGGGTCTCTTTGCCAGCTCTCTGCCTCTGTGCGTTCGCTGCTGTGAATCGACGTCACTTGCGACAGAAGCTCCACATACTCGGGAATAACTTTTTCTAAATTCAAATATTTATCAATAAGTGAGGATTTAAAGGCCAGATTTTATGAAATTTTACTTTCGTTCATCCCGGCCAGAATGTCTTTGCAGAGTTGGAGACAAAAGCTCGTAGAAAGTTGGCTCCACAGTTGCGAGTCTTCTTTAGTTGAGCTGAAAATAATTTTATTGTATTTAATCATACTAAATGTGTTTATTTTTCTATAATTACGAGGAAATAAAAATAAGCATCTTACCAAAACAACATAAGTCCTAGAGGCATTGAGAACTTGGAAATGTGTTTCATAAACAGCTCTTCCAAGTGGCCCATTGGCAAAGAATGGTTCAACCAAAAGTCAATTCCCTGAGAAATTTAATTTATTAAAATTAGGAGTTCTACAAAAATTTTTATCAAACCTGCTCAAGTAATTTTTTAATCACGCCGTGGCTCTCAGACTCAATGAAGTTGACATAGTGCTCAACAATATGGCTCGCCTCGCCAGCCATGCTCTCCTTTGGCATCTCCTGCCCTTCGTCGGCTCGTTGTTCAGATCCACCTTCCACAGTGAAGCAGTAAATTGCTCCCTGCGGTGAGTCAAGTGACAAAAGAGACGAGCAGTGGCTGTTTCCTCCTTTGCCCAAAGCGTGAAGCTGGTACGTGAGTGCGGCAGCATAGTTTTTCTGCAGGGCTGCAACTTTTGCTGCTGCTTGGTAATTTTCAGCCTCCAAACACTATAAAAATGTTAGTTAAAAAACAAAAATTTGACCATTTTATAAATAAATACCTTCGACAAAATTTTGGTTGGGTCATAAAGATCCTGAAGAACTTCCAGGACAAAATGTAAGCCTTCGGCGTCAAAAGGCAATTCTTTTGTGTTCCAAACAGGAGCACATTCCTTTAAAATGAAATTTTTTTAAACAAAATATTAATTTAACCCAATTAACATTAACAACAAACCTGCTGGTCCGTTTCTTCATCGTCGGAATTTATGAGCATTTGAGGAAACGAAAGAACTTCAGTTGGCGTTTCTACGATTGATTGGCGACCAGAAGGAAGTTTTATTACCCGTTTCATGTTCTTGTATTTGACCAGTTTTCCCTCAAAGCTCTTTTTCGGCTCTTGAGGGATGGATCCCAACTGAAGCAAACAATAGCAAATTAATTCCAGACACAAAAAGAAAACTAAAGATGCAACCTGGGAGTACGCATTGCTGCCCCACGAGATCAGAACTCCAGACTTGTCTACGGCGAGTGAAAAATCAGACCCAGCATCTATGGCAACTATGTTTCGTCCAGTCAATGAATGCAGGGCTAATGGTGCCGAGATTTCCTTGCGGTTCATTTGGCCCAGCTGCCCGTCAATTCCTCGACCCCACGAATAGACTTCACTGTTAGAGTCGAGCAGCAAAGAGTGATGGAAACCACAGGAGATCTAAACAATTTGTAATTTTATCATTTTTGATGCATGAAAATATCACAATTGTATAATCATTGTGCTGAAAAAAGCGCGAAAAAACCATGCGGTCAAGTACTGCTTAACACGAATCAAAAACATTTCCTTGACTACCCAAATATACCAAGGATATGTTTTCAGGGGAAATCAAAATATGGAATAAATCAAATATCATTAAGACAAAATTATCCTATGTACATGATATTTGTAAATTATAATAAGATCTATCTCAAAAAAGGATTATCACAGGGATCGGGGCTTGTAACTTATTATACCATGCACGTCAGAGTTGTCTGCTGTAACATAATTCCTGATATTTAATTTTTTTACCTGAACAATGCTTCCCTGCACTTGGCTTGTGTCTATTAGACTAGGTGAAAACTGAGGAGGATGAACGGCAGTTTCATCCTCTTGAGCTGATTCAGACACAAACTGTTTCTCTTGTACAATCCGAGCTCTTTTCTGGGCCTGAGCGTGGAGCCTCAGGGCCTGGTAACTTGAGCCCCATGTATATAATTTTTCAGTGGCGCTAACTGCTAGCTAAGGAAATAATTTTGTTTAAATTTACAAATTTTAATTTTAATTCAGACTCTCTTACACAGTGAAAATATCCACAGGCGATCAACCGAATCCTCTCTGGCAGTAAAATTTGCAAAGGAACACTGCTTTTTGGCAAGTTCGGGACACCAAGCTGGCCAAAGGCGCCGGAACCAAAGGCCCACACTTCACCTTCTTCTGTCAAAACAACTGAATGGCCATGGGCACCACAAACCTGAACAATAACCTAAAAAGAAATCCATAATTTATTAAGATTGGAACTTTGGTCTAAAAATTTGAAAAAAATTGCCTTGTCAGTTAGGGAAGTGACGAGAGTGGGTAGAGACTGATCGTCAGTCGATCGGTGCCCCAGTTGGCCATGCACTCCCCATCCCCATGAAAAGACTCTGAAATCAATTGGGATTGAGCAAAATTCTCATTAATATTAACAATTTTTACCTTCCACTTTTGCTAAGAGCCAGAGAATGGTACTGACCAGCAGACACTTGGATTATCTGCTCATCGGAAAGGGCTTCAACCAGTCTGGGGTGTGACGAATGACACGTTGGACCAACACCCAATTGACCAAATTGACTGCTGCCCCATGAATACACCTGTTGGCATTTTTTATTTTATTTTCATTTATTCACTTATATATTATAATATACCCCATTTGATGTCAGAGCTAGGGAGTGATTTTTGCCACAAGAGATGCTGAATATCTGAATTCCAAGAGCGGGAAACAAGTCAAGTGCTTTTGGAGTCATATATTTGATCATTGTCGGTCCACAGCCTGAAAATGGGTAATTTTAGAGTCGAGAGAAGCATTAATTGTAAATTTTTTTATATGAAAACAATTATTTGTTTATTAAATTATTGCTTACCTAGACTGCCATGTACACCATTACCCCACATGTAGAGCTGCTTGCCTCTGACATGACCAGCATGAGAAAACCCAGCACTCAAGATTGTGTGGCCAGATTTTGGGACAACCATTTTATTTGACTGAGAAAACAAAATTAATATTAAAACTACTGATCAATAAGTACAATCCCAACCTTAATGTTTGATTCAGGCTTAAATAGCTTCACCAAATTGTTGAGGTAGGGTGAGGATTTATTTTTCATGAGTTGCAGCATCACAACAATAAACATTTCCACAAACTCTTGCACTTGAGTATTTCCCTGAAATTTAGTTTTTCAATGATGAATATTAAAAAAAAAAAAAAAACTGAAGAAGTGATACCTTGTTATAAGATAGAGCTCCTGAGTTCTTGTACATCTTTTGCTGGTAAGCAGCGTCTAATAGACTTTTGAATTTCGGTGAGTACGGATTGTATAAAGCGGACAGTTTCTGTGACGGAAACAAACAATTAGTCTGGATTAAGATCAGCATTATGAAAATAAATTGCCTGTAACACATCAAGCTCTAAGCAAGGCAGATGAGCAGTCACAAGCTGCATGTGAAGCTTAGCGCGTTTATTGTTCAGCAATAACGGTTGAAGCATTTCAGGATCACTTAGACAGTTCCAAACTACACCTGGCAGCAGACGTTAAAAGTTGCGATCTTTTTAAAGAAATTTTACAAAAGCTTACATTCTCTTGACTTGACTTTTAGCAAAATATCCAAGACTTCCGGGTATAGGCCTCTGTTTTTAGCCAAAAATTGGAGAACCTTCCAGGTTTTTGTCTGACCGGCAATATTCACAGCCAACACTTCGTCATAGAATAGATTACATTTCAAAAAGCTCCTAAAATTGAGTTGGTTATTGGAATTTAAATAAATAAATTAAAAATGAGTTAACAGATATTTGTTGAAAAGTAGAGAGCCTTCTTGAGCCGACTGGCGCAAGATTTGTTCTGCAAAAGACATCATGGCCAAATTGGATAGGTGTAGTTTTTCAGATAAGGAGAGCTCAGTGTCCCGGGCAGAGAGCAAAATTTGTATGTAACTCAACAGCTCGCTTGGATGGCCACATTTTGCAAACTTTAGCGCACTTTTGAGATAACGACACTGAAAAAAGTTTGTGATACAAATTTGTTTCATTTTGGAAGTATAAACCGTTAAAAATTAAAAAAAAAAGTAAAATGACACATTTGCCAAAACTCAGAGAAAAATAAATAAAAGAACTAAGTAAATACTAAATATACCCCACGATCAAAATAAAGTTTAAAAAAAATAAATCCATCAACATATCATCTTTTGCATGTTGCAACTAATTGTAAGACGAGTAGGTACCCTTTGTGATATAATATGGCAAATTGAAATATAATTAAATATAATATAATTTTTTCTTTTTAATATTTAACTCAAAATTAAATAATTATTTTTCAAACTGAAGCCAAAGTAACATACCTTTGAAAGCTTATAAAGAGTGATTGCATGAGAGAACTGTCTTTCCTCCAGTCTCTGGTCGGCTGCCGCTTCCAGCAGATTTTGCATGTTCAGTCCAAACAAAACTGCCAGCTTTTCAGCACTTTCCAACTGCCCGCTGTCCAAGGCCATTAGCATGAAAAGTTCTGAAGGTGGTTTCCTGTCGTGCAAATAAGATCAAATGCCACTTTCTATTAGCGCGCAACTTACTTGGGACCAACTTCAATAACGTTCCTAGACGTGATCACAATGAAACAATCAGAGTTTGGATTCTCTTGACCAAGAGGAGGCCCGTTGCCATCCACAATTGTGCTTCGCAATTTCTTGTGAATGGCGATCACATTCTCTCCTGTGCTAAGATCAAACCTTTGTACAACAGAATCTGTACTTTGGTCCTAGAGAATTAAAAAATATACTATTTGCTTTTCATTAAAATTTCTCTCACAAGGTCAAACTTGACTTCAGACAATTGGGAGGAAGAAATGATGAGAGAGGATGTGTCATCGTTAAAGAGTAAAATGAAACGGTCTGCATACAGAAGGGGTTTTCCCTCTGATGGGAGTTTGTGTACATAGAGGATTTTTTCGTCTCCCAAACCAGCAGGGTAAATCTGAAAGAAAAAACAAGTTCACTTTAAACATAAATTTGTAGAAAAATTACATGAAAATTACTTTCATTAGTTGAGTTGAGGGGTTGTACGTTGAAATTAAATATCGTTCTTTTGAATACTGTGGAGAGTAAATTTCAGGTCCTTGCAAAGCCAAAGGCACTGTGCTGATTTCCTTACCGCCCAGCTCCTCGGCAGCTGCATTTTTTTTCACAATTTAACAAAAAAAAAAAAAAATTATTTTCTGATGGAAAATTTTTACCTCTTTTGACACTACTGGTGCCTCCTCTTTTGTTTTCAACCAGCATTTGCTTCAAAGAGGCCATTTTATCTACTGAGAGATGCTTGAGATTCTGCAGACGGGTGCGAACAGGAATGGGCATTAGTCCATCACCCTCCATGTGTTCCAGTGGCCAACAAAAGCCAACAGATCTTTGTTCCAGAATTAAACGCCATTGACGCACTGGTCCAGAAATCTAGCATCAAAATTGATATTTCTTTATCTCAATTTCATTGTTATAGTTTTTTATGCTATAATCATAAAAAAAATGAAAAAAAATAGGAGAAAATAATTAGCAGAGGTCTGCTAACAAGGCTTAATCTGACAGCGCAGTCCTAAAATGATGAACTAGAAAATCTTTAATCACCTCCCTTAAAGAGTGAAATCAATTGATAATGCAAAGTTACGTATACGTATTTTCAAGAGAAAATATGAAGATATTTTATGGGTAATCTTTTTACAAAATTGATGAATATTTTTCATGTAAAAACTTGAGTGAAATCAAAATTTTAGTATCCAGAATAAATAAGAGAATTTATGCAATTGATTCTTAAAAAAAAAAAATTGATTAACAAGCGTTTTTTACTCACATTAACCACGCTAAATAAACGGAATAAAAAAATTTTGAATCTCGAATGCTTACGATTAGAAAGACGAGGTCAAGGCTATTGTCATGGCTCAAGTGCAGATTGGAGATTTCTCCGTCAACGCATGTCCGGCCCAACTCGGTGCCAGTGGTTAGGCTGACGAACGCAACTTGCCCATTTTCCGATCCCAAAATCGCCACATGTTGTCCATCGAGGCTGTTCCACCAGACAATAGAAGTGGCCACTGGTCTCAGTTTTGTCGTCTGCAACTTTGTAAGGTTGCTGGTTTGCCATCGTAAATCGACAGCCGCCTCGGGGTCAACAAGGGCAAGGGCAGGAACTACGCACAGAGAGCTATCACAGGCTAAAATAGAGAAGAACTCAATAATAATTTGTTTAAATTTATTTAAATTATTTTACATGAGACAGCAAGCCAAGTGCCAGAAGGGTCAAAAGAGAGACAGCAAATTTGTTGCGTTGGCTCCAAATGCCAGTGAAGGTCTTTTATCACTGGCAGTTCTCTGTCCGATACAATGTAGTACAAAATTAGCTGCCCATTTCTGCAAAAAAAATCATGTTTATTTAATTAGAAACAAAAATTTTCTTCTTACAACAGGTTACAAGTTACAAGAATTATAACAACCACAAATCATAATCTTACCCAATGACGAGAGCCAGGATCTGGTGTCGACCGACACTGCTCTGAGCGCACAGTCTGATCTCCTGGTCCTCAGTGGACAGCAGCGGCCGCAGGCTGAAAACCTGCTCGCCGAACATGTCTGATTAGGTCTTTGATTTCTGCAACAGAGGCAAAGCGTTTATGTTAATGCGTAATTTGGGAAAGAATAAAAAGGCTCAGACTCGCGCATTGAAAACACTCAAAGATCATGTGACGGAACATTGAGAAAAAGAATTGTTTTCTTATCGGAAGAAGATCAGGCGTTTGTGGCTTAATTAATTGCGAATGATACCTTTGAAGAGCGAAAATTCCCTCATGGACACCGAATAATTGAAATCTAAAAATACTCGACAGCGACAACCGCCAAGGGCCAAAATTGTGACAGGGCCAGGCCAGAATCAGCCAAAATCGCATTCAAACCGGTGTATAAGAATAAACATTGAATAGTATGTGGGAGGGGGGCAAATCAAAATTTGCAGGGGCAAGAAGTGCACTTTTACCATAATACGCTCCAGCTGCTCTCTCTACCTCCTTCCTCTTTTTGACTTTTATATTACCACCTTGAGTCAACCGTCCGTGCGAATAGCAAATATGTCTGCGTATTGACTATTTCCACGGATTATCCGTGTATATTCATAAAATTACCATTGTGTCTGATCCATTGGCTGAATCAAGTAGTGATGCACGAGTATGGTTATAGGCAAAAATTATCTATTGTGCCATGCATTTAAAATAAATTATGTTAAGTGAATTCTTCGCAGATTTTTTTTTTTTTTTTTTTTTTTTTTTTTAAACAACTTTATTTAATTACAATAATCCGGATATAGATTGCAAAATTGCATTTTCTCGTTGAATAAGAATTGATGTATGTACCAGACCTTGTGTGTTTTCCGAGCTCCGTACCGCAATCATCACAATGGGAAATTAATGGGAAGTGGGAAGCTGGATTTTGTTTACTTTCCACAGCTGTCTCCACCGTGACGTCACTATGGACATTAGCAGCTGGATTGGTCGAGACGCCATTTTTCGGTTTCAAGACCCCGGGCGGCCTCGGGTCGTCTCGAAATGGAAAAATGGCGTCTCGACTAATCCAGCTTCTAATGTCCATAGACGTCACTACCACCATATTTTTGTGGTGGGGACTCTGAACCACACCCCTTTATTGTTATTTGTTTTGTGTGCAGACTTTTCCATGGTTTGCATTGCTCTACAAAAACGTCCGATTTCGACTGCAAATCGAAGCTGCCCTTCCGGCTGCTGTAAAATCTGTTTCACCGTTCAAACGACATCGTCGCGCCGAAATCGGCATCTGAAGCTCGACTGAAGCCTTCCTTCTTGCATCTTTAGCACCTGTCACTCTATAGATCTGTGGGGTGCCTGAAAATGAGATGATATTTTGAGATTTTCCACCCAGGTGAGCTAATTGATGCAGTTTTTTGTTATTTAGGGAAGATTAATTTCGATTAATTGAATAATATGTAATTATGTTGCTTATGGCGTTATAATTTCAAAATTAAAGAGAACAAAATTTTGTGGGTCAGGGCCATGCAAAGTCTTGTTGGCCCGTGGCCCCTAATTCTTAAGTATGTATGTATAGCGGTGCAGATTATTTGAAGAATCATCAAAATTATGTTATTTTATTATATTGGGTTAAAGTTATGTGTTTAAAAATCATCTTATTTGCTGACATATGTAATTATTACATATACCACATATTTGAAGATGACGAGAGGTTCGTCATTTTTGTCTTCAATCATTTTTTTAGATTACCAATTTATATTAATCTTTAATTCCCTCAGGTGTTTTGGTGAGTCGCCTAGCAGTGCCACATGTTGTCCGAAAGTGTGTCGAGCGCCATTTAACTGGCCCTGCCTGATCGAGTCATGCAGCAAGAAGGGACCCCAAAGTTCCTCAAGCACCACCAAGGCAGTGTGCGTGGCGTGGCCTTCAGTCCAAAGGTTGTAGCAATTTCTGCAAACTTGTATGTATTTTATAATAAATTGTCATCTAGGACCGTTATCTGTTTTGCTCGGGTGCTTACGATGGCAAAGTCATTCTGTACTCGGCCCTGCGGATGGAGATGCTGGTCAACTACCAGATCACTACCCTTACCCTGGCCAGGAATATAAACGCAGTTAGATTCACCTCTGATGGCAGCCGGGTAAGGAGAAATAAATTAACTTTAAATCTTCAGGCCAGTGTAGAAATATCCAAATTTTTCTGCCAACTTTTTGCAAACTCTGAACGATTTTGTGAATTGTAGTCAAATTCCCACAGCTCACTTGTCGCAGCTCAAAGCGGGCAAACGTCCTAAACATATGGGAACACATAGAGAAAGCACAATTAAATTGATACAACCTAAAAAATTGCACACAACACAATTAAAACTATTCATTAAAAAGCCAATAACAACACATAAATATGGTAATCAGCAATAAAAACCAGCAGCTTGAAAATGATAAAAAAAAAAATAGGTGTACCATAAACAAAAAACACAACGGAGCAAAATGCAAAACGCATTTCCTCTTTTTATTAATTAATTAATAAAAAAGACAAAAATCATCAACAGAATGCAAAATGCATTAAATTTAATTGCCATATTTAAAAGACAACTTCCAAAAAAATACGGCGATTGGAAATAATTTTACCATCTGGGATTACATATTTTTCACCACCACCTGCATTAACTGCAACCAACCCCCTCCCCCTTCCTAAAAAGAATAGTAACAAGATTCAATATTTCTATTTAAAAAGAAAATTATTTTATTACAAGAAACAAAGGCCACGCATCAGCTCTATTATGTTGGCCAAAAAAAAAGATGTCTTCCGCCCGAGCCATAAGGCCCCATGGCTCTGACGGCAGCCGTGTACCAACATAATTTTGGGATGCGCAGCCTTTGACAAGAAATAACTCTTTTTAGAATTAATTCAGAGTATATAGTATTGTTCAAATAATAAAATCCGTTTCAGTCAAAGAATTGATATTTAATTTAATATAATTCGTCTAAAATGCAAAAAAAAATTTAACATAATCTAACTTCCTGGAACCTCCTTTTAGATTTTGGCTGCGACCACTGTGCGCAGAGTGGCGGTCGTTGATGTGGAGAGAGGCGATCAACTGCTTGCATACGACAACTGTGCCTTCAACGGTCGTGACAGGACGGGCCTGGCCACCGACCCGGTCTGTCCCAACATGGCTGTGTCAGTGGCCGTCAATGGCAAAGGGCTCACACTTCTCGACCTGCGCATGCCACTTCCTCTCGACTTTTTGTATGATGTGAGTTTTTATTTTCCTTTGAAGCATTGAGACTGCCCTGCTCACTCAAAAATAACAAATTGCTTTTGATTGGAAAAAAAATGCCTTGAGTCAAGCCAATCCAAAAAATGGGGACAAAAAGATATTTAAAAAAAATTGATCCTGTTTATTGTGTGACATTTCTGGTGGGCCAGGTAGTGGAGCGAAATGATCACAAAAAAACGAGCAATTTTTTTAGGTGCGCAAGAGATTAATTCCCAACTTGCAGAAATTTTTTGAAATAAATATGTAATTTTATAGGAAAATTTAGCACTTTATCCACAAAAATTGTTATAATTCTCCATCAAGCACTAAAAATTTATAAAGTTTCCTTTTTTGTCCCTATGATAGCATTTTTTAAGATTCAAATTTAATTTCAGCTCCATAGCAGCATAATTCGTGATGTTACGTTTCTTGACTCTTCGTGGCCGTGGGGGAGAGGGCATCAAAGTGTCTTGCTCAGTGCAAGCGGTGATGGCACTTGCAAGGTAACAAATAATGAGACAAGTAATTTTGCAGCTAACCACCCTTTACTTTCAAGGTCTCCACCCTGGATGGTCGTGTGCTGCACTCGTTTCAAGTTGGTCACCAAGTGAACACCATTTGCCCTTCACCTGAACCCTACCATGATGAGTCTGACGAAGGCTTCAACAGTGAGTTCTCTTGGATAATTTAACTGGCAGAAGATTTATAAATTTTTGCAGGTGTCATCATGACGGGAGGGGACGTCGTCTCCACATACCTCCCTGACTTTGGCGTCAGAGAGAGACTGAAAGACAACCGTGAGACTCCAGTATGGAAATTAAGGTTTTTTTTACATTTTTGGTTGAGAATTTTTGTTCAAAATTTGTATTTGGCAGGTACACATCAAATGGAGGACTTTTGTATTCTGTGGGTGAGGACGGCATCCTCAGAAGGTACCGACGCTTCCCTGACCACCACAAGTACCTAGGGCCTGTTTACAAGCACAGACTGGATGTCCAAGATCTTGACATTTCACCGTACGATGAATGTAAGTAGGAGGTTTGGGGTTATATGATTTGCTCGACAAAAACTTAGTTAGAGATCGCAGGGTGATGTGTCAAAAAAATAATTTGGAAAAGGGGGAAAACCATTACATTGTGGTGACACCTCATAAGTCAAATGAAAATAATATACAGCAAAAATTTTGGAAAAAAATTATTCTTATAACAACAATGATTCGCTTACGTTGTGCTCTCCGTGCTGGCGTGAGTTGCAGCCGAGTGGGACTTGTGCGTGTTTAATTTTCGTTGAGATATCTGGCCGATAGAGTTAAAAAATTAAATATGCCGCTATTTTAAAATGGAGCGAACTAAAAGACTTGGATTAAAATTCAAAGTAATATTAAGGATATATGAGGTATTTCTGATGCACAACGCTTAATGAAATAAATTTTCTTGAATCTAACAGAGAAACAATCTTTAATCGGTGATTTGAGAATCAATATTGATGATTTAGCTATCAGTGCACCAAAAATATCTTTTTCGTAAAATAAAATCAAATATTGCTAAATTCTTATTATGATTTATTTTTTTCCAGATATCGTCACTGGGTCAAAAGACAGGACTGTTGGTGTTTTACGACTGGGTGCTCCAAATCATGGCTGCACTGAATACTGCGAGGTCACATGAATTCTCAACGCGTTGGTTTTAATTTGCAGGTGGCAAATTACCATCACTTTTGCAGTTTGTTAGCAATTTTAAAAGATCGAGATTTTTTTTTTAATTTTTCTGAAATAGTTTTCCCCTATCTTTAATTTAACTTCATCTTTTTCAACGCATTGCTAAATTTCCTAATTAAAGTTTGGTGCTACCATCGTGCCATGGACTGCTAAAGATAGCAATTAAACAATAATGATGCCCTTTTTTATCAGTTGCTGTGTAAAAATTCTTAATATTTAATGTAGAAATAAATTATAAGTGGGGAAGAATGGAAAAATAATGGCTTTTTGCAATCATCTCCTTCGAAAGAAGGTGCACCGACCGCTAGAGCCATCAAAAGGGTCACTAAAAAAACTAAAGCCACAAGTACGCCTTGCACAGAGATGGAAGCTGTGCCGCGGTACAGTCCTCCGCTGCTGTTGGCAATTCATTCCATAGTGATTTGACAACGCGGTATGAAAAGGCCTAGAGATCGCGTTCAAACTTTGTTCTCCCGGGCGGCGGCTGCGTTTGACTCTTAATTATGCGCACCCTCGCGTCCATGACAGTCACTCCCAAGTCACATCTTCAAATAGTTCAAATGAATTTATGTACATATTTCATAGAAATATAACGCCGGATATGATATCAATGAGATTTTAGATTTATGTGCATTAATTTTAGCAACAATTTATATTATTTATTCTTCCCTGTCAATTACGAAAATGCAAGGTGAAGATTATTTCAGCATATTTTTGCTGTTGAGTTTAGGTTGCACTTTGATTAACAATCTTGCAGGAAAGTTTGAATAATCTCATAAAAGGTGTACAGTAAATGCACTGCCAAATAAAATTTTTATATTTTAGCATGAAATAAGTGATTCTTTTTTTAAAATCTTCGACCTAGAAATGTTGCTGCAATTTAGTTCCTGCCTAGAGATGTAGACAAGATTTTTTGAGCCTGGTTAAAAACAAAACTATGATTATTATTATTTTTTATTCTTCAGTTCTTCTCTTCGTAAATCAAGTCAAGGAGAAGGAAAAAACACAAATGTGAAGAAGCAGCAACAGCCGCACGTCTGGGAGGAAAAAAAGGAATAAATCAAACAAGTTTCATCTGCAAGATAGAAAAGCACAACTGTCCTTTATTGATTATTATTATTGTTTTATAATAATACAATAATTTATTATAAATTTGAATCAGCAGCATTTGCTCTTATCAAAATGTCATACAAAAGCTTAAATATTAAGTAGCTCCTAGATATTTAATTACTGCTGGCATATATATATATGCTTATATATTATTTAAAATGCTCTCAAAGTTACAAAGAAAATAAATGCAAACATTATAGCAGATCTGAAATCACAGTAAAACAATAAAATACTGAGTGGTGAAGGCAATATTGTGACAAAAAAATGTTTACACAAAAAGCAGTTAAATCAATTTAAAGCGCTCGCGTTCATTTTTTTCTGTAAGTTATTTTCCCATAAAAGAAACGCCAACCCAGTCTATTTACAAATTCAGCTGGCGAGGCTTGTGTGTCGCCACCAGGCTGCGAGCCTGCTCAGTCATCTCCTGCTGGTCTCGTGATCGTCCGTATGCCACCATTTCAAATTTTACGCCAACCTATGGGACAAAGCACAGCTTAGCACAAATTTTGACAAACCAGCAGCATAAACAAAACAATAAATGACAAAAAAATTTAAAAAAATAATAGGATGACACGTATGGAAATAAATAAACAGCCAGCAAACAAAAAGCACCATGCAACCCAATAAATCAATAAAAAATAATGGCAAAATGAATGACATCGGGGAAAAATTGATGAAAACATGGATAATAAGGTCACCTTTGGCAAAAGATTCTTCACTGCAAGGGTGTCGGGTGAGAAGTTGAGTCTTTTGACCAATGTGGGTTTTTCTGGACTCTGTAATGATTAATCAACAACCTTAAGCATAATGCAGTGCAGACAAATACGGCATTGAAAAACAGTGCAACAATATCTCAGATACACAAAATAAACACCATAAATAATCCGAATACTTATAAAATAATCTACAAAATATCAAGTGGAATTTATGAAACTATGAGAAAAAGTTTGATAAACAACTTAATAATAAAAAAAATCATAACAAATACGACATTACTTTTTTTAAGTGTAAGCAAATCTGAATAGTACGAAAAGATCACTCATGCTGAATTTATCACAATTTACCATTGTGTCGGCACAGTCCAGGATGCCAGGGAGGTGCTCTGTGACCGGTGGGATCCTCCTAGAATCCGGAGAAACAGCTGCCAGAAGTCGCAGACCAGAGTCATCAGGTGGAGGCAAGTTAACGGAGCTCTCAGGAGACATGATGATGTCTGGAACAATAGATGGTGGCGAAAAAAGGACCGACGACTCGGCACCACCAAGACTTTTGCTCGGCGTCTCCACGTTGAATGACTGGAATGACATGTCAGACGCATCATGTGCAATTGGGATGTGACCAGGCGTGGACCATGTGCTGGCCAGAGCCTTCCTGGCTCGCTTTGGCTGAGCGTTCTCCTTTCCGGGTGGGGTGGGGAAAATCGGTCGCTTTTTGCTGTTGGTCGTTGCGTAACCACTGTCCTGAAGCATATCCTGAAAGTTTAACAAGAAATGTAAGAAAATTCAGATTCGAAATTATTTATTCTTCTAAGCAAACAAAAATTTTAAAATTGAATTTTTTTATGGTGTAGGTTCACTGCGGCAGCTATGTCTCTTTTTGATGTCAGGTATTTTAGCAGAACTCTGCTAGTTGATTTAAACTCTCTGCTTTTTTTGTTATGACTCAAGTAGAAGAAATAGCAATTAAAGAGAGAAATAGGTTTACGAGCAGCAGATGTCTATCAAAACGCCTGACATCAAAAGAGACTTAGCCACAGTAAACCCCCTATTATTGTTGATGATTTTTCTACATACTTTTTAATTAAATCACATTTAAATTAACACATGTTGCATCAAATTAAGATATCAAAATACAAACAAAATGCAAATTCCAAAAAGGAGAAAAATATAGTAAATAAATTAATAATATTTTCTTACATTTGATGATGTTGCAGACTCAGCTTGGTAAGAGTAATCAGATTCTTGTTCCTTCTTAATAATTTCTGTGACATCATTCAGCCTCGTCGGAGTCTAAAATACAAATAGAATGAAAATAAATAGCTGTTGATTAACAAGTTGCAAGTGACTTACAGCGTGACCCTTGAGGTTTGCAAGAACTTTCTTAAAGCTTGGCGGTGTCCTCGGACTGGTCTGTGCAAAAGTTGAATTGACTTTTTTGGGAGTGAGGTGCTCCCTTGAAGTGGGAGGCTGCGGCGTGCAAAGGCTTGCGTTGGCGGCCTCCTCGTCCCGCCTCACTGGGGTGGACATTGCGACTGGGCTGCCACCTCCAAGACCCAGCTCAAAGGAAAGGGGGCTCTGGAAGCGGTTTAGAATTTGCGATGGACTGTAAGGCACAGCATCCTTCATAGGCGAAAGCTTTGGTGGGGTGGTCATACCGAGACCCAAAATATACTCGGAGTTGTTTCTGCTGATGAGGCTTCGCGGCGACTTTGTGGGCGTTTTGCAAATTGACTCCATCTCGTCCGAAATGGAGATGGTGCACAAGTCATCATCCAGCAAACGGCTCCTGCAAAATTTCAAAGTTGCTTCAGATGAAAATTTAATTGCAAAAAAAATGTTTACAGGAATGAATTATCCATTTGCTTTTCTTCAGATGTCATCAGGCTCTCAGTGGCGTGGTGGACTAACGCATCAAAATCGTTATCTATGGTATAAGAGGGCTCAGGCAGCATTGCCTGACTCCCAGATGACATCGAGGTTGAATCAAGGAGGTCACCAGGGGACCATTTGTTCTAAAATTAAAGACAATCAGCTTTCTGTACAAAAATTAAAATTTATTTCTAATTATACCTCATAAACTACACTTCCAGGTTGCAAGTAATATTCAACGACTGAGGCCTGATGGCTTTGAACACTGGTTTCAGCTCTGGTTTCCGTTCTGTTGCTCACATGGGGGACGGCGATCAATGTTGGACTTTCAGCAGGTCTTTGGCGTCGCTTCTGGGCAATCTGCCTGGGGCGTTTCAACTCAGGCTTTTCATCGGCGCCCTCGTATTTGCGCCTCATGGTAGAGTTCCAGTGGTTTTTGATGGCGTTATCGGTACGGCCGGGCAGGAGTTTGGCAATTTTAGCCCACTGGTTGCCCCAATTGCAGTGCGCCTGGTAAATGACGCGGTCCTCCTCTTCCGTCCATGCGGTTTTCTTAATGTTTGGGTTCAGGTGATTGTGCCAGCGTTCTCGACACTGCTTGCCGATGCGACCTTTCAGATGGCGGGCTATCAAGGTCCACTTCTTTGGGCCGTACCGTTTCACTAGACTTACTACTTTGTCATCCTCCTGCGGAAATAAGTTTTATTAAGTTATTAATAAAATAATTGTACATAGATCGTACTAAATTCATAGAGTATACGATTTAAAATTCGATTTCTTAATGTTTAGTCAAGTAAGAATAATTGGCGTTAAGTAAAAAGACAAAGTTAAGTGAAAATCAGAGGCTTTATAATTGTTTTTTAATAATCTAGGAATCTTAACGAGACGTTAATTTAAATTATTTGAAAATTATAAAATAAAAAAGGATAAATCTTGAGGGACTTTTTTAGGACTCTTTCCAATTGAAACATATTATTTTGAAGGAAAATCTAATCTAATACGTAAATTAAGTTGACAGAAGCTTTTTCTTTGGTGCGCAGGCGCAATGTTAACAATTTGCGTAGCCAAATCAGTACATAAAAATTACTCAAATTAAGTATTACGGACAAGTACTCTTTTAGAAGTTCTATAAACATTAAAAATACATTTTTTTGAAAATTTTCGGGGGTTCAATATTATTTAAAAATAATCATTTGATGATTTTATGCTCCTCTGCAGGCCTCTGTAAAATTTTGATCTAAATGCGACAAAAAAAAAATGTCTTGTCTTATGGCATATGTTGAATTTCAGGCACCATTCTTGGTATTAAGTTTGACAGCTCAAAATGGCCCATTTTCATTGGCCAAAAAGGTAAGCATTGTCTTGATGATATAAGAAAACAGAAAAATTTTCACCTCCTTTGTCCATGGGCCCTTGATGAGTTCAGGATTGACCACCTTTTGCCAACGCTGCTGACACTGGATGTCGGAGCGAAGCTGGAAAAAGCTGGAGACAAGATCCCACTGGTCGCCGTGCGTCTCCACCAGCTGCTTCAGCTGTTCATCCTTTAACAAGAAAAGAGTCTTTAGAGAAAAGAAGAATCACATTTTTCACTTTCAAACGTACCTCCTCTTTGGTCCATCGTGCTTTGCTGACGGGTTTCTTGCCAACGCGCGACCTTCCGCTGTGGCTTGATGAGGAGGCGTTTTCATTCACGCTTGACTCGTCTGAGGAATCTTCGGCGCTCGAGTTGCCCGAGTTCTCATCGCACATTCGAGATCTTTAACAAAATGAAAATAATAAAAAATGAGAGTTACGATCAGTAAAAAGTGAATCTAATTTATCAAATACAATCAGGGGATGGATCAACTATTTTGGAAAAGGTTATAATGGGTTCAGAATGAATTAATAATTTCCCATTCAACAGAGTCTTTACATCACAGATTATTTTTATTATTTTGCTGTCACTCTCCTCTCATGACCAGATTTCTTTTTTATACCGAAATGAGGTTTGGTTTTGCTCTAGAAAATTTATACCCTCAAGAATATGCAGAGGGCACTGAGAGAATATTATACTTTTTAAAAAGTGTTTAACAAGTACCCAAATCTTCATTTGATCTGCAATTCAGAACCGCCGCCGTGGGCAGGTTAAGGCAGTACGTGCGTGCTCGGAGATAGAACCAATGAACGACAACAGGCAGCCAGCCGTGCCAAGTAAGAGCATGGCTGCGAGGTAGCAAATTGCCTGCCCCCATGACATGCTAATGCACACCTGACTGCGTTTTCCTCGCAGCTCCCCTCCTTGCATCTGCCGGGTCTACCAAGCTGTTGTTTTCCACAAATAAATGCCGTGCAAAGTCTGCTGCTATAAAAGCTTCGCCTTAGCTAGACAAGCCAATCGAGTAAAAATGCACTGATGCCTCACTTGCCTCAGAAAATACACACAATCGGTAATTCTATGAGTTTCGAATTTTTAAATGAGAAAGAAAAGAAAATCAAAGGCAAAAACTGCTGATTCATAATGCCAAAAAGACCCAACCTGACCCCCAATGCCCCATATGACCGCGTAATCCACCAACCTTCCACCTACCAATTCTATGTTAGGGTATGAATTTTGAGCACTTTTGGAACCATGTTTGATGCCAAAAACTAACATTTGAGGTTGATTTCACAAGAAAATAAAAAAAAATTGAAACCCGGTTCTATTACTGAAAGAAAAATATGTACAGATAGAAGGACAACTGACCCCAAAGGCGACCTGCGGTCTGCTGGTACTCAACCAAGTTTATTCTTAATTTTAATTATTTGTAAAATCTGCACCAATAGCAGAAAATCCCTTTGCAGACGACTCCGTTGCGGCGCAAGCTTCGGGCAAGAACTCGCAAGTGACGGAGAAGACGCCTGCTTGATAGACTAATTAGCAAATGCAATTTTATTTTAATACGCGTTAATATTGAAAATTAAATTGATAGAAAAAGAAATAAAGTAAATTTTCATATAAAAGAGATAAATAAAAAATAAATATTCTTCGTAATTAAGTTGTCCGGAGTTATTAATTTTTAAATTTGAATATGATTTTTTTATGAAATTTAAGCTATAACGTCACAATTAAATTTCCAATCAATTGGCTACCTGGAAAAAAATTCAAAAATATTTGTTCAATGCAAAAAGATTATATTTTTACTAACTAAGAGAAATTGTAGAAAATTAAATTGGCTTATTTTTTCTAAAAGTTCTAAGTACTGGTTCAGACCTTAATTGTAAGCTACAAAATAAGAAGGTCATAGATTAATTTTCGTAAGTTGGCAGATTCCACTCTCGCTGCTTTGTGCATTCAGACAAGAAGTCTTGCATTCAGATTTCTTTCTTTCTCCTGTCTTCTTCCAAGTTGCGCGCTTTTTATAAAGCGTGTGTGAATAGGAGAGGAAATGAAAAGTAAAAAGGGCAGCTGCATAGAAGCAGGCAGGAAGGGGTCGGTCGGCTCGGTCTCCAAAGAAGAGCGGCCGCGAGCAAGCTGTGTGTGCGCGAGGCGAGTGAACGAGGGGCACGAGCACAAAGGAGCGCAAGACGCGAGAAAATTCAACTTCGGTCGAAAGAAATAATACTTTACTGAAAAATTAAATCTTCTAAATTTCGACTTTAAATCTAGAATTTTAATTACCACCAGCAGAAAATTGCCCTCCAAGATTGCAGACTAGTCCAAAAATATACAATTTAATTGTGATTTTTTTAAAGAAATTTTTTTTATTGACTGTTCTATTTTGAAAACGTTCTACTTTTTTATGCGATGTAATGTGAACAAAATTATAAATAATAAAAATAATGGAAGTTGGAAATATTTGGAGCTCTAATTTCAATACAATTAAAATTTTTAATGATTGTTAGCATTTGTAGAAAGAGATGCACCAATGTAAATTTTTAAATTCAATTTGTAAATAATTTAAGAAGTTTGTGATTTTCTTTCGTTTTTAGTAATAATTCTAAAGGGTATTATTATTATTAATTGTGATATTTTAATGTACAAGCAAATTTTGAGGCAGAATTTTTCTTTTGACAATAAATATTCAATCAGAATTTTTATACAAATTCAAAACTCTCAGTCAAAACCTTGACACGTAGAAGAAAAATAAAATTGATAAAGAGAGAGGGGAAAAGAAATCAAGACTATAAAAAAGCTCGTGGACACACCGTGGGTTTACGAGTCTACACGCGGAAACCATTTTGAAAATTACAAGTATGGGGTAGCACCAATATAAATAAATATGGCGGCGCACAGAAAAACTTTTCGGACATAAAAATTTCATGTGAAAAGCATCTTGGATTTAATATGAAAACTTTCTTGATCTAATGGATTACCATATAGTTATTGTAATTAAAGTTTGACAGGTATGAATAGAATGTGGAGTAAAAAAAATTGAACGAAGCAGCCGGCGCGACTAAATCGACTGATGCAAGACATTGCTCAAAAAACGTGTTGATGACTGGATTTACATGTTAGAAATAAAAAATTAAAATTCAGAAGACAAACGGAGGCTTTCATTACTCTAAAAGCAGAATTGTTTACCGAGCTTCAATAAGGGCAGAACCACAATTTGTGAATTTTGTGCATCGGCCGAAACAACTCTTGTATGAGAAGAAGTTCTATTTTAATTATTTTGAAAATTTGAACTTAATTGCAAGTGATTGCAAGCAAGTGAGTTGTGCTGTGTTCTTATTTCATCGGCAATACCACGTTATCAACGATATTAATCATATTAATACCACAATTACTATTTTATATAAACTTGAAATGAAAAGTTGTGTTCCGATGATCAATTCAATAGATTTTTATTCCATTTTAGATCAAATATTTACAACGATCTTTAGAATAAGTATAATTATAATTAATTCAACAATTCCTAAATATTGACGTCAATATTTAAGGACTTGTTGAATTAATTCATAAATTATATTTATTCTAAAGATCGTTGTAAATATTGATCTAAATTGAATAAAACTCATATTGAATCTGATATTTCGGATCACAACAACTTTCCTTAAAAAAAAGTAATTTACTCACTCTGCATATTCAAAATTAGTTGACGCTGAGATAATTGTAGTTAGTCCTAGGAAATGTGTTGTGGTAATTTTCAGGCAAGACACTCGCGTGGTACATGGCGCGCGCCAAGAAAGACTGCAAGAATAAGCATCGGCGGCGATTCCCACGGTGGTGATCCTCTGAGGAAGAGAGAGTGGGGTGGAAAAGAGGGGCCGCTAGGGGTGCGGGCCCCACTCTGTCTGTCTCAGTCGCGCAGAAATCGCCGCTGCATTCGGCGGAAAACGCGGACTTTTTAATTATTGATTGCGTAAATTTCGTAATTTTCCCAACAGCGACGAAAATAATCAAAAATTCCTGGTTTTGCGCGGGAAATTTTTACATTTTGAGTGGTTCAATGAGTCGGATCACCAAATTTGTCAGCTCAGAAGTCTAATTTGCCTTTGTCAAATTATAATAAAAAAATTCTGATTACAGAGGTTTTTATACAATGCAAAATTTATAACAATTTATGTTGTTTCCTAGGCAAAAGTTAAAAAACACAGAGAATTTAGTCCTTTTTACTGCTAAAAAAAATAAAAATTCATTAAAAAAAGGACTTTAAAATTTTAACTTCAATTGAATACATTTAAAAAAAATATAAATTGAATGTAAAAGTAATTAAAAAATGTCATTTTTTAATAAATATTTCTCTTGGAATTAGCAATCTAAAGAATATTCCAAAAATAATTATTTTTTACAAGGGACAGACTTTTAATTTTTAACTTGCGAGTTCTCACAATGCACGTAGGTAATCCGGCAAAAGTTTTATACAAGGTTCGCGCATCACAACAATGAAATCATAATTTGATTGTTGTTTCAGCTCGCTGATTGGGATTCAAATTTTACCCAATCAGAACGCTTTCCAACTATACAAATTAATCGGATGCGCAAAGCTTGGTTTTGTTTGTTAAAAATTTGATTTCTTTTTTCTCTCGTGGTCTGTGGTCAAATTATACACATTTGCCAAGGGAAAAATCTGACGGCTTCTCTTATTTACAGAACCAAAGTAGGTGCACATACAAAAAATAAATAGGAATTTTTAGCAAAAGCGGCAAATTTAATTAATTTTTGAAAAATTTGAGTCAAAAATGCTGGTTTAGCCTTACCAAAATAAAATTAAATTTAGAACCCAAAATAGTGTACCGCGCAAACTTTTGAGCAAGTCAACATTTTGTCTTGTGTATTATTAATAATAATTCATGTGCGATCATTTTATGACAATTTGTTGCAACAATGGCATGCCCATGACAACAACAAAATTTTGAGTTTTTTTTTTGCAATCTCCCGCCTACAAAACTCATTATTCATCTGCATCCTTACAAAAATATCAGAAAATTGATAAATTTTCAAGATAAATTTTGGCCCACCCTGTTTAATAGCCGGAGCTAGGTTCGGTCAAAATGGAGCCGAATGAATTTTCGAGGGAAAGCTGAAGCAGGTGTTCAGTCTGGTCGTGACCTTTAGAGTCTGTGAATAGTCATCGTTTTTCGTGCAGAGTGGCAAAACGAGACCAAGCCAACAAAATCTCGGCCCGAGAAGGAATAATTGAGGCCGAATGCCTAACAATTGGTGACCAGACAGTCGGCCGGCTTCTAACCCAGGGCGCCCCACGGCCTTCGCCTTCTCGCACCTCGAAATCGCGCTTCGAAGCAAAATACTCACTGGACTTTGACTTTCTGCCGAGCCATCTTCTATGTTGTTTGCATTCCACTCGCTTTCCCGGGATCTTCCACTCAAAAATCGTCGGAATCTCATAAAAATCGGCGGTGCTGTTGATATTGTTGATGAAAAGGCTGTGATGAAAGATGGCGGATGGCGGATGCTAGCGCCAGCCGTGACTTGGTGAGCCGACGAAGCGTACGAAGCGCCACTAGCGCCAGAGCGGCCTCACCCATGTCGCCCTCTCCTACGCCTCCTTCCTTTTTTACCGCTGTCTCTGCGCTGCTGCCATCTGTGGTAATTATGGAAATTATTCAAAACCGTGCACGCAATTTAAAAAAATTCTGAAAAATATGTATGGTAGAACCTAGAACCTTGTAGAAAAAAGATCTAAAAGAGCTATATTTCAAATTTCCATGAGATGGTTGATGGTCTGTCTGTGCACTATGTGCTGTGTATGTTTGTATTTTTTATTTTTACGTGACTTTGAAATTTGAAATATGAGAAAAGTCCCCGCGCTCAGCGCCTTAACCCCTCTCTTACTTCACTGGCATGGGTGGGGATCATTGGTGGGGATCGAACCAATAAGGGGTGTGTTTGGAAACGTAGTCCGGCATAACACCCAACTAACCGGAAGTAGCACAAATGGCGCTGCAGTCGTTTCTTTACCCAAAAGCGTAAAACGCCACAACCAATCAGAGATAGCCGAAGACCTTCGGCCATTAGTTTACTGGAAGCTCTTTATCTACCTTATTCTTGTTTGAGTCAGATCGTATCCTTCTTGAGGTCCGTCTGCCATCTGCCTCTGCCATTTTGTAGAAAGCTATACTGGAGTTAGCATATGAGCAGTGAAGAGAGAAGATATAATTCAAGAAAAACAGCTTCTTCCTGTTCGCTTGATTGCTGTTCAAGAGCGGAGGTCTGGATTTAAGTTGCTTCGAATTCGGAATTTCCAATTTTGAGCCCACAAAGCTCTGCGAAAGGTGAGAATTTCCGTCGAAATTTTATTACGCAGTTGCCGTACGTAGAAAGTAGACGGACCCCCTCCCCCCCAGAAGTGTCTGGAGGCGCCTAGCAACAGCAATAATTTTAGAAAGTTTTGTAAATTTGGCCTGGCTTGAGGTAAGCTACTCCGGATTAGCTTCCATCTGTGCTGCATTCTCCAATTTATTCACAGTTTTTCCATTTCCGACCTTATCCGGCGGACTTTGTCGTTATTGTACCTTTCAGACGGAAACAAACACATCGATCGAGCTTTGTTTTTGCGTATTACACATTCGCGAATCCTCTGTAGGTAAATGTCACGTACGCAGTTTTGATATTAGATTTTACCATTTTTACATGCAAGAACTTTGATTTTAAAGTCGAAAACGTTGACTAATGACGCTTACAAAATTAGGACATAATTAGACTCGAGGCCGTTTCCATAACTTCTCACTAAACACAACAAAACACGTCTCGAGGTCATCCTAATCCAATTTAATGGTTATGTACTTAATATTTTCCTTCCTCAAATTTTTTTGCGTCTCAAATAATATTAGATGATTTGAGAAATTCATTCACATTAGATTGTGTACATATGTGTATGTATTGTCTGGGTATGCAAGCATAAATCTTGGTTTTCCGGATTGGAAAAAATATTATATTTTAGTGAACTTTTGGTATTTCCAGATATTAAAAAATATCTCTTTTGCAGCTGTGGTTAAACCTGGAGCCATCTCCAAGATGAACAATAAGTCTGTTCCAAGCGGTGGGCCCTTCGGGGTGAGCAACCGCAGTCCCGGACCATTCGGGGCGAAAAAGGGTGCCGCTGGCAAGAAGAGTGCACCCCAGCATGTGAGGCAGAGAAGAAAGACTGAGTCTGACTCTTCATCCTCATCCCCATCGCCTTCATACAAGCAGCAGCAGCCTATCATGGTGTACAACAACAACAGGGGTGGCTCACCTGTCGGCAGCCCCTACTACGCAGGGGCCAAGTTCTCAGAACCGCCGTCCCCTGCGCAGCTGCCCATCCCACCCACCCACTGGATGTCGGACAACAAGTCATCCAACTGCCATCACATGTGCAAAGAAGACAAGTACACCGAGATAACTAACCAGCTCAAGTTGATGCTCAACATTAGAGCGTAACTGCCCTGGACTGCATGCATGGTGACCCAATAAACATTAGTGAATAAGGATTTTGATGCAACTCGCTTAAGATTACGGTTTACGTGCCTGTTTTTTTTTCTTCAAAGGTAAATTTGAATTTGAAATCCCAAATTAAGTTGTTAAAAGATTAAGACCATTTTTTCAAATTGTGTACAAATCAGTTTTGTCATTCAAAAAAGGATTCGGTTTCATAAGTTATCATGAATTGTCGGCCTAAGTTGCTCGACTTAGAATAATCCTCATTCAACTGTTACTTCCACGAATATAATTATGATTTAATTTTTGTTCCTGCAAAATTCATTGATGGAAATGCTTTAAATAGTTTTATATTTAAGTCTGATTTAAATCTTTTGACTGCATTTAGGGTATGCAACTGAGAACGTTTTAAAATAATAAGACTCAATTGGGGGGAGGGGGGTATACTTCTTGGCTGCGTCATGCCTGCTACCGTGTAAGATATTGCTGTAAATTTTTGTTGGAACATAAAACGGCGAATTCATTCCGTGAAAAAACAAACTGCCAGGGTTTGCTGCCGTTGGGACAATCAGTTGCACACTTTAAATTACTCTTAAGGCGAGACCAAACTTAAATGTTATTGTGAAAAAATAAGAAAATGATTCTCAGCTCTGCTGTGATAAAGTGGAGCTAAAATTACTTGTATAGTACGGTAATGTAAGAAAAAGAAGGTATGTATTTTTTTCAGCACAAAAATATTTGAAAGCGAAGAAAACAAGTCATTTGATGATATCAATTGATGAATCGAGACGACCCAAGTATTTGTGGGCTCTCTCTTTTAATGGATGATTTTTTTGATTTGTTAGTGATGATTATCGATCTAAAAAAACAATGTGATTGGCAAGTCCGCTTGGCCCTGGTGCATTAATTCCATCCCCCACAGTACAAATATTAATGAGTCAAGCTGAATCCAGATAATACAAGGTTACTGGAATTAATCGACCATGTCCAGGCGGAAATAATATCAGTGTCAAAGTTTCATTGAGTTAAGTTGTTTCCAAAAGAGAATAATTTCATGTGAAGATATTGAAGATGAAAGCAAATTGTTATATGTTCACTGTTTAGGCCTCTAATAATTTTTTTTATGTGCAAAATTGTATTGAGAAGAAAACTAAATATTACTGTAACACCCTCCAAGGGTCCTACTCAGGACCCGCAAATCACTCAAGTATGAGCTGAGTAAGCAATATGGCAAGTCGCCTTGTGCGTCTTGTTAAAACAATTGGCACATAAGCAACAAACTGGCACCTATGACTGTTTACAACAAGAGGTGAAGGACGAAGGACTGGTGCTGAGATAAGGGACCTATAGGATAGGTAAGAAGTGTAGGCCGGGAACAGAAAATAGGTAAGGCAATGACAAGAAATTTCTCTTTCGGTAAGTGAAAAGGTAAAGGATTACATATAATTACAAATTTGATTTATTAAATAATTTAAATTGCTTATAAAGCAATGATTTTGATTTTACGAACGTTAAGTTGCTCGAAAAAATTGTAGATGCCTCTATTGCCTCCCCACCGCTTTATGGGCCAGGCCTGTTTGAGTTTGCTCAGTTCAGCAGTGATAAACAAGGTCATGTGATGTTATACCTCGTAATATAATAACTCGTCCTCTTCAGTTATAAACAAACTGAGCAGGACGGTGTGACAGTATCTTTCTGAATTCAAAGTAAGTGTTTGATAAAAGCTTTCGTCATTCTTTAGCCTCATTTTTCACTAATTATCTTTCCTTGCCATTTCATATCGACTTCAGTCTTCATACTATTCGTCTGCTGAACAATGGCTGGAAGTGCTGTCGAGACCGGCGACAAGTTCCAGTTTGCTATTGACAGAGGAGGAACCTTCACTGACATCTACGCAAGATGCCCTGGCGGCAAAATTAGGGTCATGAAGCTGCTGTCCGTGGATCCGGCGAATTACCCGGATGCTCCCAGAGAAGGAATTAGGAGAATTCTAGAGGAGGTTTTTCTTAGAAATAAATTGGCCCTTTTCTGTTCAATTAATTGGCCGGCTTTTTTAAAATACAGGAACTGGGTACTCCGTTTCCAGCCAATAAACCTGTAAATGCTGAGAAAATAGAATGGATTCGCATGGGAACCACGGTGGCCACTAATGCCTTACTTGAAAGGAAAGGTGAACGAATGGCCCTTGTTGTCAACGAAGGCTTCAAAGACGTTCTCTTTATTGGAAACCAGGCTAGGCCCCGAATATTTGATTTGGTATTTCATTTAAATGTAGCTCCAATTAAGGTTGCGATCTCATGCTGTGTCTTATAGGCTATTAAATGCCCTGATGTGCTTTACGAGTCGGTAGTAGAGGCTCAATGTAGAGTGCTGCTAGAGAAAGCAGAGTGCGAGCTTAAATTTGATGCTAATTTGAGAAAAGTGACTGGAAGCACCGGTGAAAAGTTGATTATCGTTCAGGAACTAGACGAAGTAAAGCTACGGGCTGATCTTATGTCTCTCCTGGAAGTGGGAATTCAGAGCCTCGCCGTTGTTTTTATGCATTCTTACACGTAATTAATATTTTGTTGCCTTTCCAATTATTTTTACATTGCGCAACCAAAGATTTCCTGAACATGAACTGAGGGTTGGCCAGCTAGCTAAACAACTGGGCTTCAAGCATGTTTCCTTGTCACATCAGGTAATGCCAATGGTGCGATTGGTGCCCAGAGGTTTTACAGCTTGTGCTGATGGCTACCTAACGCCGCACATACAGACATATTTAAAAGTATCTATATACTTAGCAATTAAATTGTGTTATTAAGTATTGGTGCAGGGTTTTGCCTCTGGATTCAAAGATGATTTGAAAGGGGTCAACGTTCTTTTCATGCAGAGTGATGGTGGTCTTTCACCAATGGAACTGTAAGATCTATATTAAAAGAGCCAACAAAAAATAAAATATTTTATTGGGCTTATGTTGTTGTTAAATAAGGTTCAATGGATCAAGAGCAATTCTGAGTGGCCCAGCTGGTGGGGTGGTAGGTTATGCCATGACTTCTTGGGATGATACTGCTAAACAACCCATAATTGGCTTTGACATGGGTGGCACTTCAACAGATGTTAGTCGCTATGCTGGCGAGTACGAGCACGTCTTTGAATCGACCACTGCCGGAGTCGCAATACAAGCGCCCCAGGTGCTTTGAAGAAATTGAGCTAATTTATTTTATAAATAATTTTAAAATTCCACCAGCTGGACATCAACACAGTAGCAGCAGGCGGAGGCTCCATGCTGTTCTTCCGGTCAGGCATGTTAGTTGTTGGCCCTGAGTCCGCTGGAGCACACCCTGGGCCAACCTGCTACCGAAAGGGTGGTCCTTTGACTGTTACAGATGCCAACCTGGTGTTGGGTCGAATACTTCCTCAGTATTTCCCACAAATTTTTGGACCAAGAGAAAATGAGCCTTTGGACAAGGAAGGCGCTAAAGATTCTTTCATCAAGTTAACCAATGAGGTTAAATTTAAACCATTTGACCCTCACTCAGGTCAACTAGCTCTCACGCCTTTCTCCTCTCTCTGTTTCACACGGCAGCGAGCACCATATAGATTAAACTTGCTTAAACTCATGCAATAAGCCTATTTTGAAATCAAGCATTATTTTCCAAATTAAAACTAATTTTGCCCAGCTGGAGCCATAAAGTGTGAAAAGCAAGATTATTAGCGTTAAATTGTATTTTAAATTTTGCTTTCAGATAAATAGGTTCTCGTCAAAAGAGGGTGCAGGATTTTCTACTAGGATGAGTGTTGAAGATGTGGCCATGGGCTTCATCAGGGTGGCTAATGAGGCCATGTGCAGACCAATTAGAGCTTTGACGCAGGCCAGGGGCTTTGACACCTCGCAGCACATACTCGCCTGCTTTGGTGGTGCCGGAGGACAGCATGCATGCTCCATTGCAAGGGCCCTGGGCATGAGCACCGTTTTAGTGCACAAGTATGCTGGTATCTTGTCAGCGTATGGGATGGCCCTTGCCAGTGTGGTACAGGAGGCGCAAGAAGCTTCTGCCAAAGTTTATTGCAAAGGTCTACTATTTAAAAAAAATATCTTCAAATTAATCACAAAAATATATAGAAAACTTTGCCTTTCTTGATGAGCGGTTGAATTATTTGGACAACAAGTGTAGGGCAAAACTGAAGGAGCAAGGTTTTTCCGACGACCAAATTAAAGTTGAGCCCTACCTGCACATGAGGTACCGTGGCACCGACTGCGCTCTGATGTGCCATGCTTCAAGTGGAGACTCAGAATCAGGAAATATGAAACACGGAGACTTTTTAGAATCATTTCTTGAGAGGTATTAAATTAGAGAAAAAATTGACCTATAATTATTTTTGGGCAAAAAATCAGGTATAAGCGAGAGTTTGGCTTCACCATTCCAGCAAGAGACATTCTAGTGGATGACATTCGAGTTCGGGCTACGGGAAACATTATTCTGCACAACGAGGCTGAAATTACACCAGCTGGAACTTCGCTGCCTATTGAAAAGGTAGAATTTTTCAATGATATTGGAGAATGTACAAATTATTTATTTCTATATTTTATATTAGACCACTAGAGTATTTTTTGAGACTGGACCTCAAGAAACCCCGGTTCTATTATTGAAAAATCTTGGCCAAGGACACACCATTAACGGACCTGCTATTGTAATTGATGGCCTGAGTACAATTTTGGTTGAACCCGGGTGCATTGCCAAAGTCACTCCTCAGGGAAACATAAGAATCCAAGTTGGCTCAACTGGGAAGAGTTTTGTTGGGGAGCAACGTGACCCAATTCAATTAGCAATTTTCTCTCACCGATTTATGAGTATTGCTGAGCAAATGGGCAGGTTTTTTAACAACTATTTAAGTAATTTATTAGAATTTTATTTCATTGCTAAATTTAGGATTTTGCAACGAACTTCTATCTCAACAAACATCAAAGAGCGCCTTGATTTCTCTTGTGCGCTTTTTGGGCCTGATGGTGGCCTGGTGTCAAATGCTCCTCACATTCCTGTCCATCTTGGAGCCATGCAAGAAGCTGTCCAGTTCCAGCTGAGGCATTTAGGTGACAACCTTAATCCAGGGGACGTCATCCTTTCAAATCATCCCAGCGCAGGTGGCTCCCACCTGCCAGACTTGACCGTCATTACTCCAGTTTTCCACAAGTACAACAAATTTGAGGTGTATTTTTAATGAACTGACTTATTAATAAAATTCTAGTCAGAGCGAAAGACCAGTATTTTTCGTGGCTAGTCGAGGACACCACGCAGACATAGGTGGAATTACGCCAGGGTCAATGCCTCCTCATTCCACAAGTCTTGACCAGGAAGGTGCTGCTTTTGTCAGCTTCAAGCTTGTATCCAAAGGAGAGTTTCAGCTAGAGGCTTTAAAAAAACAGTTAGTGGACGCAGGGACAAGAAACCTACACGACAACCTAGCTGACCTTCAAGCTCAAGTTGCAGCGAATCAAAGAGTGAGTTTTTTTTTATTTACATGTGTGTCAAAAATCCTCACATATCATTGTTAACAGTTTATTCATATTCAAAAACAAATTTTTTTTTTTAATGAAGTATATTTATTTGAATGAAGTTACAAGTCCAGCCAACTCCAAACGGAGTTATCGGCCGGTGCTTATGTGACTGGAAAGCAAGACTTAAAAGCCAAGCAATCCAGTTCTATACACATTGTTTTACATGCAAAATGGCTCTACCAGTTTGGGTTAAAGCCCGTTTTTTTCACCTCCATAGCTCTCTTGCTGTCACCAGACATTAAAAAGCAATCAAATTGAAACAAGAACAGAATTGCAAACAGTTGCTCATAATTAAGTTTTTCATTTTTCAATAGAATGAAACCCAGCTCAAAATTTTCAATAGATCCAGCTGGAGAGTTATCTTAAAAAATAACTTATAAAAATGTCTATAGGGTATCCAATTGGTGCTCGAGCTGATTGATAGCTATGGCCTAAACGTCGTGCAAGCGTACATGGCGCACATTCAGCAAAACGCAGAAATTGCAGTCAGGGACATGCTGAAGCAGGTGGCCCAAATCAATGGCCAGAATTCGACTCTCTCCGCCGAGGACTTCTTGGACGATGGATCCAACATAAAACTAACAGTTACAATTGACAATAACAAAGGTAGCGCCGTATTTGACTTCACCGGCACCTCTTACGAAGTTTGGGGCAATGCTAATGCGCCAAGAGCAATTACTCTTTCTGCAATCATCTACTGCTTGAGGTGCATGGTTGCCCACGACGTTCCTTTAAACCAGGTTTGAAATACTCGCATTTCACTTCTTTTTGCCTAACTCTCTGAACTTATCCTCAGGGCTGTTTGGCTCCTGTGAAGATTGTCGTGCCCAAAGGCAGTCTCCTGGACCCATCGGAAAACGCAGCTGTTGTGGGGGGCAATGTGACAACCTCTCAGAGAATTGTTGATGTTATTTTTCGGGCGTTCTCCACCTGCAGCGCCTCAAACGGCTGCAAGAACAATATAACTTTTGGCACTGACACATGGGGATACTACGAGACTGTCGCTGGCGGCGCCGGAGCAGTGAGTTAATCTTTCTGTTTAAATTTTGGTTGGAGATCTAGAGTTATGAATGTTGTCATAATTTTTTATTTTTTATTATTTATTTTAAAATCTCCCACATAAATTTAAAAAAAAAATTGTTCAAGAGAGAAAAAAGTGATTATTATTAATTCCAGCATTTTCTTTTATTAAGCATTACTTAAAAAGCAACAAAAACTTTTTTAAAGTAGGTAGGATTCAATTCAATCGATACAGTTGGTTCTTGTAAAAATTAGGATTTTACTTTCTTTTCAAGGATTTGCAGGGATGAACTTTAAATATATTTTTTTAGCTTAATTTCGCTTACAACCAAATCATTACCACAAATATTTTGATTTTATTGAATTAACCACGTCGTTTCGACTGCATGGGTTACTAAAAAGATGAAATTGATTTTTTTCAGGGCCCTAGTTGGCATGGCCGAAGCGGGGTTCACACTCACATGACAAACACCCGAATCACCGACCCTGAGATTGTTGAAAGACATTACCCGGTCGTAGTAAATCACTTTAGTTTACGAGGCGGCTCGGGCGGCGGCGGCCGTTGGAAGGGCGGCAACGGCATCCGCAGGGAATTGCTGTTCCGCACAACGGTCACTCTGTCGGTGCTCACCGAGCGCCGTGTCTTCCAACCCTACGGTCTGTTTGGTACGTATTCCTAAAAACTCTTTTTTGACGACCAAGTCCCTCGTTAGATGAGCCCGATCTGTAGCTACGTCTGACACAGTTTAATTACAATACAAGTATTTTGTTTGAAATAGGTAATTTCATTTAAGGATTGAAGTTGTTGAAAAAAACAACTTCTTACAAAAAAAACTTTAATTTATTGAATGGAGAATAAATAAATAAATTCATCTCTGAAGTATATATTTCAGTTCCTGTCTCTCCAGCTACATACTAAAGTATTCACTCTCTTTTTTGAAAAAATGTGAAAATATCTTTGAAGATGTTAAATTGATTTAGGTTTGAGAGGGCACGGCTTGAGTAAATCAAACGCCAGTAAAAGTGATTTTGTGTTTCAGGAGGAGAGGACGGCAAGCGGGGCCAAAACCTTTTGATCAGGAGCGACGGCCGCATCATCAGATTGGGATCAAAAACAGCAGTCAAAGTGAACCCAGGGGTGAGTAGCAAATCAAATTTTTACCTTTCATACTTATCTGCCATTTTGACTAATCTGATCAATTAACTAATCACTTAATAAATCACACATGGACGCAAAATGGCAAAAATGACCACAAGCCGAGTGGTATGAAATCGGCCCAAAAGTTCGCACAAAGCTAGGGCGGCAAAGTATATTTCATTCAGAATGAAGAATCAGAGCAAGGAATTCCCGCCTCTGCGCTAATTCATTTCTTTAATTTAATAATAATGCATGTAAATTTATACACTATACCATATAAATAATAAAAAAAAAAACATAAAAACAGTATAAAAAAAGAATACAAATATAAAATACCATAATATAAATACTGCATGTAAAATATATATCTGACTGAAATTTTTTTTCCGTTTATGGCTACAGCAGCTTTTTTATGAGGGTCAGGCAAAGACAAAGTCTCTTTGGCCTGTGTGCCTTTTATTGGTGGCGCAAAAGCAGAAGGCACAACCCATTTTATTTATTTTTGGGGGGTCAAACTATTAAAAAGCATCTTAACCGGTTGAATGTGGAATTAGCTCCTTCTTTGGTATTTTTTTTTTAACTCCTTTAATTTGCTGACGGCGCTGACCGATTTAGCTCCTTTGAAAGATCCCGCAGCGATTGCATCCGAGGGTCTAATAAACAAAATGCTTGGCTGGAAAAGTGGTGCCGTTGGTGCAGATTGCTACGCTCCTCTTACAAGCATATTATTTAGATGACTTTGATTAAATTTGGTTTGCAACTTGCATTACCTTTGGGAACGGATTTCCAATTTACATTATTGAAACTCATAAAATTATTAAAATGTGTTGGCAACAAAAGTGTCCTGCGTGTAAATATTTTACCTAGAACTGTAACTTCAATTATATGGATTTTAAATGGCAAGAATAGAAGAAAAGAAAATTAGGCAAATATTATTGTCTGTTCTGATGAACCCAAGGGTATTAGAATTTGCACTCCAACTTTCATCAAAATCGGGGGATGTCTCATCTCAATATCCTGTAAGTGTTCGCTGCAAATACGAATACGTCCAGTTCAATCCCAAGATGATTTACTTTCAAAAAATGACCTACGCATGAACTTCAAATTGTACAGCAATTCAAGATTAAAATATACAAACATACCATCTTAAATCTTAACAGCATAATTATTTGCTATTTATTCTCCAATCATGGAATGTGAGAAAGAAGCAAACTTCCTTTTTTCAGCGAACTCCCAACTGCTTGAACCTAATAAGCCTCCATTTAATTCTGATATCCAAATTTTGTTGCGTTTTAGGAAACATTCCGACTTCTGACCCCCGGTGGTGGAGGATTCGGCAAGTCGGACAACCTTTCGCCGTGCCAAGAAACACCAGTCGCTCCGAGCGTGCAAACTTTCGCTGAGAGAGGAAGTGTTTACGAGTATCGCCAAACTCAAGAGTCATCCTAATTATTGCTGTTTTAAAAGTTGGATAAAATAATAAAGTCATTACTATTTTTAGAGTTCAAAACTCTTGTTTTATCTCTTAAAACTCCCAATGATACCTACGTGAGGATGGTTAGTCAAAAATGCTTGAGCGAACTCGTAGATAATTACTAAAAAATAAAATATTACACTTTTTATAGTGAAAAGTCCTAAAAGAGTTAACAGTTGCTGTAGTTGCTCTTCTATACTTTTGAGCTTCCATATTTTCATGGAGTGAAGTTAGAAAAACAAAAACCAACCATCATAAAGTATTTTATATTTGTATCATACGTTTTCTGTAGCATTCTTTATACGAAACTGACGATGCTGCCGCAACGTTATAGACCAAGTATGATTTTTACACTATTTAGGTTTCAATTCGATTGACCTTAAATTTACAAGGTAATAAATCGGAACATAGCAAGTGCTTTTCTTTTTATGAAAAAAGACGTACTAGAGAGTCGTGATAGAGCGCCCTTTTTGTTTTCACAATATTCGTCTGTTAAGTGCCAAAATTTTAATTAAAACATAACCATTCACTATATTTTCCAGGTCACAGACGTTATAGACCAAGTTTGATTTTTACACTATTTAGGTTTCAATGAAATTGACCTTAAATTTACAAGGTAATAAATCGGAACATAGCAAGTGCTTTTCTTTTTATGAAAAAAGACGTACTAGAGAGTCGTGATAGAGCGCCCTTTTTGTTTTCACAATATTCGTCTGTTAAGTGCCAAAATTTTAATTAAAACATAGCCATTCACTATATTTTCCACGTCACAGACGTTATAGACCAAGTTTGATTTTTACACTATTTAGGTTTCAATGAAATTGACCTTAAATTTACAAAGTAATATATCGGAATATAGCAAGTGCTTTTCTTTTTAGGACACCGACGTGATAGAGCGCCCTTTCCATTTCACAATTCACGTTCGGCCCGCCTTATGTCCTAAAATTTGAATATTAAAAAGCAAGCAACTATAATTTTGAGGATAAAATTTAAGGTTCTGTTGGCGAGTAGACCAATATTTTGTAAGAAAAATAGCACTTCACTATCCTTTTCAGGACTGAGTCGTGACAGTGCGCCCTTTTGTTTTCACAAAAATCGTCTGTTCAGTGGCAAAAATTTTGATTAAATATAGCCATAATCTATATTTACCAGGTCACAGACGTTATAGACCAAGATTGATTTTAACACTATTTAGGTTTCAATTCTATTGACCTTAAATTTACAAGGGGATAAATCGGAACATAGCAAGTGCTTTTCTTTTTATGAAAAAAGACGTACTAGAGAGTCGTGATAGAGCGCCCTTTTTGTTTTCACAATATTCGTCTGTTAAGTGCCAAAATTTTAATTAAAACATAACCATTCACTATATTTTCCAGGTCACAGACGTTATAGACCAAGCTTGATTTTTACACTATTTAGGTTTCAATGAAATTGACCTTAAATTTACAAAGTAATATATCGGAATATAGCAAGTGCTTTTCTTTTTAGGACACCGACGTGATAGAGCGCCCTTTTCATTTCACAATTCACGTTCGGCCCGCCTCATGTCCTAAAATTTGAATATTAAAAAGCAAGCAACTATAATTTTGAGGATAAAATTTAAGGTTCTGTTGGCGAGTTGACCAATATTTTGTAAGAAAAATAGCACTTCACTATCCTTTTCAGGACTGAGTCGTGACAGAGCGCCCTTTTGTTTTCACAAAAATCGTCTGTTCAGTGGCAAAATTTTTGATTAAAATATAGCCATAATCTATATTTACCAGGTCACAGACGTTATAGACCAAGATTGATTTTTACACTATTTAGGTTTCAATTCTATTGACCTTAAATTTACAAGGGGATAAATCGGAACATAGCAAGTGCTTTTCTTTTTATGAAAAAAGACGTACTAGAGAGTCGTGATAGAGCGCCCTTTTTGTTTTCACAATATTCGTCTGTTAAGTGCCAAAATTTTAATTAAAACATAACCATTCACTATATTTTCCAGGTCACAGACGTTATAGACCAAGTTTGATTTTTACACTATTTAGGTTTCAATGAAATTGACCTTAAATTTACAAGGTAATAAATCGGAACATAGCAAGTGCTTTTCTTTTTATGAAAAAAGACGTACTAGAGAGTCGTGATAGAGCGCCCTTTTTGTTTTCACAATATTCGTCTGTTAAGTGCCAAAATTTTAATTAAAACATAGCCATTCACTATATTTTCCACGTCACAGACGTTATAGACCAAGTTTGATTTTTACACTATTTAGGTTTCAATGAAATTGACCTTAAATTTACAAAGTAATATATCGGAATATAGCAAGTGCTTTTCTTTTTAGGACACCGACGTGATAGAGCGCCCTATTCATTTCACAATTCACGTTCGGCCCGCCTCATGTCCTAAAATTTGAATATTAAAAAGCAAGCAACTATAATTTTGAGGATAAAATTTAAGGTTCTGTTGGCGAGTTGACCAATATTTTGTAAGAAAAATAGCACTTCACTATCCTTTTCAGGACTGAGTCGTGACAGAGCGCCCTTTTGTTTTCACAAAAATCGTCTGTTCAGTGGCAAAAATTTTGATTAAAATATAGCCATAATCTATATTTACCAGGTCACAGACGTTATAGACCAAGATTGATTTTTACACTATTTAGGTTTCAATTCTATTGACCTTAAATTTACAAGGGGATAAATCGGAACATAGCAAGTGCTTTTCTTTTTATGAAAAAAGACGTACTAGAGAGTCGTGATAGAGCGCCCTTTTTGTTTTCACAATATTCGTCTGTTAAGTGCCAAAATTTTAATTAAAATATAGCCATTCACTATATTTTCCAGGTCACAGACCAGACCGCACAGTTTAAAATTCTTAGTCTATCTTCAGTTTTATTTTAGTAGCTTGGCTGAAAAACAAAGGATTGGAAAAACTGAAATTATCATTTTTGGTGGCCTGTACTTTTGCAAAAATGTATTTAGAATTGCTCCAGTCTGTTGAAAAACGAACAGTCTTTAAATTTCCTGAGCCATTAACAAATTTGAGTCTCACTTTGGACCTATAATTGATTTCAGAGTAAATATTTTGTAAAAAAAAATATTTATCCACCTCAAGCATATGAAAGTCTCTCATCGTTGAAATTGTTATTTGGAAGGCATTTCTATATATCTTCTATGTTATCTGATCAAAACACAGATAATTATAATCGGGCAGCTAAAGTTCATATTGAACTAAAATTGCTATTTTACTAACCATTTTTTAAGCATGTATGCATTACGCGCATCATCGAAGTGCCGCGCGTTGCCTAATTTACACAGCGTCATCGAACGATGCACAAGGCAAAAGTGCGCACCGACCTCGGCCCCTGTTCTTTTCCCTTTCACCTCACGTCTCAATGAACCTCCCTCCTCTGAGTGCCTCAAATAAATTCCAAAAATTGTGCAAAGAGCATGACAAGTTTGATTTCTATTTTTTAGGTTGCAGAAAGGCGAGTAGTTCATTTGTATTTGAATTTGTTTGTTTTTCACTACCAATATGTGCGTAATATTAATAAATACGTATCATCTTTTGAGATACTTAAATCCTAAGTAAATCTTTAAGGTGCTATTGCTATTAATAAAAAAAACCTACAGTCTGCTTCATCGTCCCGTTTAAGATTCCCTGCGACATATAAACCCCACTTCAATGTGTAATTCAATTTTTTTTTTATCGAATTAAGACCAGATATAAAAATTCACGCATGCTTAATATATATTTTTATTTAAATGTTGCCCCTAATTGAACTGCATTTTTCTTTACCGGTAAGGCGCGCGGGTCTGCAATATCCGGAGGTAGTAATTGCCCGCTGCTCAGCCAGCTGCTAATATGGAAATAATGTCTTTTCCAATTTCCTAAGCCGGTGCTTGAGAGCCCGCTTCGTCGGTGGGGCGAGACATCGGCCACCAGTGGAACACCGCGATAAAATTATCGACGAAAAGAAGTCATAAATATAGCAACACGACTGGGAGAGGAAGGAATAAAAGTAGGTCAATCTCGTCAGAAGATGTGTCTGCTTTATTTTCATGTCTCTCAATTATAATCCTTTTAAATATATAAGAGGCCGAGACCGCAACATATAAATTGCTTCTCCAACGAAAGTACTTTTATAAGTATTGCGTGAAAGTTGCGTGCAGTGTTTGAACATACAACATTTAATTACACTTAATTAAGTGCGTATTTACTCCACAATCGTAATCAATATGCAGCACTCGCAGGGCGATGACGTCAACGGTGCACCCTCCACTGCTGCTGCCACCGCCGCTACCCGCAGCCGCGCCGGAGAGGACCGACCGCCACCTGTGAGTTTGTACAAACAGTTGACCCGCCGCCAATCAACAAGGTTTTCAATTTGTATCGGTCCGAGAGGGAAAGATTTTCTCGCAACACGGCGGCGAACAGCTTTTGGGGTTTGTAAATAATCATTTGAATGCGCTGCATTTTTCCCTTTTCAATTTTTATTGCTTTTCACATGCATAATTTCCCTCATACTGGGATCTCTGATCGTACGCTCGCGTGTTTAAATTAGCAAATTGTAAACTTACTAAATATTTTAGAATATTTTACATTTGATTGTTTCCGCTTTGAATGAGGGCAAGTGTTGGAATACAAACGCGCTCTTGAGCAGAGATTTATCACTAATCTCTCTAATAAGTATTTCGTATATATGATTAGTAGTGCAATAAATAACAACATTTTAATTTGGGCAACAAGTTGATTGAGATTTGTTCGGTGTTTGAGTGTGTAAATTTTGCAGTGGAGTGTTTCCAGAATACAAGAATTTTTGTTTTCTTTTTTTACAGCCCCGAACTGGGGTTTGTTACTTTAACAATAATATAAAAAATTTAAAAAAATACTGTGACTGAAAAATTTCTATTTTGTTAAAACTGATTGAACAAATTGAAGAATGGAAGTATTTTTTATATAGTGTGACAAAGCGAGTGATTAAAGCAGGGAAGTCCTAGTTTTTTATTGAGTAAAATTAAAAATTATTTTTTAACAAGGATGATGAGGAAAATGCCTATTTTCTTTTTTTGAGTGCCAAATTTTTAATTTTCTACAGATTAAACAAATTTCCCACTTTATCGCTCCACCTTAATAAAAAGTTTTAATTTCAAACTGAGGTTTTAGTGAGTTATAGCAAATAATCATGTGACCTCTGGTCCTGTTGTCCAAGAAAGGCAAGGTTTGACCTGGAAAAATGATAGGCTGAAATTTTCACAGATGATTGGGGGCGCCCTGGACTATAAAAAAAATAATAAAGTATTATAATCCTGAGATTTCCCAAAGTTTTCCCTTGCCGCTACCATTCACAGGGCAAAGAGCACCTTTCAATGGTGGTCTATTTTCTAATTATTGCAGTAATTTTTCTATTATATAGCTCACTCAAATAATACGAAACAAAAACCAATCGATAGGAAGTTAAATATAAGCTTTAAATACCCACCAAGTTTTTCCCCCCATAAAATATCACCAAAATTCCAAGGCTGAATCAAAAAACAAATTTGGCAATTTTTGATCTGTTTTTACCTCCGACTCATTACAGTGACAAATTTTTCATTTGAAGTATAATTTAATATTTAATTCACTCAAATATTTTTGATAACTAACCCTTTCATCTAAACAAATAGGAAAAGTGCTGTCAACACAGGAAGGTTGAGAAGTGTCGGTGCCTATACCTTCTCGGTGAAAATTAAACCGAAGTATTTAATGCTCCTGGTAAAATTTAGTCCTTATGCATGGAAAGTATCAGGCCAATTTAGCAGATATTTCCTCTCAGCGATTCCATTTTCAGTGACAAAAATGGGATTTTCTGTATGCGCTCGTTACACGTTTAGCCCCGCAAAAAGAAGCGGCCCTTGATAATGCGGGCGCGTCATCCAAGTGCCACATCATTGACATAATTCGCGCCGGAACACCGTCGGCGGCACCATCATCAAATATAGAGACGTGAATATCATTTGTGTACATGGACATGGCTCGCGGTAAGGCAGCCCGAGTCCTGCAACCCGCACGGCTTCAATCCGAGAGAAAAGCGGCTCGCCTACCAAACCGAGGAAAAGCCGCTCATGTTCTACGCGACCCCAGCATTGCACCTTATTATTATTGTTCTTATTTATTTGATGATTTTTTACATAACATTTTTCACATTTATCTTCCAAGAAATAAATTTAAAAATTTGAGAGAAATCGTAACGACTTGATTTCTGTTTTCGCGTTCCTCTCCTTGTTGGCTGATGCAATTCAGTCGGTGCACTTTGCCAAAAATTTGTGCATAAAAAAATACCAATTTCAGAGCCCATTTTATTTCGATATCGGTATATGAATTATGTCAAAACAGATTAATGAAACCGAATCAGTTTATTCTTTGTTAAATAAAAAATTCGGCTAAAAAGCACTTTTAAAAATTATTTTATTTTTGATTGTAGTTAATAAATGGCTCACTTAAACTTTCCTTTCTCTGAAACGACTTTTCAAGCCAATCGGTTTTTGTACGGGCCGCACATTTCCGGGGCGGCCAAGCCCGAGCTGCTCCGAGGAGAAGCTTTTGTGTTGCGTGGCGGAACTCCTCAGGGAGGCTTTATTTCGCCCTTTGCGTTCATCGCTTCAATTATTACACGAGTCCGTTTATTATTATTGTAGCTTTCTTGCATTATGGAATATCTCTTGTGCGACCCACCCATTTACAATTTTGTCCAACAAACATCAAATTGCGCTTCAATTATCTTTTGTTGCCTTTAGGTTAAGGTGATGATACTATGCCGAGCTATTTTTTTTACCGATACAACAGAGCAATTATTTTTTTTTCGGAAGCACGTTTGGTGGCTTTTAATTTGAAAAATTTAGCACTGAAAACGGTGGTAGCTCATTTTTGGCACACAAATACGGCGCAAGCCTTGTGTTCTCAATTAATCCAAGTGGCTGATCAATCTGTCTGTGTTTCCCGAGTTTAGTCATTTAAGGGCTTTTTTGTGGTGGAATATTTAAGTTTAAATATTTTGGCCCAGCTCGGCAAGCGGGAATGGATTGCACGATTGGAAAACTTGAGCGAGTTCAAAAGCGAGCCCTACATGTTATGCACGGAAAGCATCTCCCTAAAAAAAAATCATGCCCCTTCCGATTCGTTCTGAGCTGCGATAGATTCTTTTTTAAGTTTTCCGAAGCATTTTGTGTCCGAGCTCCGAGCATAATTTTATTCCAAAACTGAGTGTGTAATGATTATTTAACGAGCTTGTGAATATGTTTCTTTAAAATTATTAATCCTTCTTAGACCCAGTTAATGTAAATGAGTGAGTTTTGCCACTATTTGTAATATCACGTCATCATAATACAATAAAAAGCTGGAATAATAATAATAGCAGCAGCTGAATTAAAACCGACCTGACCTTCTCATTCTTCCGAAGGTGTCTGGACGGAGACACCGACATGGACATAATGGCGCGAATTACAAATCACGACCGCCGTGTAATGAGACCGGCGGCTCATTCTTTCAAAAGTGGGCACCGACCTTGACTTTGCTTTCGTCTCGCATTCCATAGTGTGGGTTTCCTGCTCTCAGTCTCGCTGTTTTAAATCGTGTGCACCAAATAATTATCCAAAATTGTGCACTAAATATGTGAAACTAAATTGACTTTTCCGGTAGTTTGGGCTGCAGCGCGGCGAGTTCTCGCGTATTTATCGATTGTTGGTTACGAGTTTCAGTGAGTCGCTCACTAGCGCTGAGTGTCTATTTTCCTCCCATCCTTATCCAACGAGTGTCCATGGAGGTCACTTTAAAATCTCCGTTAGACAAGGGAAACATTATTTATTTATAATTAATTGTTTTCCTTCCTTGAAAAAAATGAGATGAATTGAATTATTTGCTAGAACTGGCTATCAGTGTAATCATGTACTATTTTTACTTGGTGCGACGATAGACTAATTAAAATTAAACATACATTTTTTGTTGTACATATGTCCACTTCTTTAAGTTACAATTTCATACAATTTCTTACCACCCGTCTTATTTGTGAATAAATAAATGAGAGGTTAAACTGAAAAATTAGAAACATTGAAAGAAATGAAGAGATCGGACTTTTCCGTGATCATCTCCTTGAGTCTTCAAACAAAATTGACAGAGATTAGTATTTTAAAATCCCCACTCCTCTTTTGCAGCTTACTCGATTTAAGCAATTTGTATTGGCTATTAATCGCTATTTATTACTTCTATTATTTGTTCTTCTCGGTCATACAAAAAAATTGAAATTGGAAAAAATATCGGGTCTACAAAACAGACCTGCCGCGGTATTGAGGGGGTATATCTTAAAATTTATCGCCTAGCGCACGAAAAAAAAATGAGATTGATGTGCCCTGACTATATTTATTACTTGAAACAAACGTCCCAAAAGGTTTATGCACATTCTGACATTTGGGAAGAGACACACCGGTGTGTGCGGCCTTCCGGGCATGATTGGCCATTATTTACGGGATGTGTGTCACCTACAAAGCGTGTGATATGTGTGTGCGTGTGTGTGAGTTTATGTATGAGTAAAAAACCAGCACACATTCTCTTTCCAACCTGCACGGCTCTGACAAAATGTCTGTTCTACCACTAGTATAATATTTCGCGTCATTCATAAATTTATATAAAAAATCCACCCGCTTTTTCCTCTCCGGACAGCCTCACGCAAGGAACATCACACTGGTCTCTTTACCAACGGCGTGTCGTGCAGTCCGATCTGCAAATGTAGGCAACACGCCGAGCCGCAGAATGATCCTCCTCCAGCTGCGCGTCTCAAGAAACTTTTAATTAGCGCCTCTCTGTAACGAGAAATAAAAACGGCACCATGTTAAATTTCATCAACGCCGACATGAATTATTTATATTAAATTATATAAATTTATGAATGGGGCCAGAGTTTGGTTTCTTTGCCAGCTTTAGTTTTGAATTGTGTAGGTGCGTGAAAAATAATTTTTTGGTCAAAATAGGTCACCAAAATTAATGAATCAAACGATAAACGATAACAAAGGAAATAATTTTAATATTTATATAAGCTGATTATTTTTAAAGCGTAGAGGTGTGAAATTTTACATAATTATGACAGCATCCACGTTTTCTTAAGGTTGTTTTAATCCTCCTGAACTCCACGCTTCACATCAGATTACAAATCAAACCTCACTCAGACGGCTGCCGACTGACTCACTCTTGCCTGCAAAGTAATTGACTAATTGCAAATGCGGAAGTGGAAAGATTTGCTCTTGCAAAATTTTCAAATTTATCAGAAATAAAAGGAAACAGATTTTTGTTTCAATTATCCCAAAATAATTTATCAGGGCGCCATGATTCATGGGCCGGAAAAAAATTGTCAGAAAACGCTAAAAAGCAAAATTTAAGCATGTGAAGAATTTAACGAAACTATTGGCAAACAATTAAAATTAAATTTTCTTAAATGTTAATAACTAAATTCTTTATGATTAATTGGTATTGCTTATCACTGAATAAGGGAGAAAACGTTCCATAATTATGTTGCTTACAAACCGACACGGATATGATGGCGCGAAATTAATACGGGCATGCAGCTTCGCGGCGATAATAAAAGCCGCAGCCGCGGCTGCACCAGCCGCCTGCGAAAACAAAGGTTTGCCACCCGCAGTGAAGGTTAGAACCGCGGCACAGTTTCCACCTCTGTGCAAGGCGTACTTGCGGCAAAATTTTAGTGTGTAATAATTGCTCTAGCGGCCGGTGCACTGAAGATTGTGCTGTGATTTGGCAAGTTGATTGCTACTGAATAGCCATTCATCTCATAATTAACAGATTTATTATTCCTGCATAATTTTTGTATGTATTCTTGAATGGACAATAAATAAATTATTAAATTTATAATTTTATTTTCTCTCTGTACGAATAACAATGAATAATAATAAATTCTGACCCTTCATTTTCTTACTTTTAAATTTTTGACCATAATGAAAAACAAGATTACTGAGCAATGAAATACTGATAATAAATTGTCGAAGACTGTTTTATATAAATTTCTGGTAAAGAACGGCAATGACTCGTCTCTTTGGCAAACAAAATTCTTTTAATTCGAGTGGATAAATTTTCACCTGCCGAAAAACATTATCAAGTTTTGCTGTTTAAAATTTTTTCCTTCAGTTTCATACTTATTTTCATTTTTTTCCTCAAAATTTTGTATATAAATATTTTCTTTACGCACGTCTTGGCGGGAATTTCAGCAGACATCTGCTAGGTGTAAACCGTTTCTTCTCTGTTTTCCAATTTAAAATTTGTATGATCGAGAAGAATAAATAATAATTTAATAAAATGATAACAAAATCAATCAGAGAACAGTTCTGGAAGCAATGGCATGCGGGAATAATGCAATAAGCCAACCGAGCCAATAGTTTGACCAAAGGTGGATGTGTTTTTAGAGAGAGGAAGCAGAGAGCTTTTTCTCAAAAACGTATAATGGGTATAATGTGCCTGACGTCATTCGGCGCCCCCACGGTCGACTGCGCTTATTACCCAAATCCCAATAAAGATCACTTCTCCAAATCAATCTTTTTAGCTCGATCCTCGATTGTACTTTATCATGAAATATGTAATTATCACATTCAATCAATTAATTTTGTTAGTTTTAAGATTTAAAAATATTTACGTGGCTCTTCAATTTTGCTGACTTTTTGTTACTTATGAGACTTATGAAATAAATTAGCAGGGAGTGACCGAAGCTAGTATTGAGTCGCTTAGTTTTTAAATATGTTGGAAAATGTTTATATTTCTTTAAAAAAAAATCCGCGCAATAGCAGGATGGCAAATAAAAGATACTGGATGGCGTTTGACCCCTTTTTAAGGAATTCCAAATTCTGCCAGCCTCCTCCTAAATTACCCTGTTTAGCAAAGCATGACTTAATTGCTTGTAAAATAGACTAGATTGAACCTGACAGTCCCGTCCAGTCCCCACAGATTAAGATCACAAGAATTTTTATTATCTCCCAGAAAACATCGATATCATTATTAGCCAGTTTAAAATAAGGAAACTGTAATTGTATTATAAACAATATAATCAAATGCTCTATGACGCATATGAATATTTTATTTTGTATATACGGTGAATACTTGTTTCAACAGTAAGTTTATATTTTGTACATTTATTTATTCTTTCTCTCACTCTTTTCTAGAAAAATATCTGCAGATGTTGATCGGTATCTGATTAATTGAAATTCAATAGAAGGTTTTATGCTGATTTTGAATAAAATCGTCCTTCGGAACAATTTTGGAATGTCAGCTTCATATTGAACTTGATTTCAACTTTCAGTGAAATGATGAATCATTAAAAATAACAGACAAACAAAGAATCAAATAAATTAATTTAAGGTGCAATTAAAGCTTGAAACTCGGGAAAAGTTAATAAAACAAACAGGAGAAACAACACACCCAGCATGAAATAAATGTGAACGACGAATTGAGAAACCTTAATTTTTTGCAACACCAAATTTGATAAAAAAAAAAGAAGTTTAAAGAGTCACAATCACGTCGGCGGCCGACGCAGCGTGGGGTGCGCTGCCCACCGCACTGACGGGTGCGGGTCGAAACCCATAAGTGTCCGGTGTGTTACTTACGGTGGCTGAGCGCGGCATGCTGAAGCCGTAGGGCCTCGGTTCATAAGGCACGCGGCCGTGCAGGGCTGCGTAGCGCGGCGCGGGGGGCGGCGGCGGGATGACATCGTTCTGCTGGAAGAGGCTGCTGCGCGTCTGGCACTCGTTGTCGCGCATCTCGATGCTCGGACTTTTGCTGATGGTCGGGAACGATTCGTGTGTGCCCGCATAGAGCCCGTTGTACCGGTTTTTGGCCACTGTCTGAGGACTCTCGCGCATGACCGGCACTGGACTTGCTCCGCCGTCCACCAGCGATGGGACGTAGCATCCCTGGCCCGGATCCTCCTCGTCGGGCGTTGTGTCGCGGCACCGCGGCGGCTCCGACGAGTAGCGCGTCATCAACGAGCGGATCTTCTCGGCGTCAAACGAGCCGCTCGAGTTGTCTGGCAACATGCTCATCGATACGGTGTGGCACGTGCCGCGACCCACCTCGTTCAGACGGTTCTCGCGCGACTGATGTATATGCTCCTGAGTGGTCAACAGAGAAAACGATTATTATTATTATTGTTTGTTTCCTAATCCAATTGTTACATCACATTGTTTAAAATTAAGAAGTAATTGCTCCCTGCAATGGATATTGGGGGAAATTCACAACAGATATCCTCCCCGGTTATCTATACTTATAAATGGTTATCCCGGGAATGTCATCCATTATCATTGATGCATTGTAATATTTATATATTTTTTCCGTTTATTTATTTTACTTTATTGCATATGTTTTGTACTGTCTTGTTGCAAATTGGGCGCGTAGCGGTGACGCTTCCTAAGCCAATATAAGTATAACGGAATTGAAGAGCTCAGGCTTTTCCTCGTTGTAAGAAATTGTTTCCATTAAAAAACAAAAGACGGCTCTACCAGTTTCGGTCTGCAAACCTATTTCATGAGCAAGAAAAACATGAAAAATCAGCAAAATTGAAAAATTTAAAGAAAAATGTGTTGGTTTTTTTCCAATTTTGCTGATTTTATTTTTTTTTTATTTTTCTTGCTCATGAAATAGGCTCGCAGACTTTGACCGAAACTGGTAGCGCCGTCTTTGTTTTTGAATAGAAACAATTTCTTACAACGAGGAAAAAGCCCGAGCTCTTCACTTCCGTGATCATTTCCTGGAGTGTTAATTTCTTCAAACATATTTTCTTCATAATAGTTCTGAACGTGAAAATAGATTTAATGTTAACTTCCAGGACACACCAGCCACGAGGAATGATTGCTGTAAATAACACTCGATAAACTACTACAAACCGAATCTTTAGCAATCGTTCGAAGCTAAAACAGTGCTTTGATATTATGCGGGGAGAAATGCATCCAATATATCAAGCTGAGGTAAAAAATCGAGTTCTTAGTATATTAATGATTGATCTAAAAGAAAGTGAAACGAATTTGAAAACATTGTCATGAAAAAATAAATTGTTCTGTGAAATTCACAAGTGGAGTAGGTCCAGAGGCCAGTATCAATCACCTTCACCTGACATACATATTGCTTTTGAGCCAAAAATACTAAATCTCTTGCCTGCTCAGAGCATCCCAAAATCACCAGCCCGTAATTCATAATCAATATGCTGTCCATCCCGATTGAGGCGGAAGCAATTTTTTTTTTAAATTGCCCTATTAATCTATTCAGATTAGAATTAAACATGTCTTTTTGTCTCCTCAATGTGAGCTGACAAGCAAATCAGCGTTAACACAATTACGTAGAGCTGGTTCACATTTTCCTCTCATAATATTTAGAAGAATGAATTTTGGAATGGAAGTGCAAACAGGATCATCAAAAGCCCAAAAATAAAAAAAATAAATAAATAATAATAATTGGGTGGTGCCTTCTGCACCACCAATAAAGGGCACAGGCCGACAAGACTTCGTCTTGGCTTGGCCATAAAAAAATAAAAAAAATAAACTGCAAAATTCGTCTTATTTGGAAATTTTGAAGTATTTCATTGTTGCGAGGATCTGTTCTGCGCTTTTCTGTCGTTTACTTTTATCAGTTAAAAAGATTAATATTTCACTAGCAAGTAAAAACTAATCTGCATATTGAACAATTTTTTCAACAATATGTTTTAAGATCTGACAATTAACAAAATTCATATCTACCCGTGGTCAGTATTCAACCTTGAATTATGAAGATCACCTCTCCCAACCAATCTGACTACCTCATTCTAGTTTTAGTCTGTGATCAGCGCATTTGCTCACGAAATTGGGTGCCATGTGAATTTTGATAGTTTCAAGATTTTTATCAATGGTTTTGATTAAATAAATACTTCTAATTTTACTGATCTTTTGATTTTTATTGATGTTTTGTTTATTTTGCTCGTGAAATAAACTGGTAGATATTTTTTTTTTATTAAACAAGTTTTTCAACAAGAAGCCCGTTTACCTCCTTTCCATTATTAATAATAATGATTTATTGATTCATATATAATATTAAAATAGTAATTTAACAATAAAAAAATTTATTATATAGTAATAATGCTAAACGAAAAAAAGAAATTTTTAATTGAAACTCACTTTCATGACAAGGCTGGGGCAAGAAGCAATGGTCTCAGGGGGGTTGGGTGAGGCCCCTGTGTCCACTACCAAACCTTCGAGAAATCTCCAGCCTGGATGCGCGTGTTCAATTAAATAATATTCTTTATTGATTGGAATTTTTTTTAAACAGGCTGAGATAAAAAAAATCATATTTCCTTTTCTAATGATAAGGTGTGCTCAAAGCGTTCACAAATACTTTTTCTTTTGCTACTGGAAAGTCTCTCTAAAAATCACATCATAAGCATATACTCAACTTGAATGAAAAAGTAATCTGCAAAAGGGTTTCAATCAAAACTCACCTTCATGATTCTGTGGTCGCGGATCAACTTGCGACTGCAATTAAAGATGAAGGCGAAGCACATCCCTGACAAGATCAGCGTGAATATAATGAGAATGATGATGATGTGCTCTGAATTAAGTATCGAGACGTGCTTGTTCTGAAAACAGAAAATCGTTGGAAAATGAGAGCAGGGCTGACTTTAAGAATATTATAATCAAAGTTTGATCCTTTGAAAGTTACGAGAGACGGCAAAGGAATTATATTAAATACGCGCTTGCGCACACAGAGAAACACATCTCATATTCCTTATTTTCTTGCAACAATTTGCAAGAAATAAAAGTCACATTGGTATAATTACATTTTTTTTGGTCAACATAAGCTTGGACTGTACGTGTGTGCATGAGCGCGTGCGTGCGTGTTTCTGTGTTAGTTTTAATTTAAATAATTGGAACTCACAATGCACTCATCTTCGTCCCACCGGAAGCGACAGTTGATTCTGCCGTTGCACCGCATATTCCGCGAAATGCATGTATTGTCTTCACAGTCAAATTCGTCGCTATCGCAGCCTGAAATTAATACATTGCGAAAACTCGATAAAAAAAACATACCTTCACAGAAAGATAAATTTGCATATAAGGTTTAAATTAAAATCAGTTTAATGGAAATAGATTGTTGCTGAAAAAAAATTAACTTCTGTTATTAGGCTACGAAAAATGTAAACCCGGTTGGCGGCCAAATTTGAGCATAAAGAGCGGTTTTGTGGTGATCTGGTGATGCGGCCATTATTTTAGCAAAAAAGTATAAATTGAGATGAGGAATCAATTAAAAGATAATAATAGTCAGAGTGTTAAAGGACAACAGAACATGCACTGGAAAAGTACAAATAGTTTGCGTCTCTGCCCGCAATCTTTCAACTCTCATCTCGGCAACAAAGGCAGGAGCATGTTAAAGGGAAAAAAAACTCACCCTGTCCGGCGCCTTTGTCCCTGAAAGCCGTGAAGAGCGCCTCAAAGGTCGAATTGATAGCTTTGGCCTCGCCAAAGAAGCGCACATGCAGCACGTTGGTGGTGCTGGTGACCGAGTCAGCAATACTGCCGCAAAAGTTTTTCAGTCGGTTTGGCAGGTCCGTCTGCGTTGAGAAGACATCAACAAAGTTGCTGTCGCAGTCATTTGGCTTCTCCAGTTTAAACTTTTGGAATGATAGTTGAATCTATGGCAAGGAGTTTTCGTTTCAAGGATTTGAATTCAGAATAAGAGCAACTTTCGGAATTTTAATAATTTAATTACAATAAATTGAGAAATCTATTTTTAATGTGAGAATTTTCTATTTCGATTCATATTTTTTCTAATTACAATAATTAATCAAATTTTTATATCATTTAAAAACACTCACTAGCACTAATCCCGTTGACTTACAAATAGACTAATTAGATCTGATATTAATTACACCAATACCAAAAAGCAAGAGGTCTCATCAATCTAGATGAACCGCATATTTTAGGATCATGTAAACAGCCGCAGCAAAAATATGCGGCTTTTAACCATTTTTGTCTCGGCTGACGAGAGAATATTTTTTATTTTATTTTTTTTTTATTTTTTAGGGTCAGGCCAAGACAAAGTCTTGTCGGCCTGTGCCCTTTATTGGTGGTACAGAAGGCACCACCCAATTAATTATTTTTATTTTTGGGTTCAACTTTATTTAAAAAATCATCATATGAAAAATTTCAGAGTGAAAATTTGGTCGCGTGGTACTTTTTGAGCAAACAACCTAGCTATCCCTTTTTTAAATCTATTAAATTATGGGCCAGCCGAATGCCAAAAATATGCCTCGACTCACCTTCCATCCCTCCTTAACGCGGATGATCCACATACAATCAAGGGGCACCCCGTAGCTCATCGAGTGCTGAACCCGCCCCAAGTCGATGTCCGAGCGATTCACCCAGCCCTCCATGCCACCCACGTCAATGCGGCACATGTTGATCTCCGGCTGGTACACCGCTGCAGCAATTACAAATTTACTAATAACTTGGTCATGTTTTAAGAGATGAGATTTAATATATTGTCTTTTTTTCCATTCATTTCAGTCATAAATGAAGGTGTAATTAAAATTATTCAATGTATTTAGATAGAGAATAAATTAATTAATAAATTGTGTTTAATTGATTCAAAAGTGACATTCGTTTAGGACTAAAATTAGTAATCAAATGGTCAAACTATGAAACAATATTTTTTAAATGTATTTAATTGGTAGTTTCAGAACTAATCAATCAATGTGTAATTAAAATCAAATCAAAACGACATTCATCGCAGTAAATCTCATTGAAATTTCAAAATATAAAAAAATTAAAGTTTTTTTTACAAAATAACAAAATATTTAGCGCACTGACCCGACGTTGGCCGAGGGATGTACTGGTAGACGGCTTTGAAGCCCGAGTACTCGATGTTCTCGTCCGAGTGGAAGCGCAGCCACAGATACCGGTCTGAGCTGGTAAGCATTGGAGGAAATCGATTGTCACAGTAGGTGCCGATCAGCGTCGAGTATCCGTGGGCACCGTCACGCACCTCCAGGTAGTCATACCGGCATTCCTCACTCGGCTCCAGGTGGAAGTCGTCCCTGAAGTCCAGCCGTAGCAAGTGGCCTGCATCGGCTGCAGAAGAAAAAAACACAAGCACTAGTTTAGTAAAAGTGGGGTTTTACTTAGTAGGCAAATTTAATAAATTATAATTATTAGATATAAAATAATTAACAGAAATTTCCCTGCCAAATCCGATCAAAACATTTTGAATTAATAAATAAATGATGATGTTTTTAGTTTTATAAGTTTTGGTTCGTGCGCGTTGTTCTGGCAATTAGCTTTATGGGGCGAGACATTACAAGCCTTAACATCGATTCAAAGAGGTCACATTTCTTCTAATTTCAAAATTAAACAAATTGTACCTTTTAAAACTTTAATGCAATCGGTGTGGTTGGGATAGTTGTTGGGGTAGTTGGGCGAGTAGAACTCCATCTTCTCTGGGGCTCCGACCGAGAAGTTCTGGCACAAGGGCAACGTAGAAGATCCTTCAATGCTCCCTTCATCCTCGGTGGAGACGATGAGCGACGCCGGCGTCACCGCATACTTGGGCTGTTGCGTGCCTGCAGTAATATTATTGTTGAGTTATCAATTAATATCACATTTTTTGTGAATTAAATTTTTAGAAAGAAAAGAAAATCGTTTTTTTGAAGCCAATTAATTATTTGACTGGAAATAGTTGATGAAGCTATAATTCGATATAAATATATAATATTTTTAAATTTATTACAATTTATTAATTTTATTATCCATTCAGATAATGTGCGTGTAAATGTGCCAAAATAAGAAATCTTACTTTTATTTCATTCAGATTCAGAAAATATGTATTCTTTAAAGATCACCACGATTACCTATGTTGTGCGACATTTCTCGCGCTAATATTTTTTCCTTTTCGCCCTAAGCAATGGGTTTTTATATTCAAATTTTAATATTAGACTTGAATATATTCTAAAGACTTCTTTAAATATTCCGGCGTAGCTGAACAACAATTATGAATTTTGAAATTATTTTGAATTTCCTTGACTGGAATCGCAACAGACACATTTTGTTGGTCAATATCAAATAAATATTATTATTATTTTGAATCTGAATCAATCAAAATAGACCATTGAAAATAATCCCTCAAAATGAGGAGGATTTTGTGAAAAAGCGAAAGTTTTTGTATAGGAGTATGAATTTATTTGGCTTTAACGAATTGCATCGGTTGAAATATTGCAATGTGTTATAGCGACTTATTTTAAATGGTAATTTGTAATTTATCATTTAAATGGTATTATTAGGGCCGGGATTATTTACTCACCATGCGCTAGCTGAGCAAACAGGGCCGCGAAAATGCAAAGTGCTGAAACAAATATAGAAGATCATGTCAAAATACATAACTCATCAAGTGATTAACGATAGAGATTGCTGGGTCGCGCGACATCAATTATTTCACACCACGAAATAAATAAAAATGCGCCAACGATTCTGAGCTTTAATTTTAGGTTGATGAAAAATAGGGAAAGGAATGCTGATATTGCAAATCTGTTTCATGAAAATCGAGCCAACAAATGAAACGAATCGGCATTCTACGGGAGGCGATGACAGCGGAGGCACCTTTCTCTCTGAAGCCGCCCGCGAGAGAAAAATTCGGACGCGAGGCGTTTCCTTACAGCAAGGAATGAGAAATTATGCCACCCGCTTTGCAAGACTGTGCGGCGGCAAAGTTTCCATCGCTTTGCAAGGCGCACCTGACCAATGACTCTGGCGGCCGGTGAGCTTTCGCTTTTCTTTACCAAGTTATTTGCTAGCGAAGAGCCTCTTTGGAAGAGTCATTTCTCCATTCACCAATTCTTCTCATGTATTTTCAGTTTTGTCCTGATCAATTTTATTATTGACTCGCTGCGGATTTCAATGTGCTGAATGGAAAATCAATAAATAGTGGACAACAGTTTTTTTAGGAAGTTTTTTAAGTGTGGCTTTCAAAGGTTGGTTCCTAAGAGTCGTTAAATTATTCGAGCAAAGCAGAGTTATTTTGATGCTTTGAAAAATAAGTGTCGGTGGTAATATGAAATGAATAAGGATGGGTACCTTTGACACACTCGCAGCGGAAGGAATATAAAATACTCCAAATTGTCAGAGGTTTAAATTAAACATGCTAATTGCTCTATTGCAAATGCCCAGATTAAGAATGTCACGGCGTGGGAAAATGAAAGGTGGTTAAGATCGGGTTGCTATAAATGAGGAGAGTGCGGAAGTTGTTTCTGATGTTCCTCAAATTTGAAATGCAATGACTTATTGTGTCTACGCGTGAAGCATTCATACATTTTTCGCATTTGCTAAAATATGACTTGAACAACTTTAAATAAATAACAGACAATAATATATAATGGTTATAATAATATTAAAAATTAAAAATAATTGAAATAAAATTTCCAAAAATAAACCAATTTTTGTGTTAATAATGGAATATAAATTAAAATATAAGTTACAACAACAACAATTAAAATTAAAACCTGTTGCAAGAGATGAGTTTTGCGGGAAGTGTGTTTGGTGGCCATGAATAATGGAAGATAATTTTTTTTGTCTTATGCTAATGCTCGTAAGGCGGTGGTTGTAAATTTTTCTAATTTTTTGCACCCTAATTCGGCGCTTTATGAATTTCTAGTCTTATAAGTGGCATAAAACATGAAGTTGGGTTGAATATGCCCGCATATGTTGCTTAATTCGATTTTGAAGACTTCTGATGAAAAATAATAATAATAATAATAGTACCTAAAGGTGGCTAATATGCATATTCAGTCATCTCTTAGGACTGGTGATGCTCTGAGCAGGCAGAGTATTATATCTGTAATTAATATCACACCATAATCTACAATGAAAGTGATGCGATAATAATATGCATCGCGGTCGGATTGAAACTTGTAAATTGATAAGAATTTTCGAGGAGCCAAGGAAAAATTTCGCTTATTTGATATAAAATCCAAATTAATTCGCTTCTTCTAGTCAGATTGATGGGTTTTGGATTTTAACGGCAGAAATCACAGGAATCATACAAGATATTCGTAATAAGCGCCCTGCCGGAGTAAATATCTCTGACAAGGGAAAACGGTACCTTTTTGCAGCGAACTGCACGAGCGTACATTTTCATAAAGAAGCTAACGTGCCTCGCAAATAAAATGCCGGGGCGATTCGTTAAATAGCTCAGGGAAACATTTTTAGCAACGAATTTTGACATTTTATTTATTCCTGACCGTGGCCGGGACGTGTGTTGCGTGGCTGTGCCGCCCTTTTTCTCTGCCTGCTCACATTTACATAGTTGCTGGAAAACTCACGCCAACGTGCCTGCCGCGATGGGCCGCCGCCTCGTGCCGAATAAAATATGAATGTGGGACAAGTGCACGTGACCGCCCGCAATTATTATTTGCATGCATCATTTAGCATCGCTTCCTTCCGCCCTGCTTGCCGTTTTTCTGTCTGCTTGACCGATCAATTATTTTGCCCTGCAACATGCAATTTGTTATCTTCAGCGACGTCCGCGCGGTTATTTGTTTGCACAGATACGGTGTGAATAATTCATTGCCCAAATAAGTTTCATAATTTTGTAGTAGAATTTCGCAACCAAGTGTTGATTCATGGTGATTTGAACTTAAAATCGGCTTTTCCTCGATGGATTATGTGAGTTGTTTATTGTTTAAGAAAAACCAACTCTCATTCTCAACCACCGCCGAGAAAGGTACGTTCAAAACACACGTTTCAATATTCTGATGCAAATTATTATAAAAATTATTTTGTTATACAAATTTTGGATTCAATTGTCAAATTTTGTGTTTAGCCTAAAAATAAAGCTTTAAATAATCTTTACACGAACAATTGTTAATTTGAAATAAAAATATTTTAAAAAGATTGACCTTGGTACTAATTCTTTTCAAAATGATTTCACAGCTCAAGAATTATGGCTTCAGTTCTTATTTTTCAACAATAAACAACTAAACAACAGAAAACACGTCGAGAAAAGCTGATTTTAAATTCAAATCACCAAGTTTTATACATTTTTATGCTCTCCATTTAACTTCACTTTACTTGTTTTTTTCCTTAAAGCCAGAAGTTTTTTTTGTGTGTGTTTATATTCTTGCAGGGGGTGTTTTTTTTTTCTGGTCCTGTGTACAAGGGCGACTGAAAATGTGCACCGAATTGGAATTAATTTGAGAATTCAACTCAAATGGAGCACATAGTGAATCAGCAGCATTCGCAGCAACGCTCGTTTGCAAAAATGGGCCAACGTACACCCCAGCAACCCCTTATTTGCCCAGGGTTCTGCAGGAGCTAACAGGCCGTTTCGACCTCTCGAAATCCTTGAACTTGCCTCGCCGAAACAGGTGGCCAACTTTTTGAATGTAGCAATGTTGATCGCGATCGATGCCCTTACAATCACTGTTGAATCTTGAATCATTGGCAAATATTACAAGAAAGGCAAGTTTAACATCAAACATGGGCTGAGCGCACATTTTGCGCTCAAACCGGTATAAAAAATTTGCAAATTTGCGTGGTCAAAAATTGGAATGTATAGAGTTTAATTTTTTTTAATCAAAAACTTCAAAACAGTTATCAATTCCCCGGTAATTTACGTTCTTAATAATTTCCAATTGCAGATGGTTTTGTTTACACACAAACGTTAATTGTCTAATAAGTCAAACTTTTTCCTAAAAAGATTAATACTTTTTAACGCAAAAACTGAGCGCAAGACTGAAAAAATTCGAGTGCCAGCACAAAATTGTTGAGCGCATCCATGTATTTACGCGCACGGAGACTTATTAATTAGCTTTCAATTAGTGAGTCCGATTTTATTCGATCGTTGCGAATTGGCGAGTGATGGATTTTCAGGGGGGATGGGGGTCATTCCCCCGGGCCCAGAGGCGCTTTTATTCCCTGAATGGTAAAGACCTCGGTGGAGCTCTTTTTTAACACCCAGGTGCGTCCAAATAGCGAAAAAATGTGCGCAGCGCCGAATGCAGCGAGCACGCCAGGGTGGAATAATGTGTCATATCGAGCGAAACGCAAAACAATAAATTTTACAAGTTTTATCTAGAGAGACCCATTGGCCCCATCTGGTTATTCTGAACCCAAATTTCAGTTCGGGCTTTTCGTGGCTCAGCGCGAGCCCACATCTCATGAAGAGGGCCCTGCTATCCCTTATATCCCTACCTCAATTTTTATTGCAACAATTTATATCATTTTAAATTTTGTTCTATACATTAAACTAATTTTATTCTAATTGTGAAAGCCTTATTAGATATCTATAGCGAGAACAGCGAGAACAGCGAGTCAAAATGTTTTACCAAAATATGTACAAAGTTTAAATCAGATTTTAAGCAATTCCCCATTCTTCTCTGATAATGTTGCAAAATCTATTAAAATGTGGAATCAGTTAAGAAATTCAGTTCAACTAATTTTTCCCTCTACAAAAAGAAAAAAGCGCCCTTCTGCGATAGTGTTTTCTTAAAATATAAATAAATAAGATTGAAACGCCAAGAAAATATAATTAATAATATCAGGATATTTTCTGCACTAAAGACACGTGCGTATGCAAAAATATTTGATGGTTTTGAAACCAAGTTGACAGCAATTTCATAATTTATATCAGTCAAGGCATCGCTCCGCTCTGTTAGGACTGGGGCGAGGGCGAGGCGAAAATAAGATTTCTGAGTGCGAAGAGGCAGCGCGGAGCAATTATTGATGTTTTGCTTTTTACACCGATTCGCCAATCTATGAATCGAAAATCAATTTTTATTTTCAATATCCAGTAACCAGTTTCTATCTATTATATCTTTATAAGGAAAAAAATCTCGCTCCTGAATGAAGGCCACCAAAAATTTTTGGCAAAAATCTCCCAAAAAACTGAAAATCCGCAAAGCTGCAAGAAGGGCTGGAATTGTTTGGATTGAACCAAAAATGATAATATATAAGGGCCTTGCGATAAATAAAGAGAATAAAAACATCACGGTGCCAGTGTCACTGCGCGAAGATTTGCGTTTGAATTGACCAAATGACAATTCAGTCTCTCTCTCAAAACGGCAGCCGAGGGGTCACGTGATCGGGCCGAAAAATGCGAGCAAGCGCGCGCGAGCTGAGTCTTATTTTGGAAACTCACGGCTGCACCCCTTGTGCACCTTGACCTAGCCGAGCATTTTAGCCCCCCGTCTGCGTTAGTCTCAATAAGAGCGAAAAACTCACCGAAAAGTTGGCGAGGAACGACCGGTTGAAAACCAGGCTTCTCAATAAAGGTGGACATGGACACGGCGACCTGAATCATTATTCTGTCCAACACTCTATCCGAAAAAGGCGGACGCCGCGCACTCGGGCATAAATGCCAGTTTTTTTTTTTAAATCCAATTCCAAACTGATTATAATTGAATTGAAAACGAGAATTCGCGGCGGGGGTGACGCTGGTGGACCAGTCGACCACTCCAGTTCTCGCCAATGACTGAACTCGCAGCTCTACCCATCATCATCATCACGTTGCCAAATTTACTCGGCACCACGGCCACCACCCTCGATCTTAGGGAGGCTGCGCAGAGTGCGCGGTACACGCAGACGGCGGAATCTCGTCACCACCGCGATTGGCTGCCGCCGCGGGGGGACTCTTAGCTAAGAAAAGTCTTCTTTGACATAATTGCTCGCTGCTGAAGCTGCGTGTGTCAGTTCAGTTTCTTTTTGAACCAGACTCTACTTTCTCCGTTCTCCGCCGCGCGGCCTAGCTGCCAGCCACTAATTTTGGCTGACATGAAAAAAATGTTCTGACCAAATTGTGTTTCCTATATATATATTTTTATATTATCTTTGCCAAAATTATATTATGGCGCGACGACAGCGCCATATATGTTGTCAATTTTCCCAAAGATTCAATTTTTTCATTGTCATGCAATGCGCAATAATTAAATCTTGAAATAACCAAAATGTAGCTACCACTAAGACACCCTAAAATATCTAAATCCTTTCTTTCAGCTTTTTTCCTGCATATTGAATGGCTTAATTCCCGACTCCTCTATTACAAGGAATTCAAAACTTTCCATAAAATGCAAAAATATATATTTATGTGTGTGTTAGCGTCCTTCTAAACGATAAAAGACTGAAAATAATTTTTTAACCAACACAAATTGCATATATATTTTGAAGTTTAAGGGACAGGTTTTTCAAGAATTAGAAAATGAGCTACTATTGAGATGTTCTATTAAAGTTTTGATTTCCTCAAAAGGTTTCAGGAAAGTCAGTTCATATTCATATCGAGGAAAAACGGCCGGCCAGAAGAAAATTGAAATTTTACGGGTTTCTAGTCATCTAAATGTTTTTAGCTGTAATTCAATAATTTTGTTAAACCTTAAAAGTATAATTTTTGCTTTAAAATTTTATGGAAAGCAGCTTAGTACAGGAATGGGAAATTTTATCTGCTTTCAGAATCGATGTAGGTTTTATTTTATCTTTTGCTCCCATAAAGGCTGAGATAATAGAGAAATCTGGAGAAGTCTTTTTCAAATGGGCCATTTTCTGGGAAATAGCAAGATAGAAAAAATTTCGTTGCTTATAAATTATTATATAGGTCCAATATATAATTACACCTAGCCCAGTAGATTTCAAGTTTTATATTTTTAAATAACTTTAGCCAAATAAAATAAAGGAAAGAGCCCCGGAATCCTTTTCAGGGGGGTTTTGATTATATTATGTATATTTCAAATAATTTTACTCCCTAACCAAGACATATATCTGGATTCACCATTCAGTTTTGCTTTTATAGAAATTGTATCAAATGATAGTTTTGTATGTCTGTAAAACCCTAGCCATATTATCTCAAAAGTTGGAATTGTCAGGTCAAGCAGAGCCATAAGAAAACTTTCTTATTAGCATTTTTGGCTTTGCCTGCTTATTAAACTCTAAATTTAATGCTTTTTGCCACGCGCAAGGCTGCAGCCTCAGAAAACAATAATTAAAAATGAAAAATCTATAAAGTTTACTTTTTACCTTGCCAACAATTCAATATAAGCCCACTTTACAGAAACGCCAGGATCTAGAGGATATATTGCTCTCATTTGATTAGAACAATTAATTAGAGCAACACTCTATGCAGTTTGCAGACTTTTGCTCGTAAATAATAATAAAAGTGAAGGCCCATACTTGGATTTTCTACTTGTTTACCTTAAGCGCAGAAAGCACCTATAACATTAATTTGTTTTGACCCAGCTTTGGTTTGGGCAAATTACAATAGTGTAGTAATGAGACGATGAACATTTTTCATCAAATTTTTTGAATAATTGAGGTTTATATCATGATATTGTGCCGACAAGAAATAAAATGTTTAAGTTAAATTTAGTTATTAATTGGGCACATGGATCATTTTTTATTCTATTGGCCGTGTCAACTGAAACGATTTAACTCCGTCCTTATTTTAACGAAACTTATTTTAAAAATTCACGATAATTTTGCTAAGATGGTCAACAGCAGGGGGTCAGCAATCCGTTAATTACAAACACATTTTTATTTTCACATTAAATGAAATCGTCTGTTTATTGATTGATGCACTCGAGTGTCAGTGTTTGTTTTTTTTTGTTTGAACAATTTTTTTTTGATAACAGGAACAAATCCTCAATTACACTGGCGCCGCTGCACTATGGAGACTGCCCGTGTTTCGAATTTAACACATGCTTTGATACAAAAAGTAAGAATTAAAATAAAAGGAAATCGCCGGTGGCTTGTTGATTTCTACAACAGCGTGCCGAATCAAAGCACATTCAATATTTACGTTTATTTACGCATGAGGAAAACTCATACTTTAATTTTCCTTACCACATAGAGAAGATAATTACAATTCAATCAATTATAGTTGCAAATAAATATTATCTCGGTCCAGCAGACAAACAAGTTGAAGCAGATTTACTATTAGGTTCAGAGCACGGAAAAGTTTGTGTGTGGTTTGCTGTTCTCTTCTTCACTTGTTAAAACGGTTGCTTGGTGAGAAGTCTGGCCGCATTTTGCTGAGAAATGGCAACCTGACGTAATCGCTGTTATCGGCTGAGATGTGGCCCGACCGACTTGCGCTGCTGCTTAGAAATTCATGGATCCAACAATTACAACCATCTGAAACAGCAACAAAGTTATGATTTAATACAAATGTGTTGCAATTCAATTTAATTTACTACAGGGTATTTATTAAGACAAAATAACATGTTTACTAAAATTTGTAACCGAAAATAATAGACCAGACAACTGGAAGTCCAATATTACCTATTTAACAGGAGCTCAAAGCTCAAAGTGGCGACTTTTTGGGGGAAAAAATAGAGTTTTCTTTAACCTCGCAAAGTAACTTTGAACCAGTTTTTTTTACGCAAAGTTTGATATAATTGTCAAAATATTTTTTAGCCACTGAGGCATTTGAACTCTTTTAACTCTGACCAACTAAATATTTGGACCCCTTAAGCGTACCTACAGCAAAATTAAGAAAAAGAATAATGCAGAAATTAATTGTGCCTTAATTTTGTTTTCTCTTGCAACGAGCAAACTGGTTTCAATTGTTGTATGAATATAAAATTACTGAAATCATTTTAATGAAAGAAGCGGGAAGTGGTGAATTTTTTTGAAAGTTGAAAGAACAGATTGACAAGTTTGCTAGAAAGAGGTAGCGGAGAGCGCAAAGTCTTTAGCTTAAGACTAAAAATTACCTAGTGTTCCCTCTTAATTGACTGGGGTGCCTCAGCCAGTCCTTTCACTTTCAACCGCTCAGCTGTCTTCAAAAAGGCTGGCAGTTGGTCCTGAGAAACGTTAACCTCACCAGCGTACATAAACTCGAGAATCGCCTGCAGGTGCGAGAATGGCACATCTTTGAGGATGATGATAGGATGCTTTGAGGGGTTTTCCTGGGGAAAAAATCATCGTAAGTGGTACAGATATTTGCAAAAACTCAAATTTACCTCAAGTAACGATTTAAAGTAGGGACTGCAGGCCGAGAGGACCATTTTGTGTGCTTTGCAGGTCTGCCCGTCACAAGCCAGTGTCACGTCTGTGAAGCTTTTCTCATCACGCAGGTGCTTGAAGGATGAGACCATGTTTGATTGGAAGTCGTTCCATTTCAGGAAAAATTGCTGCTGCTCGGCCGCCATTTCTGTTATAATTTTTGTCTGAAAATTCAAATAAAGGTTTTTAAAATATATTCCAAGAAAGAAGTAAGGAATAACAATTTTTTTCACAATTAATGATACTTTCACATGAGTGTTGATGATATTTTGCAGGCAATTTTGGCACAGACTTATCTTAATTTTAAATTGTCTATTGTACCAACGTGATTTAAAAAGAAGAGTGATAATAAAGTAATTAAAATTTATTTTCACTGTCAATATTTTCAAAAATACATGTTTTGCAGAATTCGCAGCCCAATCTGATTATTTTCTTTTCCAAAGGCAATCAGATTTGTACTTGAATTGATGGTGTGTTTTATTTTTACAGAGTAGGATGCAAAATCACATCGACGCCAATGCGTCGGAAGTTCACCTTTTTGCTATTTTTACAGTTATTTGCAGTGAAAATGGACACGGCGACCACTGCGCTAATTCCAGCAATTTCGCGTCACTCGACTATGCACAAACTGATTTAGGCGCCGATCAACAATTTTAAATTGCAATGCCTTTCAAAAGTAACACACACCGACGTGCACACCGTTTCGCCGGCCGAATTCAAGCATCGGGAGAATCAATCGGACATAAATAAAATGGTAATAAGATGGCCGCAAATTCCATGTTTTGGTTAGGAAAATCTCCAAGATTTGCGGCGAAATCGTTGCCGTCGTGGTAGCTCTGGCGTCAGGTCGTCGAGCAAGGTCTTTACCTGATTGATGGGTCGCAGAGGAATAATGTTAAGCGGCCGCAGCAAGCCAAAACAACATGAAAAGTCCGATTTTCCGCCACTTGCTTTTTTACTTCTCGAACGCAAAGCAAGTCTTTGGTCTTTTGGGTCTGATGATGGGCTGGAGGAGACGCGGCCTCTGAGGCGCCACGCGAGACCTCTGGTGGCGGCCGCCGCACTCAAAAACATGTGATTTGATCGATAACACCCTTTCGGTCGGAAACTCCTCATTCGCTCGCTCGCAGATTTCACACTTTTCCAGCCGGAAAATGGCCAGCCAGACCCAGGGAATCCAGCAGCTTCTGGCAGCTGAGAAAAGGGCCGCCGAGAAAGTGTCCGAGGCCAGAAAAAGTAAGCCCACGTTCGGTGTTAGGGACATGAAAAGAGGCGCCTCCGTCAAATAATGGGAACGGCAAATGGGAATCATTCCATATGTTTTAGATTTTGGCAAAGTCACATTTGTCTTCAAAGTGTTTTCTTTGGTAATTGTTGGAGAGAAATTGGAAATTTCAACCACCATTGATGTTAAGACTTGATTTGACTTTGCCAATTCACCTTTTTCATTACGGCAAAAACGGAATCCGCAGGCACAAAAGCTAGAAGCACATAAACTTGTAAAGAATTCAGGTGTTAAAACACGACCTTCTGTGCTTCCCGACGTCTTTCTCAGGTCATCAAATCGCCTAAATCTTGCCACTTTTGGAATTCTTGTGAAACGAGCTTTCCCGAAATGTGCCTTTCGTTGCTCCGAACGGACGCATTTGTTTCACAGTTCAAAGATTTGACTGGTTTGAAACAAAAATTTCTGCCAGAATTCTAAATTGACACGCAATAACATGCACCTTTGGAAAGCATTATTTTTGTTTCTTATATAATTTAGTGTCAGAATCCTGGTAACTGTGATATCTTTCCTCTGTGAGTTGAGATTTTCAAGAAGCACTCCTCGGTCCTATTTGCGAAATTTTGATGTTGAATGCAAATCGGTTGACCCCTAAAATTTAACCTAGATATGTTTATGAGTTGCTTGAAATAATTAAAATAATTCATTTGAAGAGATTTTTTGGAAAAGAAAAACTTAAGGGCACAAGCTGACAAGACACTTTGTCTTGGCCTGACCCAAAAAATGAAAAAAAAAGAGGAATTTAAGATGAAGCCAATTTTTTCAGTAGTAATAAAAAAAATTATAAAAAAATGTATATTGGAGAAAATGTCGGAATACGAAAAAATGAAAATAATTGAGTTAAACTTCTTCGACACAGAAAATTTTTTGGGATTTTTTTATGTTCAGCAATGTCTTTATTAGTACAAATTAAATTTTCTTCAATACATAATTTCGCAACAGTTAAAAATACAAAGCTTAAATAGAAAAATCCAAATCGTTGTAAAAGGTTGTGCCATTTGTTTTCGTAGATAAAAGAGAGGTGCCGGCAAACATTTTGAGAAAAATTGTTGCGGCTTTATTTGTGAAAATTTAGTCAGACTAAATAAATCTATCGGTTATTTAAAAAAAAAAAATAATAATAAAAAAATTTGTTTCATGTATATTGAATTATATTTCAATTTTTTTCCAATTAATTTTTCTCCAAATTTAAAATTGTTTTACAGTCTTCATCAATGCTATTGAAAAAGAAAACAAAAACGTGTACTTAAAATTAGCTACAAAGTTTCCTAATATTTTTTTTCTGAAAAAAATAAAATAAAATAAAAATCCACGCAAATTTACTATGTCATTAATCGTTTATACAGTTATTTCAAGCAACTCTATTAACTACATATTTCCAAAATTTTATCCTTCATTCTCATTAAATTTTTTCAATATGACGTGATTTAGGTCAGGGGTCAACCAAATGGCAATCAGCAAGATCAAAATTTATGCAAGAAGGAAGGACCGGGGGCGGGGGGTGCTTGTTGACCAAAAAGGAGATGAGTCCAACTCAAACAAAAGTTACAAGTTTCAGTTTTCTGCATCTAGAAGATATTTTTTTCAAAGCTCATTTCATAATGGCCGAGCTATTGCGATTTGGTGACCTCCAACCTCAGAAAGACGTCGAGATGCACGGAAAGTCGCGTTTCAACAACTCCACAATTTAATTTCGTTTTTGTGCTTTTTGTGGCTAATTTTTTTTTTACTTATTTTTTTATTATACTGTAGAAGAAATCTTAATTACCTTAATTAATTAATATGCGTGTACGTACAAAAAATCAAGTATAACTTTTTGCAGGGAAAGCCCGCCGATTGAAACAGGCCAAGGAAGAGGCCCAGGACGAAATTGAAAAATACAGGCAAGAGAGGGAACGGCAATTCAAAGATTTTGAGTCTAAGGTAAATATTTGAATATTTTTTATCTAATTCTGTAAGGCTTAAATAGAATGGTACATAATTGGAGTCCTTGCTGACTAAATCATTTTGTTCCTCACGATTATAAATGTTCAGGAAAGATTTCCCCAATTTTATTCATAGTTTACAATTTGCCCCTGTTTAGAAGGTGTTGGAAATAATGAATTTTTACTTTCAATTTTTATAATTTTAAAATCATTTATTAAAAAAATAATTTTTTTTCTACAATTTAAATGGACGGAATTTTTCTCATTTGTTGAACATTTCAGCACATGGGTTCTCGGGAGGATGTTGCTGCCCGAATTGAGGCAGAGACCAGAGTCAAAATTGAGGAGATGAACCGAGCTGTGAAAACGCAGAAAACAGTCGTAAGTATTTGTTACAAGTCAAAATGTATTCGTTTGTAAAATGAAATTTAAAAAGGTCATTGGCCAACTCCTTGACTTGGTTTACGACATCAAGCCTGAGGTTCACAAGAACTTCCAAGCAGCCAAGTAAAGGAAAGAGAATAAAAATAACACACCTTGAAGATTCACAACATGCACCGGGAGCATTTTCAGAAATTGGTCAAATCTATCACATTCCAGTATTAGAATTCCGGCTCGGGTTTTTCAATTACCTGAAACTCCCCGGTGCTAGAGTCCCATGTTTAAATGTAATCTAATTATTCATGGTACATATTAGGGTTGAAAATGTGTTAAAAAGTTAAAATTGTAGCTTAGGCTTCTTTTGAGTTAGTCATTTGTAAATATGTCCAAGAAATATATATACTCATCGTTGAAATGTTTATTAAAATATGCACAATAATAAATTTTCCCGTCAAAACATCAAAATTTCTTTTTAAATCCCAAACATTGACACACCTATATGTTTTTTAAATATAATTTGTGCTAGAAACGGGAACTGTGCAAAAATACACTTAGTGCAGGTGAAAATTTTGTGTGGTGCAAGTTAGATTAGTGCAGAAAAATTTGTGCTTTCAAGTGCATTGACATGGGGTGCATGATGCACTTACCACATACGAAAATTCAGGGGACGTGATTTGATTGCGAATGATGAGGGCCCGTGAGGGGACTGCAAAACTGAGCCGCGGCAAAGTCCCGACAGCACCGACATCTTTGTCTCGGTATTTCAAAGACGACGGATGTTGTCGAGAAGTGCCGACGACTGAAATCTTTTTCTCGCTTGACTTTTTCTTTATCCTATTTAATTCAAATGATGGATTGATTGCGCTGCATAAATTCTACTTGTGTCGTGCCGCAACACATGACAAAACCTCCCTTTTGTTATAATAACACAAGTACAAAAAATAGCTGGTTATGCATGGTCCTGAAAGTTTCTTTACCTGTTAGAAAATATCCATGGGCGCTTGGCCCTGTTTTTTGAAGGTGGCGATCTGCAGGGCTATGGAGTAAAGCATCTCCTTGGTGCTCTTTTCACTCATGTTGTTCATCCCGAGCACTTCATAAGCACTTGAAATGAAGTAAGACAGGTCGGCGTCACCGCATTTGTTGGCAATCTGGGCGACGCGAGCCGCTTCAGAACTGAATGCCTCGTCCAGGTCGTAAAGTTCCAGTGGTGGAACTGACAATTCACGAAAAGTGGGAGGGAAAACCTGTGAATGAAAAAGATCAACAAGTTAAATGTAATTTTATTAAAAAATTTTCTTAAAAAAAAATGATACTTACTGAAGGTTGGAGGGTAGGTAATGGAGTTTCAAACTCGGGCATAATCAACTTGAGCAGATCGTACTTGATCCCCAGAAGTTCATATGACCTTTTTGCGTTCAAAAAGTGGTTGGTGTTAATCGACGTCAGGGTGAAGTCAAAAAGGTCCATGTACGACACTGGAATGTCTTGTGGGGCGTTCAGAGACACTTTTAAATTTTCTGCCAACTGAGCTGTGTCAGGCACCATGTGATAATCTGAAATCTGGTTCATTTTTATTTTTTAATATTTATATACATTTTAGAAGTAAAATAATATAGTACCTCGATATCATCAGCGTCCATGTAGCTGATGTCAATGATGTTAGTGCAGAGGAAAGTAAAAATGATATCCTTGAATTGGCGGTTGTCCTCCTTGTCCAAATAAGTGTCCGATAACATATGTCCCGAACCGATGACTGCTATTTTCCCGGCGCTCTTGTGGTAAAGAGCACATATTGGTCTGCACGACGGAAAGCAAAGGTGGCCCGAGGACAAAATCGGAACTGCAGGTTTTGCAACGTTCAGGGTGGCACCGTACGGATAAACCAGCGTCAAAGCTCTTGAAAATTTAAATATTGAATTTAATTTAAAAAGGGATTTACCAATTTATATGCCTATAAATATTACCTATTGAGCTTATTGTTGGAGTGCTTGGGCAGGGCGTCAATCAAGATCTGGTTGGTGAGTGCGTTTGGGAGGTGGCACTCTTTTGGGTGGAAGTACTTGTAGTAATGAGTGCGAATCACGCAATCTGCGCAGATTAATTGCTTTTTAATCCGGCCGTGCCCAGCGCTTGCAAAAATATCCCCTACCGTTGTTGATCATGATGCCGTACTCCTCAAGCAGGAAATTGATATTGGTTGCGTATTGATTTTCTCCACCGTCGCCCAGCATCACCAAAATACTGCCGCCGTTGTCCACGTATGTCTTCAAGCAGTCCAACTCACTCTGGTTGAACTTCTCTCTTGGTGCCCCCAAAACGAAAACGCGAGCTGACTTCAAAGATTCCGCCGAAATCTCATCCTTATTTCTAATTAATGAAAATAAAATATAAGGATTAATATTAAAAATAGGGACTTGAAGCATTTAATTTTAAAGAGATTTCATTTTCCCTGAAAAATGTAAACAATAATTCGAGTCAACTCTCTCGTCTAACAATATTATAATTAACATTTTTTTAAAATTATATAAATTTGAAAAATACAATTAAAAAACCATGTACATTTCCACTGGAAGAATTGTGCTTAGCTGGCCATGCAGATTCCTATATTGATCGGACAAACGAAAGTGCTCGCTTTTCGTCTCATTGAATATAATAGAGGTCATTGCGCCCTTCTCATCTACCTGACCTGTGAACCAAGTTGCGCCGCTTTTGTGATTGGAGAAATTTTTTGATTTTTTTGATGAAATACCTGTCCTTCCTCTTCAATTTTTGGAACTATGCACCAAGTAAAGACCTTCTCTGCTAAGAGTCGCACAACAGGCATTTGCTTTCAGGGATGAGGCAGTGCAAGAGTGCCTGAAAGACGAGACCTTCGCGATGAACGGACGGAAGCACAAAATCGTTATTTTCCAAGGTGCTCTGTGCTATCCGATGAGAAGTGACTCAAATATTGACCCGTTTCAGGTGGGGTGGGTGAGGGGTGCGCGCACCGTCGCTAGGCAACCGCTATAAGGGCTGAAGTGCGCGCGTGCGATGACCCCTGCCGCACATTAAATTCAGTCCCTAGTCAGGGCCTGGGGCTACATCATTGAGCGAGGGCGGCCCAATTTGGCGGCGCAGTCCACCTTTCTTATAAGAATAAATTGGGCCGCGGCCTATCGGTTTTGGGTCAGACTGCCGTTATATGGCCATTCTGAGCCTGTCACTAGTGAATTTTATGCGTCTCTGTGCTGTGATTTAATCAATGATTCCTTCATATTTTTTTTTAATAGTGCAAAATAAAGCAAAGGTTTTTTTATTGCAGAACATAAAACCAACACAACTTTCATAACTCAAGAATTCAAATATAATAAAAAATGTAATATGTTTGCTGAATTTTTTCTTTACAAAATTATTTCATTTTTAAAACTCCTGGTGAGTTCTTTATAAGGCAGGACTATGGAGTTGAGAAGAATGACTTCCGCAGGAACAGAGACATTGCATCCTAAAATTTTTTAAATAAAAATGGAATATAGAACAATTTAAATGAATTGTCTGCAAGTGTCTTGCAGAATGCTTGGTCTATGTTCACAAACATATTATAAATTTACCTAAAATTGAGATGGAAGGATTTAGCCTGCCGTCAGCATTGAAAAGAGGCACATTGTCCATTTTGGCAAAAGGCTTATTTGGGTTGGGGTCACAAGGTGTGCCTTCCACTCGGGCCCACGCTCCAACTGTGCAGCTCTTGCCAACGATGCTCTGCAGAATGACACTGTGGTCTTCAATATGCACACCTTCCAACAGGATTGACTCCCGGATTCTTGCACCTGGGCCAACAACAACATTCGGACCTATGCTTACGTTTGGCCCAAGCTGCACAAAATTTAAAAAATGCTTCAATGTTGTTAATGAATGAATTTTGATAAACTAACCACTGCGGTTCGATGAACCAAAGCTGTTGGGTGAACATGAACATCACCAATGATTTTTGGAGCCTCTCCCTGCAGAAGTCGGGAGGTTTGACCCTGTTTCCTGTACAGCTGGAGGTAGTGTCTGTTTGCATAAATAGCCGAACCTGCCGTCTTGAGCTGCGACCACCACCTCGAAGTTGTGTAGACAAAGGCTCGAGCTGTACCGGCCAAAGGCATCAGGATGTCCTGCTCCAACTGGATGGCCTCTTTCCCAGCACCATTGCCATTTTCATGACCCTCACTATTGAGAAAAAAATGTTATTTTTGTTTTGATTTCTTAAAACAAAATCCAATTTGTAGAATAATTTTTTCATAATCATAAAGTTTGAAATGAAAAATAGTAATTCTACAATAGGTTTTGCAAGTTATTTTCCTGTTTTTTAAAATAACCAATTACTTGTAGTACTGTTCCTGCTTCTTAGTGAAGGCAGCTGCGATAATTTGAAAGATGGCAATCGAGCAGACGTAAGCACCGCAGTTGATGAGAGGAGACACAAAGGTCGATGGCTTCTCGACGTAGTGGGTGATTGAGTGTGTCCTTTTGTCCTCGACAATGCAGCCGTAGTTGAGGGACTGCTGCCTGGTGGCCTCAGTGGCCATCACTGTAATCAGGGCTGAGTTCTCTCTGGCCTTGTGCGCCTCGACCATGTCCGTGAGTGGAAAATCGGCACAAACATCCCCGTTCAGAACAATAAAGACCTCAGGGTTGCCGCAGCGAATCTGGTCGCGGAAGTGGTAAATTCCTCCAGCTGTCCCAAGTGCGGTGTATTCTTGTAGGTACCTGACAATTTAGATATAGTAAGAAAAAATTAAGCAGAGGAAATGACAAACAAGTACCGAATGTTGATTTTGTACTCCTGGGTCATGTCATTGATGAACTGAGCAAGTTCCGAGACAGGGTAGTAGCCGAGAATAATGATTTCCTTGAGGTTTTCCACTTTCACACATGCCTCAATGTGGTGCTGAATCATTGGTAAACCAGCCACAGGGAACAGAGGCTTTGGTGTGTCCAGAGACAAGGGCCGGAATCGAGTTCCTTAATTATAATTATTAATTGATTCAAAGTAAAAAAATAAATGCAAAATTATTAAATTTGTAAAGCAAAATTTAAATCATTTATCTTATTTTTAAGAAATCTTTACCTTTCTGAGGTCCTCCAATTAAAATGACTGCCTTCAGCATGATGATTTAAAGAGCTTGCAACATAAAGTCAGGTGCATTAAGGATTTAAATTGAATAGTCTTTTAAAATAATGTACTATGTTTCAAAGTTTAAAAGTGTTATAGTGTTAATTAAGATCCAGGCAGCTAATAGCGTCGTCCGTCTGTTGTTTATGATCGATCTGCGTGGCAAAATGACAGCTCATTTGAGGCCTTTGAGCCTCTTTCAGTACGTATAATAAATTTTTGCAACTTACTTAAGAGGGTGGAATAATAAAAATAGTGTAAGAATAATAATAACTTATTTAACCACTTAGAAATTATCAATGCAGATGCAGATTTGCAAATATGTACATAAACAATAAATAAAAAAGGGTCCAATCTGGGGACCGTCGGTCACATTATTACTTTCTTTCTTATCAGTAAGATTTATGAAAAGTGGATAGGAGATAAATCTGACACGCCCAAGAGCGCAGAGATGAAAGGGATTGGAAAATCCCACGAAAAAAAAATTAAAAGGTCAGCAGACTCACTGTAGCAAAATTATTATGTTGACATCATTGTTTGTTTTGGTCGGTAAAAGTGAGGTGAGATCTCAGAGATAAGAATCAATGAGGGAGACAATGGCCTATGAGACTATGGTGTGGTGACTGGACTGCTTGCTTTTTTAGCTCAGCTCTCGGCTCTCGGTGAGTCGGTGCTGCTCGAATTACTTGGGGTTAATGAGACGTGACCGCAGCGCCACCTGGTGGAGTTTTGCTCGAACCTCAAATTCCACCAATCCACGTGCGTTGCAGCGGTAAAGTTGTCGAGAGCCATTCTCATATCGTCTCCCTCATGAACTCAACATTATTTTTCACAGGCTAATTAAGTTAGATTAGAATTATAAGAGGCGATGACGTCCGAATTTATTTACTTATTTACGTACGCAAGTTTATAAATGATAAGGTTTTCGTCACTTGTTAGGTGCACAATGCATAGTGGCAAAAAGCTTGGATGAATTTTTAGTACTATTTTATTCGGAAAAAAATGCTTTTTAGATAATCCTTTTTGATTTCATTATCAATTGAATTTAATGGTATGGGGGAGAACTGTTTAATGAGAAAATGCAAAATAATGGACTTTAGATCGGGGGAGATATTTTCCATTAGTTATTTATTTCATGTTTATCAAAATTAAATTTTTCATGTTTATCAAAATTAAATTTCAATCTTAGCTAGGATTCCCTCAGAAATTTGGATACATAGGATAACATTGCTTTATTAAGTAAATTTGAAATTATTTGTTGATAATGAATTTTTTTTATTTCACTTATATCACCGTAAATTACATCATGTTTTATATATTTGATATTTGTTTAATTTCACTCTTTAATTTTTACAGCTGTTTCTCATCTTAAAAAGTTTAAATTGCTTAATCTCATTTTGGAAGATTGGAATGAAATTGGCATCTCTTGATAAGAAGTAAATAAGAAGTATAAATATTTTTCCTCTTAATGTAAAATTACTAGGTTAAAATTAGAGTAGAAATGCAATCATATTTTAAATGTTAAGTTTAAAGCAGAGGACGTAAAACAAAAAAAAACATCATTCAATCCTCACCAGCCGCCAAACTCGATGGCTTAGTGCACTAATCTGTGGCACCACCAACAAACATCCAGTTGATCCAGTTGATGGCCCTCTGGAAGAAACCTTTGGCTTCTTCGGCTGGGTAGCAGCTGCCTCTTCTTGTTCTCGCCGCAGTTTGTTGCGCTGCTTAGCTTCCTTTGGGCTCTGTCGACCAATGTTGCAAAGTCAGCGTGCTCTATTTATAAAAGAAAATAATTGTTTTGGTATATTTTGAGATATGCAGATAATTGAACAGCGCTACTCACGGACAGACCCGTAGATGTTGAGTTTGTTGGAGAGGCAAAAGTTCACCAAAGACACCAGCTGGGCCTTCCTTGGGTCACCTCGCATGATGCCAGCTTCAGCCTGATCCACACAGCTGTAGTCAAGGAGTGCGCCTTGTTGATTGTCTGTGGAAGCAGGAGCAGACGAGACTTGCCCCGCGTCCGCTGCCCATGATGCATCTGCAGGTCATTGAAGATCTTCTTTGCAGTCTGCAGTTTTGCTGTAGAAAATTCATTAGATTCAAATACCAATTATACGTTTTCCAGGCCCTTACTGTCATTGCGGATATCAAGGATCAAGGTGAATCGTGGGGTTTTGATAACCGATATCCAGTTGGCAGCCAAAGGGCAAGTTGGCGAGAAGGTATTTGGGGCCATCCTGAGTGCAGCCTCCCTCAGAACTTCTTCGCCGCCCAAAGGAAACTTTCACCTATATCACCGTAAATTACATCATGTTTTATATTTATTTGTTTAATTTCACTCTTAAATTTTTACAGCTGCTTCTCAGCTTAAAAAGTTTAAATTGCTTAATCTCATTTTGGAAGATTGGAATGAAATTGGCATCTCTTGATAAGAAGTAAATAAGAAGTATAAATATTTTTCCTCTTATTGTAAAATTACTAGGTTTAAATTAGAGTAGAAATGCAATCATATTTTAAATGTTAAGTTTAAAGCAGAGGACGTAAAACAAAAAAACATCATTCAATCCTCACCAGCCGCCAAACTCGATGGCTTAGTGCACTAATCTGTGGCACCACCAACAAACATCCAGTTGATCCAGTTGATGGCCCTCTGGAAGAAACCTTTGGCTTCTTCGGCTGGGTAGCAGCTGCCTCTTCTTGTTCTCGCCGCAGTTTGTTGCGCTGCTTAGCTTCCTTTGGGCTCTGTCGACCAATGTTGCAAAGTCAGCGTGCTCTATTTATAAAAGAAAATAATTGTTTTGGTATATTTTGAGATATGCAGATAATTGAACAGCGCTACTCACGGACAGACCCGTAGATGTTGAGTTTGTTGGAGAGGCAAACGGTCACCAATGACCCCAGCTGGGCCTTCCTTGGGTCACCTCGCATGATACCATCCTCTGACTGTTCCACACAGCTGTAGTCAAGGAGTGCGCCTTGTTGATTGTCTGTGGAAGCAGGAGCAGACGAGACTTGCTCCCGCGTCAGCTGCCCATGACTCATCTGCAGGTCATTGAAGATCTTTTTTGCAGTCTGCAGTTTAGCTGTAGAAAATTCATTAGATTCAAATACCAATTATACGTTTTCCGGGCCCTTACTGTCATTGCGGATATCAAGGTGAATCGTGGGGTTTTGATACCCGATATCCAGTTGGCAGCCAAAGGGCAAGTTGGCGAGAAGGCATTTGGGGCCATCCTGAGTGCAGCCTCCCTCAGAACTTCTTCGCCGCGTCCAAAGGAAACTCTCTCGACAACTTCGTCATTTTGATTTCGTTTGCCGTACTATTCAAAAAACCGAGCGATGAATACAAGTTTGAAGGAGCACAACAATTGGAAAAGTATTAACGATCTTTTTGCAACAACGGAAAAATTATTAAGATTGATAGCTATGTATGTCGTGCCAGCACTAATCTACAAGAATACGTATAAAAAATGTGGTTTCGGAAATAAAATTAATAAAATATATTTTATTATGATAAACGCTGAAAGACGCTCTACATCTACATAAAACTGACTAATGCAAGCGTCAATTAAATAGAGCGCGAGTGCAAGGGAAAACGAAATAAGCAAGTTTTATGTAATCACTTTAACAAGCAAAACAAACTTTGCGTGTCAGCCGCGCGTCGAATCGTGATCAAAAACTTACTAAAACCGGCGGAGTGATCTGATCTCGCAGCTATCGTCGCTTCGGCCGATTTGGTGACGAATTTCGGCCAAAATTCGCAACCAAAACATGCAAACAACCACATTTGACATTATGCTTGATGAAACTCCAGCTGGTACTGATTAAGGAGACTAAGGAGAGTAAAATAGATAGGAGGAGCGAAGGGGCGGGACTGTCTAGGTGACCTTGGACCCAGGTCTATCTTTTAACATTGAGCTGGGCCATAAGCCACCTCCTCTTCGCCTCTCCTAACCTATGGGGTTTAGCAGCAGAGAAACACCAGAAATCCGTTTTTCTTCTTATATTCAAACTGGAAAAACAAATACAATCAGTATTTATGCAAATTAAAATTAAAATTTGAAATTCTTGAAAATTATTTCTGCACATTAGACTTTTTCTGATTTAAAAATACACATATAAATTCTTAAGCAACTCTGACATATTATACACCAAATTAAAGAGCAATTAATGAAGATTATTTTAAACATAATTTGAGCAGACTTACCCCTAGTTAAAGGGTTGAAAACAGAGGCGAAGAACAAGAACGCACAAATTGAGAGATGCGCGGTTGCCCTTGGCAACAAACGGAGAGAACAACAAGGGCAGTTGGCAAGGTGTGCCAACTGAACAGTTTTGCACACAAGGGCGCCACAAACCTATTTTACTCTCCTTAATACTGATCATATGGTCTGAGGTCTGAATATGGCGCATATCGTTTGTTTTTAATAAGAAAGGCGGGTCAAGAGATCCTACACTCGATAAGTTAACAAAATGAAATGAATGAAAGGAAGAATAAAATGAACTCGGATTTATTGAGTTTAAGATTTTAAGGGACAGTGAAGTGAACTTTAGAAGAATAATTAAAACATGGGGAATCTCTCAAGTCTCGAAGTGTGATAAATTTTTTAATTTGAGCCGCGCTCAATTCATTACGCGTTTGCGCGAATTTAATTTTTTATTAGTTAACGTTGAAATTATTCTTTCAAATTTTCAGCATTTCTAGCCATCTAAATTATATAAATTTTTATTTTTGTTCATAAAATAATACTAAAAAAAACTCCCGAATAGATTAAATATTAAAAACATTTAATTTGAAAGAATTTAAAGGTATTTCTTTGTTTATAGGACTAACCGCCAATCTGGCGGATTTGTCAGATTTTGTCGTCTGTCTTGATTAAAGCAATATTTTAACTCCCGAAAATCGAAACTACTGAATATTAAAAAAGTCATATTTGAAAAAAAAATTAAAGGCACTTCTTTGTTTGCAGGACTAAGCGCCAATCTGGCGGATTTGTCAGATTTCGTTAAATTTTCTTCTCTTGAATAAAGCAATATTTTCACTCCCGAAACGACTAAATGTAAAAAAACGTATATTTGAAAAAATTTTAAGGTACTTTTTGTATACAGGACTTACCGCCAATCTGGCGGATTTGTCAGATTTCATCAAATTGTCGTCTCTTGATCATCTTTTGAAGTTTAGAGTAATTCATAATTAAAAACTGAATGTTAAATACATTTATTTTTTACTATATTCATTCTAATTTTTCTAGGCAATTAATTTTATAATATTACTTGATATTTTTAATTTTAATTTTGCCTTAAAAAATAAATTTTTTTGATAATGTAAATTTTAATTTGTGATTGCATTATACTTTTTTTCTATTAATTATGAAGGCTGCTGTACTGTAAAAACGTAAAATAATTCACACAAGATGCAACACGCGCAAAAATTGCCATCGCGTAATTTGTCGTCAGGGATTATCAATAATCATATTATGAATAAACTGGATTCAACCGCATCAATTATTATTTTGCATTATGATATCTTTTCTACTAACATGAAATTTTTAGAAACACTTTTTTTACAATTATGCACTAAAAATTCTTATTTGCATAATAATTATCAAAATTCTTCGTCATCACTTTAATTATTATTGCATCATTTTTGTTGTAGATCATGGTGTGATATTTGAGATATTTACCGTTTGTAATATTCTACGAGCACTAAATATTTTTCATTTCAATGTTGTTATATCAAAGCAGTTGGCTGGTTGATCGTGTTTTTTTTTATTTATTTATTAACAAAACAAGAATTATCATTGTTCACCATAATTCTTTCCTAGCAATGACTCAGCTGCAATTATCGCTTTCTTCACGAAATTAATTTTTTTTTACTCATATAAACTTGGCAAATGGGGTTTTGGAATTTAAATTTTAAAAGCTTATTTAATATCATAATTGCACGGCCCAATAAAAATCATTCTTGTTCTTCCTTGTCCTTAATTTTCCTAATTTATTAACAGCTGAATTAACTGGAATCCACCTGCAAGGAGGTGCGATGAGTGGGCACAGTGGTAACTCAAAACCCGCAGAATATCACAACCCGTGAATTTTTACTAATGTAGTGACGTGTCAGACCCAAGTTTTTTTTATAGAAAAAGATTTATTTGATCTAATTTTACAAGTCCAGCCAAATCCGAAGACTTATCGGCTGGTGAAGTTTCTCTTTGTCTCGGAAATTTCCCACCTGTGACCGCAGTTTCAGTGTTGCATGTATATGTAGTGTCATTAAACTTAATTTTTATTTCATTTTTATCATTCTGATTTCCTCCATGTTTCCCATATCTGCTGCGAAGGTTTTTATCACTGTTGACCCACGCACACACACAGGTTGGTAAAAAAACTTTCTTATCAGTCAAGCATAAGTTTTAATTTTTCTTTTCTTTTCCATGCAATATGTTGAGACAAATAAGAGCTGTTTATGGTTGTACAGCGACTGCGATTTTACTTTAACGAAAAGTGCAGAACATTAAATTTTGTGCGTACGTTTCATCTTCAATTAAGTTGAATTTTCGTAAATCATCGTAAACGAAATATTTATTTTCATGGAAATATAAATATCTTGAGCAAAGGCTAATAGTTTGGATTTCGACTGATTCATTTTCTATAGGGAGTTTGGAGTTTTATTAAAATTTGTCTTTCTTGACGAAAACATGAAAACAGATTTGTAATGCGGATTAATATGTAATATCATGTAAATATAATATTAAATTATACCTGTATTAAACTATACAGTAAGGATAAAAGTAATTTCAAAATAAACAAACTCTTGTAATGAAATATAAAGGATTATTTGAAATAATAGTAAATTTTCAGAAAAGAAAATTTTTTTCTCCTAATATTTAGAAATTTTTATTGCAAACGATGTGAGAGAACGTTTATATGGAATAAAAATGTGATATACAGAAATTTAAAAATATTTCTTTGAATATCCCTCTTTTGAATTCTATACGCAAATAATTTTACACTTTTGTATGTAATTAAGTGACAGAAAAAATTATTTAATCTCTTCTCTTTTTAATTTTTTTTTTATCTTTCACTATATTATTTTTCCACTGAAATTATGCCAAAGCATCAGCATAATCTTTTTCCTACTTGAAAGGTGACAATTAAGACCTTATTTCGACACAAAGGTGATGCTGAGAGCCAATTAAGGCTGGAGGGTTAATTTGGCCTGGGCATTATCATAATTATTTTTATATCCTTTTCTATTCAGTAAATAAAGTGTATTGGACAAAAAGTGTCCAGTTCAACGATTAGAAAAATCTTTCATGTTTGGATTGTATTGATTTTGCGCTCGTTGAGTATCTCAAATGGTCACGTGTGGCTAGTTTATAGTAGCGCGATAACCTCTATCTAAAGCAATTATTTAATAAAATGTGGTGCTCGTCAAATCAACTGGTGCTGTTGGGGATCGGAGTACAAAGAGTGCATCAGGACGGACGTGATGAGATCACCATTAAACAACCAAGCAAATTTGCAGATGGAGTTTATAATTTTATTTGTTACATAAAAGTTAGTGTTAGTATAGTAGTGGTTTATAGAAATAAAATTTACTATGCAAAATAAATTGTAAGTATTGCTAATTTAGAAAAAATAAATTTATAAAAAAAACTAAATGTTTATAAATATTCGTTATGAATTTTTTTTTACCTATTGCAAGTAAATAAGCCAAACGGCAAAGGCCGATAAGGCACTTTGGCGTGACAAAATAAAAATATAATAATAATAAAAATAGGGATGGTCAAAATCGCAAAAGGAAGTGGAACGCATGCGATCATTTTCGATCTTTTTGCAATATCGGAAAGCAATTTTAATGCTTACAATTAATATGGGAGGATTTAAATGTAAGATGTGAAGAAAAATTTTCAATATCTGGTCATTTGATAGAGAAATTTTCATTCACAAAGTACCTTTTTCGCTTTCTCTCCTCGCTCTGAAACCTGAATTTATAAAAAATCGTTCAAATATATGTGTTTTCTTTGAAGAAAAAATGAAAAATGATCGCCAAAGATCACAACATTTTATTTTTTATTTTTGAGATCGCGTTCATCCTTGAATAAAAATTAAAACGTAAATATTGGAAGCCGTTGATAGTTGGACCCGTTATGAAAGAGTTACAAACCTTGTAATAGATTAATTCGAATTTTGCATAAGTATAGCAAAGAAAAATTGAAAAAAAGTCTAAGAAAGCAGATTTGCAAACTAAAAAGCATCACGTGTTAAGTTTTGGTCTCGTAATTTTATAACCTTGCGAGGTTCAATTAAAAAAAACTCTCTATTCCGCACTTAAGCGCCTTTTAACCGGTATTTAGCCGTGTGTCTACCACGCTCCTCACACGCACGCTTCGTTTTCATCCACACGTAGCACCACAGCCTTCTATATCTTATCTGGTGCTCAGTCGGAAGACCCGCGCGGCTTCTCATTGCCAGTCCAACTCGAGGGCCCGGCGTAAAAGGTCTGTCGGAAAATAGTGCTGGTTGGATAGTCGGATGGCGCCTCAAGGTATCATTCCCACAGGCTGCTCACTCACGTGGATCCGGCGGCAAGACTGATCTTCTTAACACGCGCTAACGAGGACGAAGAACAATAATGAAGGTGCTCCTCGGAGTTGTGCTGCTCTTCGTCGGCCGAAGCTGTGCCTTCGATATTAACCTCTTGTCTAGAGACGTCTTCAATGCCAAATGTGAAAATAGGACGTGTTTAGGAGAAATCCAGGTTACATTTTTTATAATATTTATTTAAATATAAATAGGGCTATGCTTTTTATGATTTTGTTTTTAAATATTGTTTTTCTTCAGTATTTATAATAATTATTATTATTCCGCACGCCAGATGTGTGTCAGCGGCACCGCCAACGGTTTTGTTGCATAACGTCCATTTATTTACGCGCTGCAAGAGGATTAATTAGTATGGAGATATTTTCCTCGTGAAAGTGACAGCCGCGATTTGTTTACTTATTTGCATGCATATGCAAGTGCGCAGTGGTTTAAATGATATAACGGTCTGTTGTGGAATAATTTGAATAAAAAAACGAGCACGCGGTCAAAATAATCTAGAACAAATGTTACAAAGCAATGCAGAATTTAAAAATTGTAGCAACAGCAACAATATTATAATTGTAGATCTTCTCAAATCGATTCAAATCTTGATTTAAAATTTTTATCTTAATGAGCATATAAATAAATAATAAAATTTAATTTTAATTAACTTATTGAATTAAGTGCCCTTAAGAAATAGGAAAGTTACTGTCAAATTATAAAAAATGTATTTTATCCATTTAATAATTTCAATAATAAAAACTTTGACCTTCGGGGCAGTTGTGATCAATGAACTGTAAATTATTTGAGCTACTTACAGCCGGAGAAATCTAGAGGACCCATCTTTTGATCCCATTTAATATTTAAGTATCAAAAGACAATTTTTATCATCATTCCTTGCTTCACTAAAAATTTCTTGATGATTATGTACTAGACATTTATTGTAGTCTGTTTCAACGACTCTTGCTATATTCCTTATCTTTCTTTTCAAATAATAAGATAAACATTTAACGTAGCTGCTAATAATTATTAGTTATAATCTATATTCTATTAAAATGACTCTTTATTTGCTGTGAATCCCCAGGGTAAAGAGTAAAGAAAAATAATGCGTGGTTTAAAGGTCACATTTGTGTCGCATCAGCAATTGTCGTTCAGATGGTGGGAGGAAATATTAAGAGCGTTTTCCTTGTACATATACAGCTCATTAGCATGCCCGATGCAAGTGTAGCACGATTCGATATAAACATATCAGCACCATCATTTTGTTGGTGCTGTCCACTGAACCAATATAAAATACCCACACCGCATCGATAGTTTGATTGAATTTAATCAACAAACAATGATAAAAGCGTCTGCTTGCGTACTTAATGTTGTTTCAACACTTGATATGTTTATTTGCGTTAATAAAATCCGGTGAAGTCTTATTAAGACAAATCAAATAAGATAATTAAATTTAAAAAAAATTACCATTTTAACCTTTAGAAAACTCTTCGTTATAATGTTGAAGTGATTGAGGTTTTTTATACAATATTTTTTCATTAAATTTCAGTGTAGTGCCTTGAGTGAGTTGAGAGGCAAGTCTGATACAGTCTTACTGGTGGAGCCGATCAGTGCAACAACTATTCCATCACACGTGACTGGCATCTCTACAGAATCCATTACCAATGCTGATATCAATTACACTTCATCGCCAATTGCTGAAGTTACGCCGTCAACAGAGGAGGCCACAAGGCAAAAAAGAAACGTTGAGACTGAAAAGTGCTTTTTGGTGTACAACGAAAATTTAATAGGAAATGAAACTGACGCCAATGAAAGTAATGGTTCAAAGACAGTAAACTGGCAAGGTTGGAAGAAGCATGTGACTGATTAAAAAAGTTGCCAATTTACATTCTAAATTTGATTGCAGTGTGGTTGTACGGATTTCTCTCCGTCGGATTTATCAGCTTGTCGGGCATTTTCGGCGTCGTCTTTGTACCTCTGATGAAAAAGAAAATATTTGAAGTTGTGCTGAGATATTTGGTGGGCCTCGGAATCGGGGCTTTGAGCTCCACAGCGATTTTCCAACTCATTCCAGAGGTGATAAATAGATCGCCGGAAATGAGAAGTAATAATTAAATTTTCAGTGTTTTGAAATTATGGACAGGGACTACTTGTCTTCATCAGTGGTCATCTGGATGACCATTTGGGTGTTTTTTGTGTTTGAAAGCGTCTGCAAAATAGTTCTTAATGGAGTGGAAGTAAGTATAACAGAATTCTTAAAATGGTAATGTTTTAATTGGTTTTAATCATGCAGTTTAAATAAGCATTTGATAATTAAAGATAAGCTATAAAAAGTAGCTTTTTTTATCCTTGCTTAAACACAAGTTTTCCAGCACCTTCTTTCTGATTGAAAAAATTAATTTTATACCCAATTTGTTAAATTTGATTGTTTTTTTTGTGTGTTTCAACTACTATTAACGCATGAAATTTTTAAAATAATATTCTATTTAAATTAAATAAAATTAAACTCCAGTTAATTTTTGTGATTGACTTGATGTGAGATGTTGTGTATTTCATTGTATTTGAATGGAGAATTAATAATAAATGAATAAAATACAATATTTACCGTCACTGCAGTGACGGAAAATTCGTAGGAAACAATTAATTAAATTCAGGAAGACAATTTTTTTTACTTCAGAATGAAAATAATTTCAAAATTTATGATTATTATTATATATTATTGATTTCAGAGTCACCACGGCCACAGTCACTCGAACAGACGAGCGTCCGCTGAAAAATCCAGCAGACCCATCTACAAGCCGAAAAATGATAATGCAGACATAGAAGTGGACTGTTTTTTGCCCAAATCATTTGAAAATGGAAATGCCAAAGCCGAGGAAGAGTCAAAGTTTTTGGAAGTGCTTCCGGCCGGTAGTGCAAAATTGAATTCTGAAAACAAGGTACAAACTTTGCACTTCTAGAATGCAGTTTTCTCATTTTGTTCCGCAATTTATAGATGGCTTTTCACCACAGGAGTCACGATTTCCTGGCTGAGCCGCCCAGAAAAGGCTCTGGCACACTGGCCTCAATTTCCTCCGTCGCCTGGATGATCATTTTGGGCGACGGAATCCACAATTTCATCGACGGCGTTTCCATCGGTGCTGGTTTCACTCAAAGTCCCCTCGCTGGCTGCAGCATAAGTCTGGCCATTATTTTTGAAGAGTTCCCTCATGAACTGGGTATACATTTTTTTAAAGCTAATACATTTATTTAGTTTTTCTAATATTTACAATTTATAGGTGATTTTGCAATATTGATCAGTTCTGGAATGTCTGTGAAAAAGGCATTGGCTTTCAACTTTGCGTCGGCCTGCACTGCTTTCCTCGGACTGGTTTTGGGAATTTCACTTGAATCGTTTCAAATTAATTCCTACATTTTCGGTCTGGCTGGAGGTCTCTTCCTGTACATCTCTTTATCGGACTTGGTAAATGCCGTTTTTTTTTTTTTTTAATTTTAAAGACAGGGCTAAACTATTAAAAAAATGAAATGTTTTTTTATTTTAAAAAAACAATATTTTCTCAAAAGTAAAAATTTTTCACTTAGATTCCGCAACTCAACAATATGCTCGACGAAGCTTTAGAAGAGGAAAATGGAGGCAAAATGAAATCAACGTGGATCCTCATTCAACAAAATCTCGGTATTTTGACTGGGATGGTGCTCATCTATTTGATTACCAGATTTGGTCACCTCATACAAATAGGCGAATAAGAACACTGTATTATTAATTTCTGTTTAAAACTTGCCAATAATGATTTGTATTTTTGAAAAAACCCAATGAACTGAAGCGAATGCTTTTATGCATAAAATTTTGACGTGCCATTAAACAACAAACATAATATTTAAGAAACTGCAGTTTTTAATTCTTTCACTCTAGTTGAGTTTTATTTTATTAGAATTCACAACTTGTTATGATCACAAAATGGTAAAATCTGCAACTCGCATTTTTTCAATTCACATTTTATCACAGTCTTTAGCTTCAAGTATCAAATCAGAAATCCATGCACGGGTTCGGATCACTAGTAAATTTATCCCAGATCGCTGATTGCCTTTGCGGAGTAATGTGGTGTCCCGTAAATCTAGAAAAAGTTAATCATTTAATAAAGAACAGATACACAATTATTATAAAAAAAAAATTGCATAAAAATTCAAATTGTTTTCTATGTTAAAATTTTCTGCGCTGGCCGAATCTCTTTTGATGTTGGGCGTTTTAATATTAAATGTTTTCTTCTCTTTTCATTAACAATTTTTTAAAATTTTGTTCCAGCAGAGAAGAATAAATATTAATATTTCAAATATTTTTCCACTTAATTAATAAGGCCACGGAGCATAAAATTGACTTATAGGGTTCAAGAGGAATAAATATAATTTTGCAAGTTCTTGCGGAATCTATTTCATCATCAATCCACTTTCTGATTATTTCGTTCTTATATTATTTAAATCAAAGTGAAAAAATGAACTCTGCACGAATCAAAATCTCGCAAGATTACTATAATTGCGTGAATTGCATTCTGATGATGAGGGCCGGTTACTGTTATCCACTGGAATGAAAGCTAAGCTCTCCTTTTGTTATTAACAAACACAAAAGCAATATTTATCACTTTCGCCCGTTCCTGTGCACACGAGATGCAGACATCAGAAAATGAATTTATATCTGGTGCTTAATCTCTACTTTCTATATGTACGACAGGCAGTAAAAAGATCAAGAACGCGAAAGCAGCGTTTAAATTAAAAAATTAAATTATTCAGGTTAAAGGAAAACTTCATAGAGAAAGAGTACACTGGTTGTATCATATTCATTTTCTAAATATATAACAAAATGTGAAGATAAAATTAAAAAAATTCGAGAATCCTTGATATGTTCAACGGTTTTAAGTTCAAAAGTCCAAAATTAATTGTTAAATGTCAAATAAATACAATTCTGTGAATCATGATGAAATGGTGATTTGAAAAAAATTAAAATACATATTTTTCTGTGGTACTCACAAGGAAACAAGTTCGCAGTCATCCTTGATTATGCCCCCGCAGCTAAATCGAGGGTCGTGTCTTGGTGGGTGCGCCCCTGGCACCAGTTGGGCGCATTGGGCAGTCACAAAAATGTCCTCCATCTTCAGAGGTTTGCGGACTCTTCTGGCAGCGGCGTAGAGTTCAGTGACCAGAGGTCCACTCATGACGTAACCAGCGCCAGCCACAAAGTCTGGCAGCAGCGAGGGCGCCGTACGGCCATCCATGCTGATTCCTTTTGGTGCTGTCTTTTGTTTCGCACAACCTGATGCAGAACAATAAACTGTTAATATACGAGGCCAAATATAAAGTAAAAGTAGATACTTAATTAAATAACTGCATTAAGCTATTTCAATTATAAGTTTAACTTTTAATATTCGTTTGCACATTTTCTTTGATATTAGATAATTTATATAATTAATTATATGACATCATTTCACAAATTCAAAAGTGGAGAATAGTACAGACATCTTTTGACGACTCTAATTTAACAAGCAACATTATAAGATTTAATTTTTTTTATTTTATTACAAATAAAATTCAAATAGTTTGCGCAAATTTTCATTTCATTAAATTATTCCTTAAAAAATATTAAATACTAAATAACTGATACATAATTTGACTACAATAAATTTTTATTCAGAAAAGCTTTTTAATACCTGTTATTACTTTTTCTGCTTCTTTATAATTCTTTTTGAGAACCGCAACCAACAGCGGCACGTTCACGAAAATATCATCGTCAGTCTTCATGACGAAACGCGGGGCCTTTTTCCCATCTCCGCACGCTCCGGACACATACTTGAGCAGCATTGTCGACTTGAGGGTGAGATTCATGTACGTGTCCTCAAAGTCGCCCTGCAGGATGTCCCCAAATTGCTCGGCCTCAACGTGCACAGCCTCTTCTCCAGCCGGCCTGGAACCCAATGCGAACACCACGGCCGCATTCAACGGCGCCAAAGCCTCGGCGGAACCCCAAGTTTCGCGGATGGCCATCCGCCTGTCCGAGTGCTGCACCGCCGAGCAGACGACAATCAGGAGATCAGTTTTGTGACAAGACCTTCGGATGCAAACGAGACGGAATTAAATTTTGAATTAATCACTAACAAGTTAATAAATTAAACAAAAAAATTTAATATGGAGCTGCTATTTTTTATGCAGGCTTTTAATTGTTAAGGTAAAATTATTTTCTGCTAGGTTGATTGTTAAAATATAATCAACCTCAAAGAAAAATATAGTTTTTTTCTACGTTACTGTTTGTTATTATTTTCACCAACTTTTGTGGTTCCTCTTAAAAGTAAAAACTTGATCCAATTTTACAATAAAAAGTGCTGAGCGAAACCGCAACTGATTTGTGAGAACTTTAAGCTATTTACAGTCAATCATGAGAGGTGCTAACGTTACCACAATATCTTGCAAAATACAATTCTCTTTAGAAATTCAACAGTTTCCTTTTCTGCAATCTGCAGCCTTCTATAGTAGCATGTTTAATTTACGGCACGATTGACAGGTTCCGTCGTGTCAAGCGTGAATGCTAATGAAGGTTTATTGTTCTGTTCATTTTAATTTTTCTAAAATCATTTACTTATAAAATTTAATTAAAGTTTGTTTTAATTTATCATAAATAATTTGCTTCAATATTAATGGAACAATCAAAATATTTCAATATTTGATTTTAATTAGAGGCACTAATTGTAAGAAAAAGAGTTAAGACAAAAGAATCAATACTTACTTAAAAGTACCTCTTGCGGACGGCTGCAGTTTAATTTCAAACCCAAACGGTTTGACGGTGAGGTCTGTGGCGTCCAAGTGAGGCCCGGTGGGCTCATGAAGAGACAAAGTCCGTCTGATGGCTTCATGTTTTTGCAAGTGTCCGGAGGTGGACTGTTGTTGGGTGGAAAAAACAAAGAAAAGGACGCAGAAAGCGAAGCACATGAGGCACACTAAGCGGTAAAAGGGTCTGCTGGCGTAGCAGTTGCAGTACTTGAGGGACGCGTCCACCACCAGGTGGTGCACCCAGCCGGACACGCCGGCGTCCATGTCGGACGGACACACTCGAGGCACTTCGACGGGCAGCAGGCAACGACGGCCGACGTCGTCGTTGCACTACTGGAGCAGCGACAGAGAGTGAAATCAAAATTATTTTCAATGCCACGCGCTGCAGCTAAAAGAGTAGGAGGACGAGTGAAAGTGAAAATTCGTACACTGTTGAGAGACGCGGTTGAGCGATCCGAGCTGCAGAGTGTGTAATAATAAATAAATCACTTGAGCGTTACCATTGTTTTGGGAAAAAAGCTTATGACGATGAAAATATGTCTTAAGACTCTTCAGTTAAAACACTGAAAATAAACCAATCTTTTAAGACGAAACTTGAAATGGAAATAGAAATATAAAAAAAATTTTAAAAAAGCAGCATCATAATAAACAAAGATTTAACAATAATTTCTATGTACGTTTGTAAATTCAGTTCAGCTTAATCAAGAAATCTGTAAAAATGAATTGAAAAAAAGCTTTAAGATGCCAAATAATTTCCTTCTTTTAAAATTATTATTGCAGATCAGAGATCACGTTTATTTTTATCGAAAGCATAAAAAAAGTAACAAATTTTGTTGGACAGAATAAAAAACAATAAATGCGACATTCCAAGTGTTAAAATGATTAAAGCAGCTTGATCGGAACCATATAATTGTTGGTTGGTGTAGAGATGTGACCTTGGTAACAGGGCGCGGATAATCAGCTCACCAGCAAGAAGGCGTTGGACTCGTTTGCAATTTTATGTCACCTTCACCCTAATAAAGAACAGACACGATTGTGGTTGCTTGATCCTTCAAGGTTTTTGCATCTTTGTTCTCTAAGGTGTAAAAATATTAACTCGCCCACACTAAGATTTAAAACTAATTTTAAAATCAATTAATATTTTATTTAAAGTTTGATTTTTGTATGATAAATCGATAAATGTTGTTATACATGAACAGAAGGTATTCAACTGATAAAGAACCACAAAGTAATTTCAATTGAACAGATTTCATTTAATTATCATTCAATATTGCTCGACGAGCTCTAAAATTATTGCTTATAAATTAAATCTCGTGGCTCTCTTGGGCTCTCTATACTTTCTTAAATCGCCTAGCAACTTTAATAGGGCACGTAAAAGTAAGTGAATGTTCACGTAATTGGAGTGCCAAAAGATCATTCCTGGCTGGAGATTCCGAGTCACGATTTTAACATCTGCGCGTTGCAATTGTGCACGTCTCATGCACATTCTATTTCTTTCCTACTGGAACCGCATTGATCGAATGGAGAAATTTCAATTGCGTAACACAAAAAGAACTCTCCAGCATGTAACAAATATGCCAGAGGCTAATTTCTCGCACGCCAATATACTGTCCAAGGCTGGACCGAACACGACCTGATCAGAAATAATAATACGTAAGCCAAAAATAAAAAATGATATATAATTTATGCATGAAACGCAGAGAAACGCCGGTGGCACTTTCGTTCGCGCTGCAAAACAATTAGGAATCACCTTCACTTTTTTTTTGAACGACCTGAACCTGAGAGTTTTACAATAAAAAAGCTAAAAGCATGCAGCGCGGCGCCGTTTGTGTGACAGAAGTGCAATTGTGAAAGTCATTATGTGAATCGTCGTTATGATGAGCTTGCTTAATTAAACACGCGCTGCGTCTAATGGCTTAATCGCTTTCTCCATTAATTGTTCAGCGTTGGTTAAATTATAGATAAACTTAATTGATAACGCTGTTTTATGTGTGAAAATGGGCAATGATATCATGAAATAAAATATCCTAGGAAAATAAAAAAATCATATTTTAAAATTATATTTTAGCTTATTTAACGTAAACATAGGTTAAGAGTTATTTCTAAGCTTATTATATACATATTTAATTGATATTGTTGATTATTCCAGTTTATTTGTACAAATATAAACAATACCAAACTGTTTCAATTATAAAGTTGAAAAAAATAGTTAAAAAAAGAAAGGTAATATGCTGGAAAAACGGCACCACCAAGAAAAAATAATATAAATAAATAATACATATTTGCAAACAAACTTTATAAGTTATTTTTCCTACTTTATTTCGTGGGTCATGACCTCTTCTTCTATTATTAGTTTTATATTATATACACACACCCCGTCCCACATTTTTTCGTTCCAATGAGCAGAGGAAATTGATTTTCGTTGGCGACGTAGCTTCTCATCTCTTGGAAAAGATAATCAAATGATGCACCGCAAATGAGTTGGTTATTGCAATTAGGCGATGCCTATATTGAGCCCTTTTTCCGTCCCTTATAAAAACGGCACCCTCTCTTCACTGGTCACATTCAACCACCAGCTCTCACCCCAGCAAGCAGCTCCTCAAAACAAGTGAGTATTTTTTACAATAGAGTGTTTGATTTTGAATTTTGTAAAACTTTTGAAAATGATTTTTTGCTAGAAATTGCAATGGCAGCCGGTCTCATGGTTCGCTTCGGCACCGTCATCCTGATCGTTAGTCTCGTCCTGATGGTCTGCTACCCTGCCGAGGCTTACCGCAAACCACCCTTCAACGGCAGCATTTTCGGAAAGAGAGCAGGTATGATTTCCCGTTTTTGCATTTTCAATTGTGAAGTAATGAGCAAATTAATTTTCATATAAATTTTTTATCAATGCAGTTAAAATAATTTTACGCTAAAAATTTCCATAAAGTGTTGGAGCAAAATTTTCCCTTCCATTGAATCTAAAGCTGGACAATGTATTATTAGTAACTCATAATCTTGTTCCTAAACTTCCTCAAACTTTCATTTTTCATTTAACCGGATTGAATTTAATTAGAGCACTGCTAAAAAGCGACAGATTTTTCTGTCCACAACTTGCTGCTTATGATCGAGACCACTTTCAATGAATACTGTACTTTATTTATACATTTGCAGAGCCGGAAGGAACCGCTCGTACCATTTTCTCGCTCTGCGAGTTGGCTTCGGAGGCTTGCACAACCTGGTTTCCCGCGCCGGCCGCCACCGACAACAAATAATGTAATCATGGCGAACACAACTAGGCACTGACCAAAACCGGCTGATAAATATAGCTTGTACTTGACGTTTTAGCCAGAGAGAGAAGAAATTTAAACACCGTAGCAGTAGTTTTGGGGGGAAAAGATGTGCACTAATATTTTGATTGGGCCGAGTAACGCTTGGCTCTCTGGGTTGGTCGTTTTAGGCGTAGAATTTATGTTTGTAACTTTCTCTGGATAGAATTGAAAATTAATAAACGATGCACAAAATGACTTCAAATTTGTATTTTTCCTCTTTTCACTGCCCACATACAATGCCGGAAATGCCCTTTAAGAACGCGGCACATTATAATGTGTTAGCGAAAGTGAAGCTTACACGTGTATAAAATAAGTTGCGTATTTTTTCTATTACAATGCAAATGCAATGATACTAAAATTAAAAATAGATCTGGAAATAATAAGAATTGGGTGGTGCCTTCTGCACCACTAATAAAGGGCACAGGCCGACAAGACTTTGTCTTGGCCTGACCCGGCCTGACCCTAAAAATAAAAATAAATACAGAAATAAATAGATACAATGAATTAAATTAAATTTAATAAAACATTATCTTATTTATTATATTTGTTTGAAGAAGTTGACACTCAAGGAGATGATAATGGAAATGAAGATTCGGGCTTTTCCTCGTTGCAAAAAATTTTGTTTTTATTCAAAAACAAACGGCTCTACCAGTTTCGGTCACGGTCTGCGACCCTATTTCATGAGCAAACGCGTTTGCAAATAGGGTTTGAAATAGGGTCGCAGACCGTGACCGAAACTGGTAGAGCCGTTTGTTTTTGAAGAAAAACAAAATTTTTTGCAACGAGGAAAAGCCCAAATCTTCATTTCCATTATTTATTATAATTTTTAAATAAAATGAATTTAATTTAAATTTTTATGATTTAATTAAATAAAAAAAATAAAAAAATACATTATTTATTAATAATTGTGTGCATTGGCAACTTGTAACAAAATTTTCTTCAAAAAAAGTCTCATATTAGGTTAATTTCGTCTTATTTTTCTAAGTATTGCAATTGCAACATTATGCTACTTTTCTTTTTACTGAAAATCTACTTGGCAATTTGCAAATTTAAAAAAATGTTACAATAAAGATTTTTGTGTGTGTCAAAAAACGAATATTTCTAAAATTATCTATAGGATCCATGCAACGTGTTTCCATTTCCACATAAAAGCTAAGGATGTGCAATTGTCAGCAATCAATTATGCGATTTGTGCGCATAGGACGCGTGTCGAGGGTGGTTGTCGCGTGGGGTGCCAATAATCTCATGGAAGGCGCTAGACAAAGATCAATCGATTGGGAACGTGTAAATCAACGACATCTGCATGCTGGTACCTATAAATGTCAGAAGCGCACCGGGAATTAGGCGTCCCTTGCAAAAGAGCATTCAACCCTCCGCGCGCCTTTTCTCGATCTAGGCCACTTTCCGTCACTTGCACGCGCTGAAGTAAAAATTTAGTTCAAGTTTTTACGCACAATTAATCGAATTTGATGCCAAATAAAAATAGAAGAGTTAATTTCACTTTTTCCTTATTTTCATAATTCATATCAATTTGGCCGTGAGAGTGATCGAGTGCGACAGAGAAGGTCTGTGAATAAATTTCAATAAATTATTCCTTTTTCCGTGGAAAAATATGGCACCCTTGAAAATAAAAATTGGTGACGTTTCGATCACTGTCTCGCGACCGCCGCCCCCGAATGAGGCTAATGTTCTGACAAGCGGCGCCAGAAGAGACGACAGGTGCAATGAGGGTCTCACCTTGGTGCTTGTGCGGGGTATAAAAGCCAGTTGATTCTCAGGGGATGGAACAGTGTTCAGGGACCACAACTCGTGGATACACATTGCAGACAACGAGGACGGCGCATTTTGATTTTCAAACAAAGCAAAAATGGGCAGAGCTTTCAAAACAAACTGCAAAGTCACACCAGGTAAGTTGATTGTTACAGATGTACTGTCTTGTCTTTTTTTTTTTGACAAAAAGTATTTTAATTATTTCATTTAAAAACGTAACTATAAAAAGTCAAAATAAAAAACAGGGTTTTCTGTTGACAAAAAAAAAAGAAAATAATTGAACTTTGTGACTTCTGTATTGAAAAAATATTTCACGACTGTCTTAATTAAACAATGGATACAAAATTATTTCTTTAAATTATTCTCAAAAATGAAGAACAGTGATTTTTAATAAATAAATTATAGCTCATTTTATCATTCATTTTGATCAACTCAAGTGCTGCTTCTTAAATTTTAAATCTTTATATTAATTAAATTTTAATTTTTTTTTTAGCTGCAATTCTGTTTTTACTTTCTGCAATGATCATTGGCTTGGAAGCCGATTCAGATGCAGGAACATTTTTCCTAAAAGCAACGAAAAATGTGCCGAGAATTGGTCGACGCAGTGGTGGAGGAGATACGCCGTTTTTCCTCAAAGCAACCAAGAATGTGCCTCGCATTGGGCGACGAGGGGAAGGACCGAACTCATGGGTATTTTTACTCGGAACATTTTATCATGATTATAAGGCTATTCTAATGAAAGTCGGAATTTTTAAAATGGCACTTACCTTCATTGCAGGGAATTTCCGAGGCAAAAGACGGCTCAACGCAGTGGTCATCTGGCCGTCAGGACGTGATTCCAAACAGGGTCGCTCGGACAGGACCCACCAGCTTGACCACCCTCTGGAACTCCCCTGTGCGAAGCCAAGTGCCGAACTCCCGCACTCAAAGCGCCCTCGGTGAGTTTTGCTCACAGAGAATATTTTCTATTTTGAGCAAAAACCAAATTGCAGGCAGTGAAGCTGTTCGCGGCCCGGACTCGTCTGAGGAAAATACACTGATGGGTCCCCGTTACGAGCTGTTTGACAGTAGCTCGCAGGACCTTTCCTCTCAAGAGATCGAGTTCTCCGCTGCTCAGATGGTGGCACCGCCGCCCTTCCAGACATACCAGCGTTTGCCGCAGGAGGGTGGATATTCGCCGTTCCGACCCCGCAGAGAGGATCAAAATAAGGAGTATGAAAAGTGACGTCATTCACTGTGAGAATTTTCATTCATTTAGCGCGTATTGGTGCCTTATTAAAAGTGGTTTCCCTTGCATAATTTTTCTCTGTGGTGAATCTAGTCGTCGAACTGCTTTTGCTTTATTTAGCCGTAAAGATATTATTAATTTTCTAATAATGCTTTGCCAACCCTATCCAATGATGGCCTGAAGGAGTGTTTTAATTCATAAAAATAATGTATTTTATGAAACGCTTTTTCAGAGAGAAAGTGTTCTTATGCGAATTTTAAACAAATATTTTGTTTGTTATTATTGTGGACTATTTACAAAAAAAAAAAAGAATTGTATAATATGAGATTGAGAAGAGAAGAAATATCTATAAATAAAACATATTTTTGCAAACGCTTTCAAAGATGAATTTAAGTTGTTACTAATTTTCTTCACAGAATCCATTTTAGGGTACAAATATTTACATATGCCTATATAATTAAACAAGAAATGATTCAAATGTGTTTTTATTGCTGCATAATTATATTATAATTATGTAATAATTCTCATTATGTGAAGGCAAAGTGGAGATACGCGAACTGACCCACAAAATGTTTATTTTTGTACACCATTTGCTCTGGTGATAATGTTATCAAGCTATCAACAAAACAAACCTCAGGTGTGCAGCAGTATTTACACATATTTTCTCTCCCGTATCTCACAAAAAACTGCAAAATCCATTGTTATTATATTAAAATTTAGTGCAATTTTTGAACCAAAAAAGAATACCAGTTGATTATTTTATATTTTTTTAATTATAGATTATTTACAAACTATTCAAAATAAAAAAATTAAATTTAAAACATTAGCCATATTCAAAATTTAATAAATTTTATAACATAATTTTATTCTTAAATTTTTGAATAATAATATTTAATTAATATAAATAATGATTAATGATACTCTCTCATAGAGAATTGGTGTTTTCTGATATCCAGCTACGAATTGATGGGTCACCAAGATTTGTGTACACTCCAGGTAGTCCAGGTGTAGCACATCCTGCTCCAAATGAGACGATTCCAATTTGAACATTGTTTGCAGCAAGTGGGCCACCGGAATCACCCTTAATTGAATAATACGTGTTGCTATTAAAAATAAAATTTTAAGATTTTTTTATCTTCATACTTGGCAAGAATCGGTAATTTCGTTTCCTGCGCAGATCATTCTTCCTGTTAATTTGGTCCTCACGCGGAAAAAATAACTTCGTCGGCACCTACGAAAATCTGCTACCTTCACCCGACCAAGCTGAAGAGTGTTGGGCACATTTTGAGCTCCAGACTGACTCGGTAATTTATCAATTAGCCTTTTTTTCGGTATATAACAATTATAATAAAAACATGCACCTGGAGAAGTCCCCATCCTGTAACGACTGCATCTGTACCCGCAGAGGGCTGAGCACCACTTTGTGGCAATGCAATTGCAGCCACACGTTCATTAAATACAAAAGGATCGGCCATCTAAAGTTAAATTATTTAGTACAAAATTAAGAAAATTTAAAAAAAAAATACCCTAAGCACAGCTATATCAAATTCATTAGTTCTGTTTGAGTAGTTCGGGTGGGAAATTATTGATCGAATTTTGCTGGAGGTTCCGCCATTGTCCAGATAGGTGCTCCCAGATACCACTGTAACTTCTTTCACACCTTCCAATATTTCCCTATTGTTTAAAAGCATAATTATATTGTAGAAATGAAATGTTAATTAAATAAAATTTTACCTAACAAAGCAGTGAGCAGCACTCAAAGCATAATTTGCACTTATAATTGAAGCTCCACAAACATGCTGTCCATCAAGCCGAACGGAAAGCTTAAAATGGTAAAAATCCAGTGTTTTAAATTAATTTTTTCCATATTGAGGACAATAGCAAAGAAGCAAGAAGTTACCTGATATGGATACCTAGCGATATCAGTATCCATTCCTCCAACGATTTTTGAATTCGGTGATGGTAATTTGTTTGGCCTGATTAACTTGACTAAATCATCAAATAAAAATTGGTTAGAGTTTATTATTTTCTTTAAAGGTGTGATCAAAATATTTTTTACTTATTTTGGTGAAGTGTATGGTTGACATAATTTAATTAATGATAGTAGTATAATTATTTACCTGCAGAATTCCTCTCTTGCACATCAGGTTCTACGTCCCCTGACCCAATTGTAAAATTTACTAAAAATACCAACACCACAACAAAAATAATGGCCTTTCCGCGCCTCATCTTTTCTTTAACGAGAGTTGGCGTACGAGTAAATTTAGCACGTAGAGTGCATCGCTTTTATATTGCAAAATATTTGCCAAAGTTCTAATTTTGTTAGCCCCCTTTTTTTATCACTAACGTATTCGTTGACTATTTTCATCAAATATCAGCAAATGAAAATAATGTGGAGCACGTTATCTACGGCAAATGAAACAGATTTGAATGGGGTGACATAATACACTTATTTTGGAACAAAGATTTTGGACCTTTTTCGTTTCATTTTAAATTGTAAAATTCCTTGTTCAGGGTTCATGATTTTTTTTTTTAATTTGAATTGGCCAGAAAAGTTTTGTTGAGAATCACCCGGAATCACCATTCTGTATTTTAAGTACATATGTTGTTGACCAAAAAGGCATACTCTGACCTCTGACTAAATTCGGAAATAAAAATTTCGGGCTTGCGAAATAAATAACAATGCGATAAAATCATGGTCAAGAGGTAGTGCCATCTAAATACCTTCTTGGTGTGATCATTGGTTCAAGACAGCAGTAAAAAGTAAAAACACTCGCTTCAAGTTAATCACATCACACATTTTATAAATACCTTAATAAGAAGCAGATGAGTAAAAATAACCTTAAGTATTTGAAAAGAAGAGGGAAGAAAGAAGAAACGAAGAAAGAAACAAAATCATTAGAGTTCAATCAATATGTATCTTGGAGCGACAGACGTACAATTTCGCGGGCTTTGGGTCGAAACAAATGAAGGCGTTGCACGTCGGCCAATCAGAAAATTCCAACTCACAGGTGGACAAGGATTGAAAATGGCAGCGGAGGTGAGGTGGCTCTTGCTGGTTTCGGCGATAATTTTGGCGATTGCTCGCGGAAACGACGGCTCTGCGCCTCACCGACGCTTCGAGTACAAGTACAGCTTCAAGCCGCCCTACTTGGCCCAAAAGGACGGCAGTGTGCCCTTCTGGCAGTACGGAGGAAGTGAGTTCGCACCGCGGTCGGTGCCGGCCCGCCAGCTGCTCCTCGCCAAAGTCCCGCTGCTCTTTCGCACCTTTCATTGAATGAAAATCGTCCGACTTTTCCACTCTACTTTTTCATTTAAATTTTTAAATTCCCATCTCTTAATTTGGTATTATTTTTTAAATTTTTGTCTAAGGGAAAATTATAGAAATTGATTATAATTTTCCCTCATGTTATGGTCAGATGATTTGATAAACACCCATTAATCGCTACAACGTGGCTTCAAGCTGTCGATGAGCACAATTTTAACCTTATTGATAATGTTGTGATAACATTTTATAACGTTGCAAAATTGATTAATGACCCGACGAAGGCATTGTAGCATATTGTATGTTATTTTCGGAGGAGCAAGTTTTTTTATGCATATTCCTTTACAATTTACAATAAATTTTTATCATTTCTGTTAATCATTGAATTTTTAATTTAACCTTTAATTTTTTTTCAGACGCGATCGCAAGTGAGGAGAACGTCCGTATTACCCCTTCATTGAGAAGTCAGAAAGGTGGAATTTGGTCGAAGGAACGCACCAGTTTTGATTGGTGGGAGGTTGAGGTCACCTTCAGGGTCACCGGCCGAGGCAGAGTTGGTGCCGATGGATTGGTCAGTTTTATTAAATCTTGCTTAAATCTAAAGCTTGCTAACTTAATCACTTTGAAACCCGCAGGCCTTCTGGTACACTGAGAACCAAGGAGGACACGATGGGCCCGTTTTTGGCAGTGCCGACCAGTGGAACGGCCTGGGCGTCATTTTTGACTCGTTTGACAACGACAATAAGCACAACAACCCCTACATCATGGCCATCTTGAACGACGGCACCAAAGTCTTTGACCACCCAAAGTGTGTATTTGTTTGTTTCCGCTTAAAAAATTGAAAATTTGATTAACAGTGGCAGCAAGTGCGGTCCAGTATTATTTTCTTTACAAGATTGTCATTTCTTGAATTCAAATAATTCATTTCAAATTTCTTTTCAGTGACGGATCGACACAACTCCTGGCCGGCTGCCTCAGAGACTTCCGAAACAAGCCGTTCCCCACAAAGGCCAAAATTGAGTACTACCAGAATGTCCTGACAGTATGTTTTCAATCTAATTTAATTTTGTTTTTGATCTTCTTGCCAATTCCTGTCACAGGTGCACTTCCACAGTGGAATGACGAACAATGATGACGACTACGAAGTGTGCATCAGAGCTGAAAATGTGTTCCTGCCCAAGTATGGCTACTACGGTTTGACGGCTGCCACTGGTGGACTTGCCGATGACCACGACGCTCTGGCATTCCTCACCACCAGTCTGCACCCCCCAGGATTGGCGCCACCCACCATTCCTCACCCTGTTGATGCCGAGCAGGAGAAATTGGCTCATGAATATGAGGAGTACCAGAAGAAACTCGATAAGCAGCGAGAAGAGTGAGTTTTTTGTATACAATTAAAATAATTTTTCGACCTATCGATCTTTTAACTGTCCTTTTTAATTTTTTTTCGTAATTTATTTCTGATTTGTTTTTATTTTCTTCACCTTTAAAAATGAATAAAATATTTTATTTTCCTCTTTTTAAATTTTATTGGGTTGCTTTTGATTTTGAATTATCATTTTTAAGTTACCGCCGAGAGCACCCTGAGGATCATCAAGGGGAAGGAGAGGAATATGAAACGGAGCAGGATAGAGAGCTTCGTCAAATTTTCACCGGCCAAAGTCAAATGTTTGCCGAGCTTCGAGACATGGGCCGCAAGCTGAGTGAAATTGTTGGTCGGCAGGAAAACACCATCAGTTTGCTGTCTCAAGTCCACACATCTGGTAAGAACCTGCAATTTTTATAAAAAAAATCTAATTTTGAAATCTGCAGTTTCTGGAGGTGGAATTCCAGTGATTGGGTCTCCCCATCAGCCAGGCCAAGTTCCACCCCAAGTTGCTGGCCAGCCTGTGATGGCAAGACATGAAGTTGATGCTATGCTGCAAGGCCAAAGGGAACTTGTAACCACCACAAGAGAACTGAAGTGAGTTTTAATTAAATTCATTTTATTATTCTCCGTATGAGTAAATGAGTTGGTCTATTCTAGTGCAGTTTGTATTTTTTATTTGAAAATAATTTATTGATAGTTGTAAAAGAAATCAAATGGGAATTTCAAAAACTGAATTAAGAATAGTTCGGGACATGCATCGATTTGGAAAATCGAAACGAAACTTCCTCGTGACCGTGAAAGTGTGAAACAAACCTTGCAACTATTTTTAATTTTTTTTCTCCACATTTTCATATTCTTATTTTTAAAACATTCAAATATAATTTAATTTATTCATCATGTTTTTAAATAATTTTGTTTCTGCTACAGGACGTACTTAGTTGAAATTCACCAACGCGCTGCTGCCATTCAGCAAGCTCAAGAAAAGCAGGGCACTGCCCATGTCGTCGGAGGTGCCTTCGACCAGCAGCAGTTGGCCAACGAGTTGAAGGACGGCCTCAACAGCGTCAAGAGGGACATGGCTGCAGCCGCCCAAAGACTTTCAGCCCCACCGCCCCCCTGTCCAGCAGCCACAGGCTGTGTCTCGACAACGGTGTTTGTCGTTGTTGCTGCTGTTCAACTTTTCATCCTGCTTGGGTACTCTTTGTACAGGTGAGACATTAATTTTCAATCTTTCAAGTAAATTGCTGTTAATATGGATTTTTTTTTTAAATATCATTATTTACCAGGAATAAATAACTTCTAGGGCACATTTTAAATTGGCACTTTCATTAAATATAATATATATTTTTTTCGTTTAATCCAAAACGTTCTTTAAAATTAATTTTTTAGTCACATTACATAAAATTTGTAACATTTTATTAAATTACTAATCAGCCACTTAATTTGTTTCAGAGATAGCAAAGAGTCGCAAGCAAAGAAGTTTTACTAATTACTGAACTCAGTGATCAAACAACCTGCCAACTCCCCAAAACTCAAACATTCCTGCTTGCTGAACAAAACTTATCAATTTCGCTTCTGGCTGAAGAGATGGCTCTAGCTGTGCGTCATTCCGTGCTCCAATTTGCTCCGAATACTCTCTCGCAGGAGTTGTGCTTCTTGTTTTGTCATCAACCATATCTTTTTGTTAGATATTTAATTTGTTACGACGCCCAGTTCTTTTATTTTTCTACTCCTTCGATACGATTTTCCACCTTTTTCGTTTAAAATGTGAATTTTTATTTTCAAAACCGAAATTCTGTTAGACCTTTAAACGACAGAGAGTTAGTCATCATTCAATTTAAGTGAGCATCAATGCTTGCTGCCAGTTATTCCCCACAAATGAGGGACTTTCAATTGTTTATGGTGCATTTCCGACAAATGGGTATAATTAAATTTGTGAAAAGAACATTGTTACTGTGCGTGGGCGCCGATTAAGCGTGGTGTAAACGATGGTGTGTCTGTCCTAGCGCAAAAAGAAGTATTAGGTGAATGCTTGTGCGGTTGTTCGTATGCAATTATGACGTGTGATACATGAGATTTAAATTATGTAAGCAGTGATTGAATAATGGGATTTCACAATAAATGAGAATGTTTTTCACTAAAGTATTTTATTTAACAATATTCCAGCCATTCCAGCGCCTTAAATTTTAATTCAGACCCTTGCAAGGAAAAATTTATTATTTTATTTAATATTTTGCAAAATCATTAAAACAAATTAAATTTAGTTTTATTTTATTTACTCCATTCTTATCTGAATTTTGATATTTTCTTTAATTCAAATTTGTGTGGCAACATTGATTTTTTGTTGTTAAATACTTGAACTAAATTATGTTGTTATTGATGTGAAGAAGGTGTAAAATTTGAGATTGAAATTGAACAGATACAATTTCTAAATATGCACATTTTGTACAGTATTCATCCCTCTCAGGACAAAAGCAGTTTAGAGCGCATGAGATATTCTTTGAAACTATTATTTTTTTCTTGTCTTTATCAGGCCCTGAATATTTCCAGATGCTGAATGAATTTAAGCCATAAATTTTAAAATAAAATCTCTATTTTTAATTCAGTTTTTGAATAAAAAAGATATATTTACACATAATGTAGGATTCAATGCGAAGATTAGTTATCGGCAGTAAAAATATTGCTCATTTTTCAATTTTCCGCTAACTTAAAATTATTATGTATTGTAAAAAATAAAAACATTTTTTTTTCAAAGAGTGTCATTATTTTATAGCTTCTAAAAATTAAGGATCAGCAACAACAGTTATATGAAATAAAATATTCCCAATCTCTATACAAAATCTGCAAATATCGTCATTTTAGTTGATGTGTGTGACAAAAGTATAATTTTCATCGTCCAAACACTAATTTTCACTTAGTTGTTAATTAGACAATCAAAAAACAAAATTAATTATTTTGCATCCATGCTTGCTATAATTTTGATGTAGTAGATGTTCAGCACAATTGTTCTTAGCTTGATTGATACGTTTGTTTGCATTGAAAATGAAATTAATGAAAAATGTAGCAATGGACGCAAGTTGAAATTATGCATTGTGCGCTACACTCGCGTCGAGCGGATTGCCTAAGTACAAATCTGCTCAATTCATGTGTGAGCAGCGCGCACATCTCTAGGGACGCATAACAAGGGTGGCTACTTGAACAATTTATCAAATCATAACCATCCGCAACGGGAGCAGTTTCTCGTCTCACTCGCAATGCAAAGTAATGAAATGCGCTTTCACTCGTCGCATAAATGGAGTTATTGCATTAAATTCCCAGAAAAGAGGGTGCAGCGCAGTGCGATCCATACAAATTTGATTAGCGGCAAACAGAGAGAGGTCGATCCTCTCTCTCTGCACGCGCGTTTTAGCTGATGACAGTTTAATCCAATTACTCGCCGCAGCATTTCGCTGCACTGCACTGCGGACCGGCAGCGGCAAACAGAGGAAACCTCTCCGGCTGATGAGCTAAATCAATTCGCCAACACACGCTGGTCCCAAAGCCAAAATTCGTTCGGTGACAAGCGTGTGAGTTATACGGCTCGAAAGTTTGCTTTTCTGCCGCGATCGCTCACCTTCGACCCCCGGTGCTGAGCTGGAATTCGACTGGGGTGAAAAGCACCGCACCCTGCTCGCGTCGTCCCACCGGCGGAGACATCAATGCAGGTGAATCGCGCGAAATGAGTGCTGAGATTTCCCGGGGGCTGCCGAGATTTGCAAGGCTGGGAAAGGAAATAAAGCACTGACTTTGACGCAATTTTTATTCTTTATATTGATAGTTTCAAAGTTGATATTTTAATCGTTTCCGATTTCTTTTTTAATTGAATGCTAACATTCATGAAAAATTTAAACCGGGCAAATCTCATTGCAATATTTTTAATTTTATTACAAATTTCTGCTTTAAAACCTAGAATTCAAATGAGTAAGAATGAGAATAAAACAAAAAATTTTGTGTAGACGTAGAAAGTAACTAAATTTCGGATATTCAATGGAGTTTTAAAGTAAAATTTCCTACGTGGTGGTAGTTTTTAAACTTTATATTAAAAGAAACCGCGCGGACTGCTCAAGTGAAGTTTATAAAATATTCAATGGAGTTTAAAATTTGTGAATCAAATCAAAAGTAATACCTGTTATTGTCTTCATTTATCTTACGTAATATTATACTTATTATCTAAAAAAAATCCCTTAATTATTGGATACATTTTAGCAACACTTAACAAGCATATTGCGGATTTTAAGTTAACTTTCGAATTGAAAATATTGATCGCAAATTAAGAAAATTTGGAAAAGGCAACAAAATGAGCTAATTTAAACTTGCCATGTGGTATGTGTTTGATGTATAATGATTTTATATTCTTTTTGATGGTAGTTTGTGTTGGACTCAGTCTGCCCCAAGAATGGTTCTAGCAAAAAGAAAATTGATTCATTAATTTAAAAAAAACCTGAAAGTGAAATAATAAAAAAAAGTATATAAAGCGATATGACCTTTTATTGTAAATCGAGTAAGCTCAATGTTGTACTTACTTGAGCACATTCTAAATTTAAAAAGAGTTTCTTTCCTTATTCTTTTCATTAAAAAACTTGATTATTTTCTATACTAACAAAAGAAAGTATTTTTAGTTTAGGAGATAATTTTTTTTTTTACTAAAAAAAGAAAGCTTGCAAAAAATCAGCCTCGGATGAAAAACCAATCGCCCCCGAACTGTTTTGGGAACAGCACCTCGGCTGCCAAAAATCGACGCCGGCGGCGATTAACTCTCTCGCATCATCCAGCCGAGTATATAGAGAGAAGGAAAAATAGAAAGGGTCTAGCGTGGCGAATCAGAGGGAATAAAAAAGCGTGAGATTTATTCATTGGCATGTGGACAACTGCAGAGAGTGGCGGTTGTTGTAATTCACGTATTGATTCGGCTAGGGTGAGAGCGAGGAGTCGGCAAGGCAAGCTGGCGGATAATAAAAAATAGTGAGAGTTGTGCAGGCGAGCAAGCGAATGGTGGCTGGCAAGCGTTGCAGCCCAAAATCCCGGGCCATGGAAGTGGCTGCGGAGGCGCCCGCCGCGGTGGCGCCGACCTAAGGGGATGGGGCTCCATAAAGTCCAAGTGTGCACCGCCCGTGCTTGCTTTTTGTGCGAGATAAATGACGCTGCTCCGCGAAACTTTGGGCGCCACCGTGGCGCCTTCTGCAGCGGCAACCCGCCCTGCTGCCAGATAAGGATTAGCACGAGATGCGCGCGTTCTCCGCCGCCGCTTCCTCTCTTTCTCTCTCTCACACACACACACACACGGCTGCAAATTAACTTGAGGAAATGTTTCCCTCTTCCCCGTTTGCAGCACCAACTCGCAGAAATAAATTGTCTTTCTTGCTCTCTCAATTTTTTATCTCCCTCAGCAGCCAGAGAGCGCGTTTTGTGACCTGTAATTTCAAGTCTATAATCACTTCTCATCAGAGCGGAGATGTTGCGAGAGAGTCGTTTGTTTTCTCTAACAATAAGAAAAAGAATGCAGTTTTTTTCTGCCTCCCCTTGTGTTGATTTCCAGGCTTGATATATTCTTCTGCTTTCGTAGAACGGAACATAATATTAATGCAAAATATTTTTTATATATTGCTGATTATTATTCATGTTGAAAGTTTAATTTTAATCCTTATTGTTAGTATTATGGGCACAGATTCACTGATTTCTATTTGAAATTGTGTTTAAAACCTAATTTAACTTGAAGATTAGAATAGAAGATTAAATTTAAAGTGGAATATCTAGCTTGTATTAATTGACAATAAATAATACTAGGCATAAGTTAAATTAAATTTTTATTTTTATTTTAATTTTTGTTTATTTACATATTTATTTATTAGAATACATGTAATTTTGAATATTAATTTAAAAAATATATACAATCCTTATTTCATTTAATTGGTTTTATTATTAATATAAATAGTTATATTAAATTATTATTCAAATATAAATTATGTAGAATTTAATATTTCAATTTTATTAATAACTATAATAACAAATTAATTGTGATGTTTGTTTTATAAAATGTAACAACAATAAACTTATTTACTTATAAACTTGTTAATAAAAATTATTTACTTCAATTTTTTTAATTCTAAAATTGTTACAAACATGAATATGCATTTAAAAAATTATAAATATACGGATTTTGGGAAACTTTTAAAAATTGCTAACGTAAATATAAATAAACTTATTTTGATTAAACTCTATTTAATTATTGACAAAACATTCTTAACAATATTTTTTCCATATTTCTAGGTAACAATAATAATTTTTGTGGTAATGGTATCATGATAATATTAAAAAAGGCTAAATGTTTTTTATTTTTATAATTAACTAGCTGATGTAATTAAAAACTTTTTCTTCGAATCCGCTCCTTTTAAAAGTCACTGAATTAATATCAAACACGAAAATTGCTTTATTATTTTAATAAAAGCATTGATAATACTTTCCTCGTTAAAAGAAATTTCATAATTGCTTTTTTTTATCATTTACAATGATCTTCACAAGATATGAGACGCTATTCCAAAATAATTCTCGATTTGTTATATATATATAAAAAAAACAGCAATGTAGCAAAAGACGAAAAGCAAACGTTTGTCGTTTGTGGCAAACATATATAGCGGTGGTCGCTTTGTGCACCCTTGACTTTTCTGTTATTCCCTTGTAAATGGCATTAGGGAGCGCGGAGAGGAGCGAGGGTGCTCGTTCGTTCCGCAGGGCGTGCGTTTGCTTGTCTCTTTGGTCTCTTCTTCTCCGCAGAACAGAAGCGGCAATCGTTGCTGATGCTCTTTTCCTTTGACAGAGGACGGAAGGAAGCCTATTTATTTCACTGGAAAGAAACAATTTCTGGCAAGCGCACACAATGTGGTACCCATCGTTTTCAGACCACGCAATCCATGCACTTTACTCACTGCGACAAAAACCCAACTGCAATAATTATTTATTTAAAAAAACCGTTCATTTAATTGGAAGTAAATTACAAAATTATAATTCTACGTATTATTTTAGTGAGAAGAAACGGGATTTTGTCCTCGTTGATATTTTTTTCTTTATTTAAAAATGAAACGCTCTAAAAATTTAAAATTTGTTTG